TCAGTCAGACCAGTAAGCTTAATTCTACAGCAGAACTTTATAGTATGGTAAGGATAAAACCTCTCGTTCCTACTCAGCCTGTCATTATTGAATTTGCTTCTGCTTCAGAAGTACGCACTCACCTACAATTATTAAACCTGTCTACATCTTAATGACTGCTGTTATGACGCTTGACGAATGTCACATGATCGAAAGACACTAATGCTCATTATTTGTGCCATTATTCAACTTGTTTCTATGCACATGTACGCTGTTGTGGTGTATGTATGTGTTTTGTACTCACCTGAACGACAAAATAAAGAATTTACAAAAAAAAAATAAAAAAATTTGTCTTTACTTTTGACAGTTGAAATAGAACCTCTTCCTCTGTAAACTCACGTGTAATAAATGACTCATTTATCCTTTTTCTCAACTGAGGTCCCTTTCCTTCATTTTCTTCTGTAAATACAGAACAAAAATATTCATTGAGGCAGTCAGCCTGACCTTTATCCTCTTCTACATACCTTCCTTCTTTTGTTTTTAATCTAACTAATCCTTGTTTTACTTTTCTTTTCTCATTTATGTATCTAAAAAATGTTTTATCCCCCTTTTTTACTGACTGTGCTATTTTCTCTTCTGTGTGTGATTTGGAAGCTCTTATAACTTGCTTAGCCTCTTTCTGCCTAATCTTATAGATCATTTTGTCTCCCTCACTCTGGGTTTTTTTATAATTCCTAAATGCTAACTTTTTGTTTTTAACTATTTTGGCCACATCTGCGGAGTACCACAGTGGTTTCTTGAATTTTTTGCTTTTACTGACAAGCCTAATGCAATTTTCTGTTGCCTTCAATAGTGCAACTTTTAAATAATCCCATTTCTCTTGGACTCCATTTAAATTGCTCCAGTCTGATAATGACTCCTCTACACATATTCTAATTTTAGAAAAGTCTGTTTTTCTAAAGTCTAAAACTTTTGTTTTTGTGTGGTGTAACTCAGTCACTGTTCTTATATTAAACCACACTGACTGATGATCACTGGATCCTAAACTTTCACCTACAGTAATATCTGATACCAAATCTCCATTTGTTAACACTAAATCTAGTATGGCCTTTACGAGTTGGCTCTTCAACAACTTGTTTTAGAGACAATCCCAGTAGTGAGTTTAGAATATGTGTGCTCCTGGCACAAGAAGATAATTTTGTTTTCCAATTTACATCAGGAAGATTAAAATCACCCATGATGATAACTTCCCCATTCATTGTCATTTTAGCTATTTAAATAGTAGATTATCTAACTCTTCAATTTGTCCTGGGGGCCTATAAATCACACCTACACGAGTTACTGTGTGATTACCAAATTCTAACGTAACCCAAACGGACTCTATGTTTGTCTCACTAACTTTTATTAGGCTAGATTTTATGCTATCCTTCATATACAGGGCCACCCCTCCCTCTTTATTGTCTTCCCTATCTTTTCTATATAAAGAGTACCCTGGTATTGCTATGTCCCAGTCATTTTTCTCATTATACCATGTCTCAGTAACAGCGATTAAATCTACACTATCAGTTGCCATTATTGCCACAAGTTCATGGATCTTTTTCCCTAAACTGCGAGCATTTGTAGACATGACTCTAAGCTTATCATTTTTTGACACACTTGCTACAGGCACCTTCTGTCCTAGTTTTGGGGGACAATTGGATTGATGTTTTATCACCCTTTTGCCCCCCCCTCCTAGTTTAAATACATCCTTGCAAAACCTCTGAACTGCTCACTGAGAACATTTGTTCCCTTTTGAGAAAGATGCAAATCATCTTTTTTGTACAGCTTATTTCCATTCCAAACAGAGCTACCATGAGAAATAAAGCAAAAATCCTTGCTCCCGACACCATTCACCAAGCCACAAATTAAAGTCCCTAATACGCATCCGCCTGTCGTTCTGAGTGTTATGCACAGGCAGAACTTCAGAGAATGACAGTGTGGAAACAACCTGCCGTATATCATTGGCAAAAACACTAAAAACTTCCTTAACCTCTGAAACCTCATTGCAAGCCAAGTCATTTGTCCCTAGATGGACAAGTACATCCAATTCCCCTTCCTGCTTTGCTTGCTTAACAATATTACAGATACGTCTCCTGTCTCTGTGAGCAGTAGCTCCGGGAAGACACCTCACAATACCATCATTGTCCATCTCCACACCTCTTATGATCGAATCCCCCAACAACAACTGCTTTCTATTAGGCCTCACCATAGTCTTCAAGCTGGTCTCCACAACATACCAAGCCTCAGTGCCTCTCTCCAAAAAACCACTAGCCTCAGTGCCTCTCTCCACAACACCACTAGCCTCAGTGCCTCTCTCCACAACACCACTAGCCTCAGTGAAAGTGCAGAAAATGAATTATGTAGAGCAACAGACTGTGCTTATTTTCAAACGATAGCTAATTAACCAGCAATCAATAGCAAGTAACTAGCTTAATCAAATCAAATGCCTTATAATTACCAACAGGAATTCAAACCTTGTGCAATCAGTAACCTTTTCCTACAGATGACTCTTACCTGTAACAGTAGAAAAGAAAGCTCTTAGCACAACTCTTAGACAGTTGAAGCTTCTGTAAAACTCTCCAGAATATCTCCAACTACACACTTAGAAGCAACACTTAGGTGAAGCAACCAAGCTATATTGCAACTGACACTTAGCTTTCTGCGACGTCCGGTTTGTACCACTATGGGCATTGTAGTCATTGCAGTGGGGTGATCACACGGGATCATTTTGTGCACCCGAGGATGGGTAGAAAGTACCCGATCCGTGAATTTTGTAATTGCCAGTCTCAGTTTGTGATCTACATGCTCAAATGCCCGTGTGGATTGGCGTATATGGGTGAGACCACGCACACGTTCACTACGAGGATTAGGGAACATAAGAGTAACATACGGTCGAATAAGATGAAATACCCGGTGGCTAGGCATTTTTCTGAGAAAAGGCATACGGTGTCCCAGTTGCGGTACATGATCCTGGAAGTGGTTAAGTCCAGTGGTGGTGGTATCTCACGAGTGACTAGGCTGCAGATGCTTTATCCTAAGGGCTTGAATTAGGACAAGGATTTGACTCCATTTTTTTAGTTCTGGCATTTGGTTTCACTCTGCCTGTGTATTGTCTATATCTTATTTGTTGCTTTTATTCTTTTTTTCTTTTATAGATTAACACTGCAGTGACCATTTGGATTGTGGTACTCATGTTGCTGGGATGCCGGACAATAGTGATCGGAACGCGTTACTATTCATGTTGGACTTATCTAGGTTCGTGCTTGGATGACCTCATATTTATTTGATGTTATTATGATGACTCTTCAGGAGCGGCTGATTTTATGTCGCAGCTGTTGTACTTATGTTGGTGTCGAGAACGGATATGTGTTGACCCTCTCAATATTAAATATTAAAGAAACACTATAGTCACCTAAATTACTTAAGCTAACTAAAGCAATTTCACTGCTCAATTCACTGTCATTTAGGAGTTAAATCACTTTGTTTCTGTTTATGCAGCCCTAGCCACACCTCCCCTGGCTATGATTGACAGAGCCTGCATGAAAAAAACTGGTTTCACTTTCAAACAGATGTAATTTACCTTAAATAATTGTATCTCAATCTCTAAATTGAACTTTAATCACATACAGGAGGCTCTTGCAGGTTCTAGCAAGCTATTAACATAGCAGGGGATAAGAAAATCTTAATTAAACAGAACTTGCAATAAAGAAAGCCTAAATAGGGCTCTCTTTACAGGAAGTGTTTATGGAAGGCTGTGCAAGTCACATGCAGGGAGGTGTGACTAGGGTTCATAAACAAAGGGATTTAACTCCTAAATGGCAGAGGATTGAGCAGTGAGGCTGCAGGGGCATGTTCTATACACCAAAACTGCTTCATTAAGCTAAAGTTGTTCAGATGACTATAGTGTCCCTTTAAATGCATTGGTGATAGCTATGACTGAGAGAGCTTTATTCCATATATAGCCTGTTGCAGGCTACCTAATAATTTTTACTGCAATAGTTTTATTTGGTATATGCATGTTACCACTAAAGTTGTGGGTTGTGAGGCATGTAACCATATACTCTTTGGGTATTATGGTCCCTTATGTATGTGGATATATCAGTATAGGAACTATCGTGTGGGGATGTCTTTCGAGATATGAGTAGGGGAGGGTCTTTCCTTGATCTATGGGGTCTAGTTCTTTATACTATTCCTTATGTGTAGCATGAATTGTTAGCAATTTAGATCTAGGTTATTAGCATTATGTAGCCTTATGATTAGTAGGCATTATATGAAGTACCACTGATTGTTTTATCAGTTTATATGTGGGTGGCACTGTCAGTGATTTATCTATTACACATGGTTTTTAATAAATTGATTTTTTTTTTTTATTCTTTATTTTTGCGGTGCATATGGGTTGAACAGACATGCGTGTGGTGCCCCAACAGCACTCCACACGCTAGTTCCATTACATTATCACAATGGGGTATGCAATAACAGTGCACAATTTTTAGTATACAGGTTGTCGTTTAACTGCACATATTTTTAAAACAATGTTAGGCAATACAATCAGCTTAAGTAAGCAACTTTAGAGAGTGTTCAAGCTTTAACTAGGCTTGTTCGGCATATTGGCTAGTTGCTGACATCATAGATCATGTATATATGAACATTCCAGTGAGCAATACAGGCTAGTTCTAGATTCTGTCTTTGCATTAGCTTGCTAATCGTTTATAGGTTAGTACAGTTAAGAAATAGGTAGCGTCGGTGGGCAACAAGCCTAAATTAAAACAAAATATTTCGGTCTAAACCTATGCAAGTGTGTATATACGCAAAGATTTCTTCGAGTCATATTATTTGCTAGGCGGGATCAGGGTTAGGATAAAACAGACATATCATGGCACGGTAACAGTAACATTGAAGGACCCTTATCACTGGTCTGCGTCTCTAATATTATTATTATACTGCAGCGTGATTTTCCAAAAGAATATAACAGACTTGAGGTATAGTGAAGCAGCAACAGGACTATCAGACATGCATTCATTATTCTGGCTTTTCTTATATAAAATATGCAGATTAACTAGTTGCTGATGATTTATGCAAAGGTTTGACATTCTGATTAAACAACTTGGTTTAGGTAGTTTCAGACAATTCAAGAACAATATATGGGTTAATAACTTTAGTTTAGTTACGAGGAGTAAAATAAACAGTTTGAGGGATCTCTAAGACATTTTAAGATTAAACTGCCTTTAGGACCGAGTAGGTGCGTGTGGTTAATTTAGACCTGGTGACTATGTTTGTCAGTGGCTGCTGTGAGAGAAATGAGAGAAACTCTCGGTCAGTGGCTGCTGTGAAGAGGAAAAAAAATATATATTTTTTTTACCATAAACTCTGGTTAAAATAGACTCTGGGGTTAATATCAGCTCATTGGTAGAGCATGTTAGAGGCTCTTGTAGTATAAGGTTTCACAGAGCTAAAAGAAAGAAAAATTAAAGGTATTAAGTTAACTGAAGAGTTGTGTTGTCCCTGTTAGATCTCTATACGTCCTGCTGTTAGTCCATCACGACCTACTGTGGCCTTGAAAAAAAATGGAACCTCGGTGATAACGTAGGCTGTGTGGACACGAGAGTCTCTTTATGTGGGGGTCTTCTCGTTCCAGTGGGTGCGTGTCTCCTGTGGGTCTGTTTCCTCATTTCTGCTTGGCATTAGGGGTCACTGCTTTCTGGTCTCCTGTTGTGAGCTACTCCGCGGGGGTCGATGTTGGTATATTGAGTCTTTTTAGGAACTCTGTGTGGTCTTCAGGGGCCGACAGGGTGTGTATCGCATCTCCCTGCTGTACCACCAGTGTTCCGGACAGCCCCCAGCGGTATTTAATGCCCTGATCTCACAGAGTCCTGGTGAGGGGCATGAACTTGCGCCGTTCAAGGAGGATTGTAAAGGGTAAGTCATCATTTGTCGAAATCCTATTGTTTGCGATCACCAGGTTTGGTTTTTGTCTAGATCGCGCCATAACAGCGGTTTTCACTGATATGTCTCTTGAGACTACTATGATATCGCGGGGTGCGTCCGCAGGCGCTGTGGGGGCCTTCCTGACCCTGAAGGCTGACACTAGTGGTGGCCATTCGTCTTCTGTCTGAATTCCCAGTGCTTGCAGGACCTCATTGGCAAACTTAAGTAGGACTTCCTGGCCTATCGACTCTGGGGCCCCGCGGATTCTGAGATTTTTCCGTCGGTGGCGTGTGTCTAGGGAGGTCACCGTGCATGTAAGGTGTTGCACTTGGTTCGTGAGGGCGGTGACCCGGGAGTCGGTGTCATCGATCTTTTTCCCTCTCTCCCCTTCTCTGGTCTCAATAGCTCTCATGCGGCGGTTCAGGCCCCCTATTTCCTCCTGGACCCCGGCGAGGTCTGCCTTCCAGACCTCTCGCAGGTCCCGCAGGAGGTTTTTTATGTCTCCTTTGGTGGATGGGGATGTATCAGAGTCCGATTCTGCTCTCTGGTACACTCCGCTGTGGGTCCAGGGTGCTTGAGTTGTCTCATCCTCCAATGAGAGCTCAGAGTCACTCGAGACGCGTGGCTCCCAGGCGCCATGTTTGGTCGGACCTGCTGCGGCGGCCTACAGAAGGACAGTCTGATGTCTGTGTGTTTCTGGTCCTCTGCTTGGGCCAGTTTTCGGTGCTTTCTGCCCATCTCTCTTGGAGGGGTGTTCCTGACGTCTGGACGATAAATCTTGAGCTCTGTTGTGGTATTTAAAGTCAGATTTTGGGTCTCTGGAGCGGGAGCTCTTCAAGTGTGCGACCGCTCAGTAGCTCAGCTAGCCACGCCCCCATAAACTGATTTCTTTATACATCACTTGGTGTTTTCATTTGTGTTTTGTTTATATGTGGAACATGGTTTTATTTAGGGATGCCCTTTTTATTTGCAAGGTGCATTTATTTTTATAGGGTAATAGATGTTGGGTGTCAGTCCTCTTGAGCCTATATATATATATACATGCTATTGGCTTAGTATACTTGCATGGGGCGTTATATTTAATTGAGTTGTGCTGGTATTCATAGTGTGGGTGGCTACTAGTTATTATTACAGAGTGGCGGCTTTATTCATTTTTTTTCGTGGTGCTTTAGTTTCCTCATTGGTGTGGTGCCTTTTTACAGTGATGGCTAGTACTCCGCGCATGAGCATGCCGGGCTTTGGCACATTACAGTACTGCATCTGCGCAACTCTTTTGGTACTCGCGCACATGCGCGAGCGTTGTGTGCATGCGCGCCCTTGCTGTGAACGCATGCGCGTTGGTATCTGGTTTGGATCTTCTTGCGCACGCGCGGCATTTGTTGCAGACGCTCGCGCGATATGTGATCAAGTTTGGGGGCGGACATTGTACCTGTGGGACAGCCTGGCTGATGCGTCCACATACCAATAAGCAAAATGGCGGCTATGGACGCTTTCTTTTGGTATGGTGATTTACTATGGATTTTATGGATGGATCTTATGCATTTATTATTAGGTTCGGGATGGTTTCTCTGCCAGTATAATTTATTGCCCTATGGATTATTGGTATACTTGGCTCCAGCACTTGTTTTGTTATTAAAGCATTGTGCCAGCACTTGAAGTGATGATGTCACTTCCGGAAGTGGTGACAACTTTATGCTGATAGCCATCAGCTGAAAGGAGGGATTTATAAACAGACACATTGGGACTGGGATACAGTTACCCTTGATAAAGGCAGCGGGTTGGTTGCCAAAACGTTGGGGGTATGGTGGCTCGAGTTTCTGTCCTAGGGCTATGTGGAACTTTGTTGGTATTGTACTATTTACTATTGTATTTGCCCTTGCTACTGTCATTTTGTTTACTAATTTTTGTATTATTTCTATGTGGTACTATTTATTTATGTACATAATAAATTGCATTTTTTTACTCATAGTGGTTATAGTGTTTCTTCTGTAATTTATGGATGTAGAGGGAAAAGAGAAACACAAAGGGGCTGGGGACAGTTAAAGGGGCTGGGGAAGTAAGGACACACACAGAGGGGCTGGGGAAGTAACTAACACACACACAGTGGTGTACACAAAATCCATGGGGTCCTCAGAGCGAAACTGATCCATGCCCCCCCATAGACACACACAAACATACAGAGACACATACACACAGACAGGCACACACATAGACACATACACACACACCCATATACAAAATGTTTAAGTCACCCTCCTGTTTCCTACCTAATAGGTGTAGGAGGGTGACTTTCCCTGGGGTCCAGTGGTGGCTCAGGTCTCCTTCCTCCCACATGGCTCTTTGATAGCTGGGAGGAGTGACCGGGGCACTCACTTCTTCCCAGCAGTGATCTAGTCAAAAGGGGCCCGGTCACATTGTTAAAGCACCCCAGCGCTGACCGGGCCCCCTGGAAATCCATATCCATCGGGTGGCCCTAACAGCATGGGCCACTTGATGGGCCTCTTGATCCTGTGGCGGCCGGGCCCGCAAAACATGGCGGCTGGGGCCGCAAAACATGGCGGCTGGTACCCGGTCCGAAGGGCCGCCAGGGCCCCCTGGAGCTGCGACCCCTGCATGTACGCCACTGCACATACAGAGGGACTGAGGGAAGTCAGGGACACATACAAGAGACATGCTGGCTCGGGTCCGCTTTCGCTCCTCGCTGACATCAGGGGGTGAGACCTAATGCACATGCGCGGCAATGGCCGGACTCACATTAGTGATTCCACATAGGAAAGCATTGTATAATTTAACTTTCCTGTGGGGTTTTGGGTGACGCTGGACGTCCAGCAACCAACGGACGGAACTCTTGTAGCCAGCCACCAGAGGTGGAGTTAACCCACCAAGGTAATTATTGCAATTTCTTAAAAACTGCAATAAATAGCCTTGCAGCATTAAGGGACCTGGGAATATGCACCCAGACCACTTGAATGAGCTGAAGTGGTCTGGGTGCCTATAGTGTCCCTTTATGCTGTACTGGCTCTGGTGACTATAGTGTCCTTTTAAAGCACTAAAAGCACTCCAAGCACTAAAACCACTACAGTGCACTGTCACCCTCTCAACCCATGTAAGTAGTCAAATCTTTGCTATCAATTTGACAACTTACCAGGGGTCTAAGGGGCACCAGTCAACTCCTCCCTTGAGAGCTGGACACTTCTACATGTAGGTTCTGACAGAACAGAAAATGCCCTAATCTGCAGAGAGTACTGTAAATGATACTATATTGTCTCAAAAGAAAGTTTCTGCAAGAGGATCTGCTTCTGCTAGTTATCATTCAATAACCTCTTGACAACTTTACACTATAGACTCTATTTATAGAGCACTGAATGGAGTTTGGAATGTTCCCTTTACCTATAAAGAGTGGTACGTATTCATAGCTGAAATAAAACTCCAGGACTGTGAACAGGTATCCTAAAGTTTAATGTATTGAAGGAAAGCTACGGATTATCTGCGACCATTCATCGAACTGTCTATTGTTAACAAATAAAAGCAGGATACAGGTATGTTAAAGCATATGGGGTACAGAAAGAAAGCGTTTCATTATCTGCAAGCATTCACTGGGAACATGTTAGGTTCCTTCTCAGACCTGCACTGACTCGCATTCCACTGTAGAACTCGCACACATCCTAAAACAATACACGAGCGGGTGTCACGGCTTCTGTACCATCGGAGTCGCGGTCTGATGACGTAAATATGCAAGCTCACACACGAATGTGCGTTTTGATGACATTTGCTGCCAGGTTCGCTTTGACATTGTAACAATGAGCAACTTCTTCCGACTGATCCAGAGAACGCTGGGGGTTCCCCAGAACCAAATATCTGGAATTCTACACAGGAAGGCCAGAGCCGTGCGCCTCATTCACACCGGTCCCCTAAACTTGAATTACGCCAAAGGACTGTTTCTAGGATCCATCAACAAGGTATCTTTTAAAGGGAAATGGGTAGATTAAAGTGGCACTGTCATGCCGAATTTACTTTTCCCCAATCGATTCCTCTTCTCTTCCACTCTCAGGATCTGTTCTTCATTTCTTCCTGTCTGCTCTAATTTTCTTTAAAAATTAATACAAAGTAGGGACTACTTCTCTTCTGGAGGTTTCCTATGCCATGACGAGCGGAGGAGCAAAGTGTATAGCGAGTAGGGGCTGAATTTACTAATACTAAGTAATATTTACTTAGTATTAGTAAATGTGTCTTTCCGCCTTTTGGTAGATAGCTCCCTAATACCGTGGGAATTAGGGAGCTATCTACTAAGCGGCGGCAAAATGCAGCCACAGCACGAATATGATCGGAGTTTCATTCATTCGAATGAAATTGCGATCCGAACAATGTCATGAATTGCGCTTTAACACGAATGGAGAAACTGTTCTCCTTCTGTTAGGACGCAATTCGGAAGTTTTGCCGGTGTTCTGTCTAAGTGACAGGACGTTCGGGAATACTGACAGGAAGCATTGTGGGAACAGGGAGGAAAGCTAAGGATTATGGGAAAATTGCTCTGACCACCGGAAACGAAGCACACTTTGCTCCTCCGCTGGTCATAGCTGCTCATGGCGTAGGAAACCTCCAGTAGAGAAATCTTTAAATTTTTAAAGAAAACTAGAGCAGACAGGAAGAAATTAATAACAGATGGGGAAAGGTAAATTCGACATGACAGTGCCGCTTTAAGTCATTAGAGTGTAACCTAGCATATGTAGGTGATGAAAGTGCACTCAATCCTTCGTCTGGAATTCAGGGTGCTCTAGTGGATATGTCCCAGTACCAAAAAAGGACCAATTGAAGCATTTGAATATAGAGAATAATCCAGGCACTCCAGCATATTCCAAAATGTAGGCAATCTTTATTGGAACAAGGAACCAAAAAGCAACGTTTCGACCCCTTAGGGCCTTTATCTTTATTGGAACAAGGAACCAAAAAGCAACGTTTCGACCCCTTAGGGCCTTTATCAAGCTTGATAAAGGCCCTAAGGGGTCGAAACGTTGCTTTTTGGTTCCTTGTTCCAATAAAGATTGCCTACACTTTGGAATATGCTGGAGTGCCTGGATCATTGTTTATATTAGAGTGTAACCTCTCAGGAATCTTAAAGGGACACTCCAGGCACCCAGACCACTTCTTCCCATTGGAGTGTTCTGGGTGCCAACTCGCACTACCCTTAACCCCTTAAGGACACATGGCATGTGTGACATGTCATGATTCCCTTTTATTTCAGAAGTTTGGTCCTTAAGGGGTTAACCCTGCAAGTGTAATTATTGCAGTTTTCATAAACTGCAATATTTACCTTGCAGGGTTGACTCCTCCTCTACTAGACAGCCACTAGAGGGCACTTCCGTGTTTATAGCACACGAAAAGTGTGCTATAGCGTCGCTGGACGTCCACGCTATGTGAGAACCTCCAGCGTTGCTGAAATCCCCATAGGAAAGCATTAAAAGCATTTTTCATTGCTTTCGTATGGGGAGGTCTAATGCGCAATAGGTCTACCCCTTCGGATGACGTCGGTGGGGGAGAAGCGTGGGCGGACCCTGAATCAGCGCCAAGGGACATCGCTGGATACAGGTAAGTCTTGGGGTGGGGGGAGAGGGGACCTGCAGTGCCAGGAAAATGGTTTGTTTTCCTGGCACTGGAGAGTCCCTTTAATTTAAGGTCCAAACTTCTGGACTAAACGGGAATCATGACATGTCATACATGTCATGTGTCCTTAAGGGGTTAAGTCAGTCTCAAATATTAGGGCAATATATCCAAACTGAAAATATAATTTAATTAAATGTTTTGAGTTAGTCTTCTGTAGCTTAGAACTGAACACTCTGTTTGATTTCCTGACTTATCTGACGCTGTGCACCATAAAAACTTCATGGGAATCAGGGCCGGACTGGGGATTCCAAAAAAATCTGTGCCAGCCCCATAAGTCATTGCGCCATATATTGTCGCATGTAATATGTAAGGCTATGTCTTGCCACCCTAGATGATTGATATATATATTTAATCTCTTTTTCCAATATAAAATATTGGTCCTTTCAGAGTAAAATTTTTAATTTTACAGTAAGCATACTCACATGCAGACACAGACAATCTCACTGACACAAGCTGATTGATACACAACCTCATAGACAAACAATCTCACTGATATACATAAGGTCATTAAAATAAAAACACAAGCTCACTCAGTAGCAGGCACACACACACACACACACAAGCAAGCCCACTCACTAGCAGGCGCGCACACACACACAGCTTAATGTAGTGGCTCTGGTGTCTATAGCCTGTGTCTGCAGGCTTTTCAATGTTAACACTGACTTTTTAGAGAAAAGGCAGTGTTTACATTGCTTCCTAGTGACAGACACTCAGATGGTCACTAGAGGTGCTTCCTGTGTCAGTGCAGATTGGCTGAGATCATCAAGCTTGATGATCTCATCCGTAGAGGCAGGGCCAGTCGAGGGGAGACAAGCACGACGTGGGGGAAAAAAAGGTGAGTAAAAACACACATACACACATACATACCATGACAGACACACACCTTTACACACACACCATAACACAGACCGTGACACAGACAGACACACCATGACACACAGACACACACCATGACACAGAGAGATCGTGACACAGACAGACACGCCATGACAGTCAGAGACACACACGCCATGACAGTCAGAGACACACACACCATGACACAGACACAAACAATGACACAGCCACACATTGCATGACACAGAGACAGACACGCACACACCATGACAGACATAGACACACAGACACACACACAATGACACAGACAGACACACACACACACCATGACACAGACACACACATACACTCACACTGACACACACATACACTCACACAATGTCTACCTGTGGGGAGCTCTGATGGCGGCTGCAGGGGGAGCTGGCTGTTCTGGCGGCCGCAGGGGGAGCTGGCTGTTCTGGCGGCCGCAAGAGGGAGCTGGCTGTCCAGTCCAGCCCTGATGGGAATTAAGTTGCCATGGTGTCAAAGGTTACTGGTACTCGCTCCTTCCTCTTTCCCCTTCAGAATCTTCAAATTTATTTTGCATTAATGCGGCACTGTCATGCCGAACTTACCTTTCTTTAATCTATTCCTCTTCTCTCCCTCTGTCAGGATCATTTCTTCATTTTTCACTTTTACCGAACGTCCTGTCATTTAGTCTTGGAGCTGCAATGCAAACATTCTCTGGAACTGCAGTGTTTTATATTGCAGCACTAAGTGCAAAAGGGTCACAGCACCCAGACTACTTTAATTAGCCTACAGTGTCCCTTTAACCTTTCTTCATAACTTCATAACTAAACTGCTCCGTTCCTTTTATCAATTTTAGCCAACCTCTGCACTCTCTAGTGCCATAATATGGAATGTAAAAAACCTTTTTGGGGTTGGTTTTGCTCTCCCATTTTCAAGTTTAGCCCATCTAATCGTTATTTTGCAAGCCCTATTGACATGCTTTATATTTATTTAATTATATTTGTTATATAATACAAATGACCGATTACATTTTTTGAATGCCCTTTTATTATCTTATCATTTGAATGACCCTTGTACTAAGCCACCTTGGTTTTAATTTGCTTCTTTTGCATTTGTTTCCCAGTATTGCGAAAGTTACTTTTGTAGTATTTGTTTATTTTACCTTCCATTTACTCTCTGTGCTCTGTGTAAAGATACCCTTATCCTATTGAATGTAGTCCTTTTAAAATGTATGGAACACTATAGGGTCAGGAACACAAACATGTATGGTGCAAACCCCCATCACCCTTAACCCTAGTGTGGTTATTATTGTAGTTTTTAGAATTTGCAATAATTACCTACTAGGGTTAACTCCTCCTCTAGTGGCTGACTTTTGGTTGCCTAAACTATGCTGGACATCATCACACTATGCATGAGGACTTCCGGGGCACTGCACCAAGTCCACTTCAATGGGATGATGTGGCCCTTTAAGCATGTGAATTTTAAACATGCATAACAAGCAACATAATGCATCAGATATACAATGCGAATACAACTTTCTAAGGTATGAAACAGAGATAATCACATATAACACTACCCTCACCTCTGCCTTGAACGTTGCAGCCCCGCTCCAAACTTGCACCTCGAGGAGGACACGACCCCAACCTTGGCATACTGAATCAACACGCTATCTGCAGAGTTGCTCCCGTTGTGCAGAACGCTCCTGGAGGAAGTCTTGCACCCAGTCAGACTTCTCCATTATAGATTCATATTATGTTCATACAGTGCAGCCCTTGCCCTCGCCAAACAGTCATACTTTTCCTCTCTCATTAGTTCATGCTCCCGCAATCCCAGACATCTCTTTAAAACCTTTATTTCTCTTCTCTGCCCTGCTGTTGCCACCCCCCAAACTAACCTTACAGCTGATAGCTTTGCATGCTACTTTACCGACAAGCTAAGGAAAGAATTCTCCCCTCCTTGCCGTTCTCTTTATCAACCACACGTAAATCATGCCTTCCCTACCCTTCAGACTTTCTCCCCGGCTACTGAACAAGAGGTGGCTGCACTTCTCCTTTCCTCTCGCCACACCAGTTGCCCGCTCGATCCTGTCCCATCTCACCTCATCAGATCTCTCTCCCCTTATCTTGTGCCTACCCTAACACACATCTCTAACTGCTCTCTCTCTTCTGGCACTGTTCCTGCTGACCTTAAACATGCCACTGTAGTACCTATCCTGAAAAAAACATGTCTTGACCCATCCTCCCCCGCTAAGTAAACTAATTTCCCGCATGGATTACTGTAACCCTCTCCTGATTGGTCTCCCCAAAAGCGGTATTGCCCCACTACAGTCTGTAATGAATGCTGCAGCTAGACTGATTTTCCTCTCTAGTCGGTCCTCTCACACCTCACCTCTCTGCCAGTCCTTACATTGGCTCTCTGTATCCTATAGGAGTCAATTCAAAGTGCTAACCCATACATTTAAAGCACAGAACAATTCTAGCCCCTCTTATATCTCTTCACTGATCAATAGGTATGCCCCACCTCGTTCCCTCCTTTCTGCCCGTGACCACCTCTTGACTGCTGCTCGCACCCGTACGGCCAACTCACGCTTGCAGGACCTCTCGCGGGCGGCTCTTTTCCAATGGAATAGCCTGCCTACCGCCGTCAGACTCTCCCCTAGTCTTCAATCATTTAAGAAGGGCCTTAAAACCCATTTCTTTAGGAAAACGTATGGCATCCCAGAGTAACCTCTACCTTACATACCTGTCTCATGCTTTCTTCTATAGGCCAGTGCTTTACTCTCTCCTCCAGCTCTGCTTCACTCCCACCCTATTTGACTGATATTTCCATCCTAACGTGTCTTATACCACACCTCCTATAGACTGTAAGCTCGTTTGAGCAGGGTCCTCTTCAACCTATTGTTCCTGTAAGTTTTCCATCCCCCCCCATAATATTGTAAAGCGCTACGGAATCTGTTGGCGCTATATAAATGGCAATAATAATAATAATGGCGCTGTGAGATTCCCGCACATGCCCAGTTAAACACTTGGGCATGCAAACGGGAATTTCATCTATTCATTCATTCGTCAGAAAGACGAATGAATAGAAATTTCAGACAAACAAACACTGAATATCAGTGTTCGTTTGTTCAGTCAGTTTATTACAAGAAGGGAACTACCGGCGCGCAGCTCCCTCCTTGTAATATGTAAAGATAGAAGCGTCAGGGAGCAGTGCTTCCCGCCACTTCCTAAGCCCCCCAGGTCCCCCCTCACTCTATGGTGGTCAATATAACCCCCATAATAGCATAAGGGAGATTAAAATCTCCCAAATACCCCTACTCGCTATACTACGAGTAGGGGCATGTATACTAAAAAGCCTGTGGCTGCTCACTGTAAAAAAAACAAAACCCTAGTACCCTGGGGGCCCTAAATACCAATAAGGGGGAAGGGGGACCTAAATAACAATAAGGGGGAGGAACTATTGTCCCCTCCCGGCCCCCACCCCTGTGCCGCGGGTGGGGGACCTTAATAACAATAAGGGGGGTCTATAGTCCTCCCCCCCCGGCTTACACCCCTGCACGTCGGGTGGGGGCCCTAAATAACAATAAGTGGGGGGACCTATTGTCCTCCCCACCCCTGAGCGGCGGGTGGGGGCCCTAAATAACAATAAGGGGGGGACCTATTGTTCTTCCTTCCCCGGCCCCCACCCCTGTGTGGCGGGTGGGGGCCCTATATAACGTGTGACATGTCATGATTCCCTTTTATTCCATAAGTTTGGTCCTTAAGGGGTTAAAGGGGGTGGACCTATTGTCCTTCCTCCCCGCCCCTACCCCTGAGCGACGGATGGGGGCCATGAATAACAGTAGGGGGGTATACCTATTGTCCTCTCCCCGGCCCCCACCCCAGCTCCACCAAGGTGACTAGGGGTCTCCAATTTCCGGGGCGGGGCTGCTCACTGTTTAATAGACATGCCCCTACTCGTGGTATAGCTAGTAGGGTCAGCATTTACTAATACTGAGTAATTTTTTATAGTCTGTCAGCCTTTTGGTAGATAATTCCCTAATTTCCACAGTATGAAGAAGCTATCTACTAAGCGACTGCAAGATGCAGCCGCTGCACAAATAAGATCAGAGGAGTTTCATTCATTAAAAAGTCCCGAATTGCGTCCTAACGAATGGAAAAAAAAACTGTTCTCCTACTGTTAGGACGCAATTCAGTAGTTTCGCCGGCGTTCTGTCTAAATGACAAGACATTCGGCAATACTGACAGGAAGCATTGTGGGAACAGGAAGGAAAGCTTCGAATTATGGGAAAATTGCTCTGACCAGCGGAAATGAAGCACACTTTGCTCTTCCGCTGGTCAGAGATGGTGAGGCGTAGGAAACCTCCATAGGACAAATAGTCCCTACTTTGTCTTATGTTTTAAAGAAAACTAGAGCAGACAGGAAGAAATGAAGAACAGATCCTGAGAGAGGAAGAGAAGAGGAATCGAATGGGGAAAGGTAAGTTTGGTATGACAATCCATGCAGATCTTGGAGATGCTGAATGTAGGAGACACTTTAGTGGCTGTTTGAGTAACTGCCACAAATGGGTTACTAGGCAGCAATGTAAACTTTACCTTTCCTATGAAAAGGCAGAGTTTACCTTGAAATGCCTGCAAGGACAGCCTATAGACACCAGAGCCACTACATTAAGCGGTAGTGGTTCTGGTGACTATAGTGTACCTTTTAAGTTTGTATTCCTAACTGTGACAAAATCAACTTTGCCACTGGTTCCTGGAGGGGATTATTGGCCAGCCTTTTGCCCTGTGACTATGGCCCCTTTAATTTATTTGGTCTGAGAGACCCTAATTGTGCCTATTGGGACTTGGCACAATGTACTTTAACTTTTGAAGTAGTTGAAGTGGCACTTCGGATACAGCTGAAGTGGCCGCCATTCGAACACGTGGAGGCGGCTTTTTTATTTAGTCGAACGGGATCAGCGGTACATCAGATGTTTTATGCAATGAATCAGTGGAGCTGTTATGATTCTGTAATCTTCAAGCTCTTCTTGCTCCATAGTGCACCATTTAGTGATCCTGGGACCAGTCCGCTCTCAGCTGCCCACCTTAAGGCTCCCCTGTGGTGGTGCGGATGTGCAGAATAGAAGCGTGAATCGAGGGAGCTGTAATCTTCCAGCTCTTCTTGCTCTGCTCTCTTGTGCGGCCCACTGTGATGTAGGTTGCCAGGAGATGAGTTCCCCAAAATCACAAAAGCAGCACCCCTGAAAATTTCATACAAGTAAACAGAGCAAGCTAAGTGTGTGTGTGTGTATGTGTGTGTGTGTATATATATTATATATATGAGAGAGAGATGAATAAAGTAAGATAACAAACAAGCCCAGAGCAGTGAAGGGGTCTGCCTCAGAGTTTTGTTCTGCTCTCCTTTTTTCTTATTGATTGTTTCCTGAAAGTTATGTTAACTATTTCCTTGCTGCTGGAGTAAAAGAAGGAAATACAAATATGAAGCCTTAATTCCCATAAAATTGTCTGATATGTTCAGCAACTTTACATTCATATTATTAGTGGTTTCTGCCAGAAACATGTTTTCAACTACAGGCTTGTAATCATAACTAGAGGGTGAGTGAGGTTTAAAGTAACTCTATATGAGGAGATGCTGATTGACTCAGAATAGCGTTTTGCCGCGCATTCACAAAAGTCTCCCAGTGCTTTGTTATTGAATTGGCTGAAATCAAGATTATTACTGCGATTTAACTATTTGGGTGTACATGTTAGTATTCCTTACCCTACAGTGTTCCTTCAGTGGACTAGATTTCATTCGGTAAAATCATGAAAGTAAAAATGCTTATACACTCTTTTTATATTGAAGGGGTTAAGAGAAGGACCTCCATAAAGGAATTATTCCGCTATACGTCCTTTAGGAGTTAAAGAACATGTGGTTAGCTTTTTTTTTTTTTTCTGATGTAACCTTTTGTTGCACATTGGGCTATTTTACAAACCCAATCCCCAAACCTTTCCCTGCTGCATGTTCTCTGTGATTGACTTATGAGTGACCATTTAGCACAAGGTCACTAAAACACTGATCTTGTGTCCCTGCTGCTGCTTAGAGCATGGCATTTGAGAAGCATTCTGTTTAATTTAGAATTTAGAATTTCTTATCTCCTGCTCTGTTAATAGCTTGCTAGACTCTGCAGGAGCCTCCCATGTGTGATTTAAAGTTCAATTTACAGAGCAGGAGATAAGAGATGAAAACTTTTAAAGTTTTGTTACATCTGATTGAAAATGAAACTATTTTTGCTCATGCAGACTGTGTCAGTTACAGTCAGGGGAGGTGTGGCTAGGGCTGCTTAAAAAGAAACAAACTTTATTTAACTCCAAATGTCAGTGAATTGAAGATTATGCTAACGCAGTGTTCTAATAATCTTAATTTTAATAATGACCGGAGGTGAGTATTTTGCATTAGCTTTCTTTACTAACTCCATAGCAGCAAAGAAAATATATTTGAAATAAAGAACCAATTAGAACACAGTCAGAGTATATATAAGTGAAAGCACATCAGATCACGTCCTCTTTTCAATTGCAACATCACAAGTCCATAACTAAATGATTAACTTTGTAAGAGATCTAACAAATCCCTTCCATCAATGTAGATGACTTGTTAAGCTGAAAGAAAAGAGACTAGTTTCAGTGATATGGAACCGACCGTATGAGTATATAACTTTGAGCATATTTAAGCTGCTGTTAGTAACTAAGTTATCTAAACATAAGGTGTTATCATAAAAGAGTCAATCCCACCTTTGCAATAACAATATGCAACTCATAATAATTCTCACACCAGTAAATAGACATAACACAGAACTAGAATTCTTCAACATCCTAAGACTTACCTCAAACCAGGGTTGGGAACAGCAATAAAAAGGGTTGGAAAATACTCGCTAGGGATCGACCAATATTGATTTTTTTTTTTTTAGAGCCCCATCGGTAGCACCCAATCCCCATCGGCTCGCGTCCGATTAGAGTATGAAATCTGGGTGGTTGCCAAAGATGGCTTGACCATTCCATGCTTGCATGCAGTTGAACCACCATTCGAGTTCCTGACGCACTTCGTCTGTCAGCGGAACCGGCTGATTGTATGTGGGGTTCCGAAAGAGGAAGTGGGTCTTCAGCTGTTGCATGGCACGATAGTGCAGGGGGCCAGGAAATATGGCTTGGATTGAGGTGGAGAGTAGGCCTACGATCAGAGCCAGTTGTCGGAGCTGGATGGAATCAAGCTTGACGACCCTGCGGATCTCTTTCCTGATGGCCGTCACTTTGGAAGACTGAAGGTGGAGTGTGATTTCTCGAAGCCCAGGAATTGAATTGTTTGAGTGGGAGTCAGTGCAGATTTGGCCCTGTTGACAAAGAATCCCTGAGATTCCAATAATTGTACCGTATAGTCGGTATGTTGTGATGCCAGGTCGCTCGTTCTGCAGAACAGGACTATGTCATCCAGGTAAATGATGCACCGGATCCCTTGAGTTTTGAGGTGGGCTACCACCGGTTTCAGCATTTTTGTGAAACACCATGGTGCAGAGCTAAATCCGAAAGAGAGGAAAGTGAACTGCCATGGGAAGCCGTGCCATAGGAACCGAAGGAAAGGACGACTGTCTTTGTGAATTAGAATCAACAAGTATGCGTCTTTGAGGTCTAGGCGCGTAAACCAGTCTCCCCCTTGTTGGAGGTCTCGTAGTAAGTGTATTCCTTCCATCTTGAAGTGACAGTATGTAACGTGAACGTTTAGTTTCCTTAAAGTGCTCACTGGCCTGACGTCTCCGCTTTTCTTGCAGACGAGAAATAGCATGTGTCTTCCATGTTATTTGGAATACTAACTGGCACAGGTAGGAGAAGTAGAGGGACCGGTTGGGAGGGACTTGAAAAAGGCCGTAGGTTACGCGTAGGATCCCCCTGCTACCTTTTGTCTCAAATCCCCCTGGTATCCTTTAGATTGTAAGCTCACGGGCCATCTAGCCAAGCACTTTGTATAAAAGAGCTCCAATGGCTAGATATCAGCTTACGGGCAGGGCTCTCTCTGCCTCTTGTATATTGTATGTTTCTCCACTAATTGTACAACGCTGAGGAATCTGTTGGCGCTTTATAAATCGCAGTAATAAATAAATAAATAAAGCAGACTCTTATTATCACTGGGTCTCACCCAGGAGATCCGAATTGCTTCAACAGATTCCATTAAGCAGCACTCTAGGAATTACCCAAATGAGGGCTCACCCTTTGCCAGATTATTAGGGTATACCTGGCTGGCAGTCACACTCTCCAGGGGTTAGTACACCAACCTGAACAGGTCCCTGTGATAGTATGCAAAAAATCACCGCTGGATTGTAAGATGCAAACTTCCAAAACCAAGAACCTCTTCCTGATGAGAGTTAACATCCACCATAAAACACTCCAACAAAATGGCCGCCGCGGATCTAGTGGCTAACTGGCACAGCAAAAGCCCTCGAAAGGCGTCCGTGGGAAACAGGTGAAGGGAGTGGACACCTTTCATGACAAACGAACTGCCGAACGCATACAGTGATTGGAACTCCGTGAACGGAGATCCACGAACAGTAGGTCGTGAAAATATCCAAACGGTCGTTCAGAATAGGCACTAACGGTGAACCTTGAGGACTGCCCGTTCGTGCCAAAATGCACAAAACAAGTGAATGCCCAGTCTTTTTCATTGTGAACAGCGCGGGAAAGCTAGTGAAAGTTGCGAACGTAGCCACCAGGGAGGGGGGAAAGGGGGAAGTACAGGCCACCTCAGAGAAGAGAGTGCAAACATGTCAAACTCAAAGTCTAGCAAAGCCCAGGCAGTCTCCCTGCGGCAAATTAGGACCCCGTGGCCACGTGATCGCTCTAACAAAGCGGTCACATGGCCACAATAGGTTCCTGTTTATCTGCCTGCAGGGGGACTGCCTGTGTTGACAGGCAGTCTCCCTGCTGTAAGATAAAAAAAAAATAAAGTTAAAAAAAGCAATCAGTGTAAATAAAATAAGTGTGTGTATATGTGTATATTTATGTATATATGTATGTATGTATGTATATATATATATGCGTGTGTGTGTATATATATATATATATATATATATATATATATATATATATATATATATAATATATGTACATTTAAATACATTTTAAAAAAGTAAAAATTATTTTTTAATTTTTTTACAAAAATTAAATGTCATTTTATTCTAATCGTATATTGATATATATTTATATCAAAATACACTTAGAATTAAATGATATATCTATGTATGTATAAATAAAAAATAATACGAAATATACACATGTCCATAAATATTATTACTTAAATAATTTCATAAATATACACGTAGACTTCAAATATATAAATATGTATATATATTTAAATTCTCTGTGCATATTTACGTAATATTTTTACATAATTAAGTAATTTTATTGATTTCAATTTGAGGGACCTGTCTGACAACCCAGGCCGAAAGTCCCGACAATTTAATTTGCTAGCACTGTGTTTAACCCTGTAACTTTCTATGACACCCTAAAACCTGTACATGGGGGGTACTGTGTTACTTGGGAGACTTCGCTGAACACAAATATTAGTGTTTCAAAACAGTAAAACAAATCACAGCGATGATATTGTCAGTGAAAGTGACTATTTTTGAATTTTTTTACACACAAACAGCACTTTCACTGATGATATTATTGCCGTGATACGTTTTACTGTTCTGAAACACTATTTGTGATCAGCGAAGTCTCCTGAGTATAACAGTACCCCACGTGTAAGGGTTTTATAGTGTTTTTGAAAGTTACAGGGTCAAATATAAGGCTTGATTTTACTTTTTTTTCATTGAAATTTGTCAGGTTGGTTATGATGCCTTTGAGAGCGTATGGTAGCCCAGGAATGAGAATTACCCCCATGATGGCATACCATTTGCAAAAGAAGACAACCCAAGGTATTGCAAATGGGGTATGTTCAACCTTTTTTAGTAGCCACTTAGTCACAAACACTGGCCTTTTTAACACAAACAAATATGCTAACTTTGGCCAGTGTTTGTCACTAAGTGGCTACTAAAAAAGACTGGACATACACCATATTGAATACCCTGAGTTGTCTACTTTAAAAAAAAAATATGTACATGTGAGGTGTGATTCGGAGATTTATGAGAGATAAGTGTTACAATGTCACTTGATAAATAAAAAAAATAAATAAAATATAAAAAAAAAAAAAAAATTATATATATATATATATATATACACACACACACAAGTATAGTGGCACACACCCTTTCAATGAATCAGTAAAAGACTGCCTTGGTACAATACCACGCTGGATATGTAAAGCAAAAAGGAAAGAGATGCACTCTCAGGTCTTTGTAAAAAAATTCGATATTATTTAATAACCGGTAACATACATCTGATCGACGTTTCCACCTCTTCAGGATCTTGAGGAAGACCTGAAGAGGTCGAAACGTCGATCAGATGTATGTTGCCTGTTATTAAATAATATCGAGTTTTTTTTACAAAGACCTGAGAGTGCATATCTTTCCTTTTTGATATATATATATATATATATATATATATATATATATATATATATATATATATATATATATATATATATATATATATATATATATATATACACAGCAATTTCCTACTTGTACTTATAGCCCTATAACTTGCACAAAAGCATGTAAACACTGGGTGTTTTTAAACACGGGACAAAATTTGGAATCTATTTAGCAGTTTTTTTCATTAGCTTTTGTAGATAAGTAACACATATTTTTTTCAAATCAAGTCCAAAAACTTGTTTGTTTAATTTTTCACCATATTATTATATATATATATATTTTTTTTAAAGTAAAATATATGACATAATACAAATAATGTCCTGAAAAAACCCCAATATATAATTTGTATGGGAACAGTAAATGAGAGAGCGGAAAATTACAGCTAAACACAAACACCACAAAAGTGTTAAAACCGCTCTGGTCTTTAACATACAACATGGCCAAAACAGGCCGGTCCTTAAGGGGTTAAAGGAGCACTGTTTTGGGTGTCCTATCTCACAGTGGGTTTGCCCTGGTTGTTTACTGCATGTTTCCAATTTTGTTTTTCAGAGCCAAGTGTTTCCTTATCCAGAGATTAGCAAGGATGAGTTACAAGAAATAAACCAGTTTGTGGCTCCTGTGGAGAAGTTCTTCAATGAAGAAGGTTTGAGAACTTTATTTTCTAATAAATGGGTTTAAAAAATATCAGGTGGGAGTGGAGCACCTAAGGTGAGGGGGGAGAGACGAGAGGACCTGCAGTCTTTAAATAATAAAAACCTAAAACATACTAACACCTAAGACTAATAAAACTATGCCTGTAAGGTTCATCTGAGGACTGCTCTATTTTTAAAGCATAGCTGTCACTTTTTTTATATATATATTGGCATGTTCCAACACCATCCTTCCCCTCCCCACCCCCCCCTTCCCAGTTGGCTCATGGTTGCTTTATAAATATAGTAATTACATTGGTAAACACACATGCCATAAGACTTGTTTTCCAACAGAAATCTCAAATTTGCAATGAAAATTTTATTGTTCGGCATGGATACCATTTCTGGGCAGTGTCATCTTAGAGATGGCTACACCTAGAAAGAAGACCCAGACTCAATTAAATGACCACTCTTGGCACACAGACCACTTCAGCTTAATGAAGTGGTCTGGGTGCCAGGTCCCTCTAGGATTAACCCTTTTTTTTATAAACATAGCAGTTTCAGAGACAGCCGCTAGAGGCGTTTGCGTGCTTTTCACTGTGAAAATCACAGTGAGAAGACGCCAGCGTCCATAGGAAAGCATTATGAATGCTTTCCTATGAGACCGGCTGAATACGCGCGCAGCTCTTGACGCGCGTGCGCATTCAGCCGAAAGGGAGGAGAGGAGGAGAGCTCCCCACCCGGCGCTGGAATAAAGGTAAGTTTAACCCCTTTCCTCTCCCCAAAGGCGGGCGGGTGGGGGTCCCTGAGGGTGGGGGCACCCTCAGGGCACTATAGTGCCAGGAAAACGAGTATGTTTTCCTGGCACTATAGTGGTCCTTTAATAATAGTAACTTAATTCTTCAAAATATGCTTATCCATATCTAAAGCAATCGTTCATTCCCTTACTATATTACTATTTATGTTTTCACTGGAAGCCTCTTCCAGGTACAAACTACTGTAATCGGATGTAGCTTTCTTCATAGGTTGTAAACTTAATTTAGTGGATTTTATTATTTGCATTTAATGTACATGGTACAGCTAAACCATTAAAATCATATCTAAATGTTTATATAGTGGGGTTAAACACACCGGTAGTGGTTATCATACTGACAGCCACAAGATGGTGCTTCTGCACCCAAAACTAAGTCAGACTCGATTGTATGATGTGAGAATGTCTTCTGATGCTTAGAGAAGCATTATATTCGGTGCTTCTCTATACAAAATATTTACTTGGTTGAGCGCAGCATTTTGTTCAGAATGCTTCTTTATGAGAAGCATTTGATTGGATGAAAAGTTTGCAATGTAATATCATGCTTGATGATGAGTAAAGAAGCAGATTGGGCTGCTGCAATGATATACCTTGGGCCTGGAAAAGGGTAAGTTAAGAATATTAGCAATACAGTTTTAAAGGAGGACACAGAGATCATTAGAACAATTTGAACCTTGGCAGTACAGCAGGGATGTTTATTGCAATGATGGACAGGTAACCTTCTCTGAAAAATATTGAACCGATAACATCTCCCACCACAAAACAGCCCTTGGATACCTCCACCACACTGACCATATCAGTTCTTGCTTTTCCTGTGAGTGGGACGGTCAGGTTTTTTTTTTTTCAAGACTCTGTGGAAGTGCTGTTGTTGGGTGTAAGCATTGATTGCTCACCTGGGTTGCCTTCAGCACAGTAGTTACCCTCGAGGTGAACTTCTGCATTCGGACTGATTGGTGGAGTTACAGGATGTGCAGGCCATGTTGAATTAATTACAATGCGGTTGACAAAAGTTCACTCTGGCGACCTTTGGTTTACCCAGGTGGCCACCAGTCATTTGTCATTCACAGAGTCTGTTCACAGCTGGTGGAGATACACCTATGTTCCATGGCTTTTTCTGATGTGCTGTTGAACATGCACAATGCCCAAACAGAACACTGTGACTTGGGAGCAAAATGTATGTGTCCCACGCACACAAAAAATAATCATACAGTTTTACACTTTACAAGGCTACTTAAAATCACAAGTTTAGCAACTTGTTCAGCTTGCATTGTTGAACACCCCTTTCAGCTAGAAGGATATTTTTTTAGCCTCTATTCCCTCTTTACTCACCTACACAATCCAGCTAACTTATTCACTAAACACCAACTTCAAAGCTCACAATTAAAAGAAGTTTTTTTGTTTTATTTCTTTGTTTTTTTGCTGTTAAAAACACACGATTTAGGCAAAAGTAATGGAGATTTTAGTATATGATCATACATTGCTTAACCCTGCCACCAATGTACCGCATATTTGCATACAGTTATGGGAAAAAGAAAGCACATCCTCTGAATTCTATGTTTTTTACATATCAGAACATAACAATCATATGTTCCTTAGCGGGTCTTATAATTAGGTACATCAGATGAACAACACATGCCATATTGCACACTGTCATGATTTATTTTACAAAAATAAAGCCAAAATGGAGAAGCCATGTGTGAAAAACTAAGTGTACCATTACTGCTCCCATAGGAATTAGGAGGCTAAGTAGCAGACAGGTACAAATTCCCTTGATTAATTGATCATCAGCAAATGTGACCACCTCTATAAAAGCCAAAGTTTTAGAAGTAGCTGTTCTGGAACATTCAGGTGTGTGTTATCACAATGCCAAGGAGGAAAGACATCAGCAATTGTTGTGCCCAGCAAACTGGTAAGAGTTATATGGTCCTTTCCAAACAATTTTTAAACTCCATCAATGTACAGTGAGAAATATTATTCAAAAATGTAAAACATTCAAGACAGTTGCCAGTATTCCCAGGAGTGGATGTCCCAGTAAATTCACCCCAAGGTCAGACCATGAAATGCTCAGAGAAATAAAAAACAAACAATAGTTGCATCTCAGATTCTAAAACCATTAGCATGTTAAATGTTAAAGTTCATGACAGTATAATTAGGAGCAGGCTGAAGAAGTTTGGTTTGTTTGGTAGGCTTGCCAGAGAGAAAACATCTTCTCTCTAAAAAGAAAATGGTAGCATGACTTAGGTTTGCAAAGTTCCATCTGAATAATTCACATTCACTTCTGGACCAATTTCCTTAGATCAGATGAGACCAAAGTGGAGATGTTTGGCCATAATGCACAATGCCACGTATTTGGGAGATGTTTGGCCATAATGCGTGTTTGGATTGGTAAAATCCAAACACACATTGACACAAACACCTCATGGCAACAGTTAAGTATGGTGATGGAGGGGTGATGATTTGGCCTTGTTTTGGGAACTTTGGAGCCATTGAGCCGACCTTGAAATTATCTTCATACCAAAATATTCTAGAGTCAAATGTGAGGCCATCTGTCTGAAATCATGTCATGTAACAGTACTATGATTCCAAGCACACCAGTAATCTACGATAGAATGGCTGAAAAATAAAATATTTAGTGTTACAATGGCCTAGTCAAAGTCCAGACCTCAACTCGATTGAAATGCTGTGTTGGGACCCAAAGAGAGCTGTGCATAAACAAATGCCAGCAAACCTTTAATTAACCCCTTAAGGACGGAGCCAAATGTACACGTTGTGAACGAAACAAATTGTAAACAAAACCTGGCATTTGCGCTACATGTCTGTCCAACCGTAATTCACCTCTTTCATATTAAATGCACCCACCCTTATTATATATCATTTTATTCAGGGGAAACAGGGCTTTCATTTAACATCAAATATTTAGCTGTGAAACATAATTTAATATGAAAAAAATGGGAGAAAATAAGATTTTATTTTTATTTTTTTTAGTTCTACATGCCATTTTAACGGTCAATGTCATAATACTTTTTTCTTTTACTGCAATAAAAAACACATATTTGTATTTAGCAAAGTCTCACGTGAAAAAACAGTACCCCCTATGTACAGGTTTTATGGCGTTTTGGGAAGTTACAGGGTCAAATATAGCACGTTACATTTGAAATTGAAATTCGCCAGATTGGTTACATTGCCTTTGGGACTTTATAGTAGCCCAGGAAAGAAATTTACACCCATAATGGCATATCATTTGCAATAGTAGACAATCCAAGGTATTGCAAATGGGGTATGTCCAGTCTTTTTTAGTAGCCATTTGGTCACAAACACTGGCCAAAGTTAGCGTTAGTATTTGTGTGTGTGTGAAAAATGCAAAAAACAACAATTTTGGCCAGTGTTTGTGACTAAGTGGCTACTAAAAAAGACTGGACATACCCCGTTTGCAATACCTTGGGTTGTCTACTATTGCAAATGGTATGCCATCACAGGGGTATTTTTATTCTTGGGCTACCATAGGGTCTCAAAGGCAACGTAACCAATCTGGCGAATTTTTATGTGAAAAAAATGAAACGCAAGCCTTATATTTGACGCTGTAACTTTTGAAAACACCATAAAACCTGTACATGAGGGGTACTGTTGTACTCGGGAGACTTCGCTGAACACAAATATTTGTGTTTCAAAACAGTAAAAAGTATCGCAGCAATAATATCGTCCGTGTAAGTGCTGTTTGCGTGAAAAATGCAAAAAAGTCACTTTTACTGGCGATATCATCGTTGTAATACATTTTACTGTTTTGAAATACTAATATTTGTGTTCAACGAAGTCTCCCGAGTAGAACAGTACCCCCCATGTACAGGTTTTATGGTGTCTTGGAAAGTTATAGGGTTAAATATAGTGCTAGCAAATTAAATTCCCTTTACTTTCGGCATGGGTTGTCAGGCAGGTCCCGCTAATTGTAATTAATTAAGATACCTAATTATGTAGAATTAATATATGTATATATATATATATATATATACATATGTGAATATATATGTGTGTGTGTATGTGTGTATATATATATATATATATATATATATATATATATATATATATTATTTCGTTCTACATGTATTTTGATATAAATATATATAGATATATATATATATATATATATAAATATCACAATACAGTTAGAACGAAAGAACACACATCTATATATTTTTTAATTATTTTTTTTACATTTTTTTTAATTTTAATTTTTTAATGTAATTACATATTTAATTTTTTTTTAAATAATTATATATATATTTAATCAGTATCAGTCTACGTGTAATTTGATATATTTATATATATATATATATATATATATATATATATATATATATATATATATATATATATATATATATATATATATATATATATTAATAGTAAAATACACCTAGACAGTGTGTGTGTGTGTGTGTGTGTATGTATATATATATTTTTTACACTTTTTTTTAATTTTATTTTATTTCCAGCCAGCAGGGGGACCACCTGTCATTACAGGCAGCCCCCCTGCTGGCAATGCAGGAGGCAGCTATCCCGGCCATATGATTGTGAGGTCCTCGCAAGGACCTCTCACTCAATTGGCCGGGGGTGGCTGCCAGTGGTTCTACAAGCTCATGAATGAATCAGGTTTACTTCTACATGTTGTGTGCGTGTGGAGTGACTGATTGTATTAGTCTTACTGAGTGTGTGTGATAATTGTGTGTGAGAGCTGATTTTGATATGGTAATTGTGTGTGGGGGGTGAGTATGACAAGGTGACTGTGGGTTGAGTTGTGATGGGGATTGCAATGGGGGAATGAGTGTGTTTTAGGGTGATTCATGAGTGTTGTAACAGGGTGACTGTGTGGGGTGAGTTTAAAATGGTGAATATGTGGGCGGTGAGTATGATATGATGACTGTGTGAGGTGAGTGACAGAGTGATTGTGGGGGGCTAATATTACTGTCTGTTCGAAAGCTATTGGGATTATGAGAGAGAATATTAAAATGGTTATTTAAAAGAACTGCTATATATTATAGGATTACTCTTGACCTGTCTAATCTTCTCCCAAGTCTTAAAATACTAGTAGAACACATCTACTGAATCACCCTGATCTATATATATATATATATTAATCAAATAATTTCCTAACCACCGATGTTAAACTCGCAAATGTTTAGTTTGTGGGTTGAGCTTTTGAACTTTTTTTAAATACAGACACCACATTGCTTTTCTCAAATTCTCTGGTACAATTCCTGAAAGAAAAGAATCCTGAAAAATTTAAAACAGTGGCATGAATATTTCTACACTAATCTTCCTACACAAATGTGGATGAAAACCCTCTGGTCCTGGACTTTGAGTACATTACTTTTATTTCATTTCTGAAGCATTTCATCATGTGTTAACTAGTCACCTATTTGCTGTAAGGCTTTTGTAATAGGAATTTGCACATCTAGAGTCATAGCTTCGTCTCCCATATTTACAAAAGAAAAATAATAATTTAGAATTTCTGCCTTATTCATATACTCCATATCCTCACAAATCTCACTTTCCAATAAACACTTTTACTCTTAAAGGATCAGTATAGGGTCAGGAACACAAACATGTATTCCTCACCCTATAGTGTTAAACCCAGCATTTAGGTGTCTTGCCCCCCTATGAAGGTTTAAAACTCACCTTATTTCCAGCGCTGCGCGGGTCCTTAGGGAAAGCATTGGATTGGCTAAAATCGTCACGGGGCGGGGCCAAATGCTGTTTTGGCCAATCAGGACCTCTTCATAGAGATGCATTAAATCAATGCATCTCCATGAGGAAAATTCAGCATCTCCATGCAAAGCGTGGGGGCGCTGAACAGCAGGGCTGCTTACTGTGCAGCAGAGAGCCAGGTGGCCACTTGGAGGTGTCCCTAGGGGCAATATAAACACTGCCTTTTCTATGAAAAGGCAGTGTTTGCATAAAAATGCCTGAAGGGAGCAATTATACTCACCAGAGCAACTACATTAAGCTGTATTTGTTTTGGTGACTGTAGTGTCCCTTTAACCCCTTAAGGACACATGGCATGTGTGACATGTCATGATTCCCTTTTATTACAGAAGTTTGGTCCTTAAGGGGTTAAACATACTCTCTTTGGTAAAATCCAAACACGCATATCGGCACAAACACCTCATGGCAACTGTCAAGCATGTCTTCATACTAAAAAGTTAGACTATACACAGTGAGGGGCTTACCAATTTTTGTTCACAGTTTTGAAAGTAGGAAATGTTTTTTTTTTCTTTATTTCAGTCAATTCTAAGAAGATTGATGAAACTGCTAATATTCCCCGTGAAACTTTGGAAGGATTGAAAAATCTTGGTCTCTTTGGCATTCAGATTCCTGAAGAATATGGTACGTTTTTCAGATAATCTTTTTTCTCCTTTGTGTTTTTTTTTTTCACTATTCTGTGTCAAATATGCAGCAATGAACTACAATAACAGGAAGTATATATAAAATGTGCGGGATAACATTTCAGCGTTGGGGAGCATGACTAGAATATGTGCATAGGACAGCTGCAAAATGATGCATTCCTAGAATGTGCACATCAGAATAGAGTATATAGAATGTGAAAAAAAAAGTGCAGAATATAGAATTGTGGCAAATGCATAAGTATTTCTTTACTTGGGTAAATTGTCACATAATGTTTATCCATTTCCATCAGTATGGTGTTGGTTGCATATGTCTTATGTGCAACTGACTTCTCTCATTTAAATTATTTCTTTATCTACTCACTTTGCTTGTACAATTTCATTGTTATAGAGGGAAAAGATTCCTCCGACTTGGGTTCTCTGTGTCATTGAATGGGGCAATTGGAAAACACTGATTTGTACAATTTCAATGTTAGAGAGGTGAAGGATTCCTCCAAATAGGGCTTTCTGACAGAAATACATTTTTTAATCTGTGAAATTGTCAAAATATGTCCATTCCACAGACACCTTACAAGGCCTGTCTACAAATTCTGCCAAACAGCTTAAGGTACACTGGTTATGTCTCATCTCCTTTTATAGGTAATGCCATCTGTATTCTGAAGAATTATAATGGAAGGCACAATTATTCACATCTGGATTATTATTGTTTTTTTGGGGCTTATGACTCTTAGCAGAGAGAGAGTCTCCTGACTCCTAATAGTCGATTAGCATATCAAAAAGTTAGAGACTTGTGTTTTAGTGGGGCACCAAAAAGACGTGTAGCCAGTGGTTCTGGGGAAAAGTTCACATGATGTTTACTTTTTTTTTTTTTTTCAGTGAATATCCTTCTTATTATTAGATATTTGAAAATAATTTGCAAGCAATACAAATAGAGTACACAGTAGAACAGTGTGATGACATTTTTCGTACATGCTCAGCATTACATTGGTTGTTGGTTGGTAATGGTTAGTAAAGGAATAGTTATAACACACATTAGAAATAATCACACCCTGACGTGCATACACACATATAAAAACCATACAAATAAAGTGCGCTGTGTCTTTAAACTCCTAATATATTGCAGAATGCCAAAACATATTCCACTCAATAATAAAGTGTGCGTGTGTGTGCGTGTGTGTGTGTGTATATGTGTGTGTGTATGTGTATGTGTATATATATATATATATATATATATAATGTGAAACATAAAGTGCATCACAAAAAAACTGTGTAAAAGTGCACTGTGCAATAAAACACAAGCAAGTGTACAAATATTTTGTGTAAAAAAAAAAAAAAAAAATTGCCTCTATTCTTTGCCAGCTACTTACATGAGAACACTCTATACATACTATTTTCAGCAAGGAGTAATAATACCAGGAGTATCTCATGTAAGAAAATAAATTTAAAAAAAACATAGGGTAATATTGCAAAAATAATTGTAAAGGAGAATATACAACTCACAAGTGTAGAGCAGAGAAGTGTGCTCTAACTGTATAGGCTCTTCAATATAATCAGAGTTACAACTGTTAAAGAAACAACTTTATTCTGCTTCTACTTTAAAAGCATGCAGGCTGGCAGGTAACACCTCTGCTAGATACAGCTTTCCTTCATAGAGCTTTGCTGGGATATCGGGTCTGTTACTGGCTCCTCTGAAACTCAGAAAACTGTGTGGCAGGGCTTCCGATCAGTGTGCAAAATTGATGTGATGTGAAGGCGCGATGACGCGTTTCACCAATGACTCTGCTTCCTCAGATCTGCCTTACAACAGTCCACAGTCTCTCTCGCAGTGACTCCAGGCTGTATCCGCTTCTTCCTCCTTCCAGCCTTGAGAAACTCACATACATGAACAGCGGATGCTGACTTATTAGAGTTAATTCTCCAGTTGCACAAAAACTCTGTCATAGGAGGCGGGACCAACAGGCTGAGTGGAATATGTTTTGGTACTCTGCAAACTAGACACAGCACACTTTATTTGTATGTTTTTTTTTCTATGGATATATGTGTTTCTTAAGCTTTTACACATTATAAGCTGCAGCTTTATATAAATGTTTTCATTTTTAGCGCCATACTTTTACTTTTTTACTTTTTATGATTGCGTTCACACATATCATCAGTAGCGAATGACAAGACAGTGTATAAACAAAGAACAAAAAGGAAACTGTAATACCTCCATATATGTGTTGTAAGATACATTAGTTGTAAAACTCATTTAAGCCACAATTCACCCTAGATGTGTAACATATCTTAGATCTCGACTTTGAACTATTATTTAGAGTCACCAGAAGAAACGTCTAGTAGAGGGAAATCGAACATTTGTGTGTCAATCCTTTCCCATGGAGCTATTTAACATCTGCCACCTAGCCCAAGTACTGGCAAAGATATTGCACGTGCCTGCTATTCTATGGGATATTTCTTCATAAATCTTAGTTTTGCTTAATCTCTCTAATACCATAGAGATTGATGGAGGGTTATTATTTTTCCATTGCCCTGCTATGCTACATTTTGCAGTACCGTATATACTCGAGTATAAGCCGAGTTTTTCGGCACATTTTTTGTGCTGAAAAACCCCAACTCGGTTTATACTCGAGTCAGTCTGTATTATGGCAATTTACATTGGTGAGTGATCTTGTGTTGCTTTCATCTTGATTTGGTGCCAGAATTGCGCACAGACGTTGTCAAATTTTAAGCAGAAGGCCTCTGTCCAGTGGATCTGTCGCAGACCCATGTGGTAGCACAGGATCCGCCGCCATCTTGAGAGCAGGCTGCCCCTCCCAGCCTGGACCCCAAAAGGCAGCGATCAGTCAGGACCAGAGCTTCGCTGCAGTAGGTCGCAGGAATGCACCAATTGGTGCCCATGATGTCCCAGACTGGCTGAAGTTGCTTGCACCCTGTTGTCTGCGATTCTGCAGGTATTTGGCCGATTTAGGCTAGGAGCCCCTGTTCCATGTGACCGCTCAGTATGGTGGCCAAGCCCCGACCCCCCCAGAGACCTGCTTTCTTTCCCTTTTCTTGTCAAAAAAGTGGTCTGATTAAAATATGTTGCAGGGCTTTGTTAGGTCCTTTCTGGGTGCATGAGCTAAGAGTTAGTCACTTTATGCAGTGGGAATCTCTGACGGAGACCGCAAATACTAAATATTATGTTAAATGCTACTTATTGCCAGCAGAAGCTACTGAATGTCACAAAACCTAATTAAATTTTAGAAGTGAAAAGTCTGACATTCCTGGAAAAAGGTTCTGCCACTTCCTGGGGTCTTTTCATGTTTTGCAAAGACCCCTGAGGGTGACTGATCTGCTTCTAGTGTGTTGGCCCAGTGGTGCAGGGGAAGTAGGTAAGATTTATTTCATAAAGATTAAAAAAATTTTGTTTTTCTTTTTGTGGAGTAGGGAGTTGCAGAGCCGCTTTAACCTATCAAAATGTATGACACATCTCAAACTGATTGTTGTCCAAATTCTAAGTAAACAAATACTTTTAATATTTTTGCTAAACATTTTGTTTTCCCAATAGGAGGCCTTGGATTATCGAACACAATGTATGCTCGCTTGGGAGAGATAACTTCCCTAGATGGAGCCATTGCCGTCACCCTGGCTGCCCATCAAGCCATTGGACTTAAGGTATAAACCACAACCAACAACTGTAGGTTGCATCTAATCCCTTATTTCCTGTACTCCCTGTATGCCTTTCACCACCATGCTGCAGCCCAGGTTGCAGGTAACATCTATTAATTGCAGAGTGTTTATTTACTGGAGAAAATATCTACTCTACTTTGGGACATTTGGGTCTTATGGTTTTTGGAAGTATTTCTCCAGGAGACCAACTTCTCGTCCGCAGTTATGAGAGAAACACTTTTCTGATGGTTACTTCAGTAATAATCTGAGTGCAAAGATGGCGGGGTTTGCAGTCTTCATTGCCTCGCAGGTATAGTCCAATATTCTCCACACTGATAATCTGTATTCGTCTACAGAGACAAACACCAATAGCACCTATATTTAGCAGTTGCTAAAGAAGTACAGTATTGTCATGTATACTAAGGGGCATTAATTCTCAGACCTTATAATACAGATCCTCTGTCAGGATTACTAATTGATCGTAGAACTGTATCACACCTAGGACAAGAAGGTAACGTCTTACCGTGCCTTAGAATGGCCAGACTTAATGTACCAGAGAATAGTCAGAATACTTGCCGAGGTCGGGGACACAGAATGGAACACAGCGATAAGGGAAAGCCAAAAGTCAGGGACACCAGAATACAGGGAAGTCAAAACGAAGCCAAAGTCAATAACCAGAAATAAACGCTCAGGAACACACTCTCGGACAGCCACTAAGGGAAACCACGACAGAGTAATGAGTAAAAGGAAGAAAAGGAGTTCAGATCCGATTGGCTGTTCCCAGCCTTTGACCCCAGAACATTTTACATTACCCCCCACCTGAAGACCGCCCACCTCATACTCCTCCTGTCCAGAAACAACCAAAGAGGGAGACAGCCAAATAAATGGTTTTAGCAAGGAAACATGGAAAGTATTGGGAATACGCAAAGAGGCAGGAAGTGCCAAAGCGTAATAATTTGGAACAGTGCATTGCAAGTTTTTTATGTTTTTAAAAAAAAATACTGTTATAATTAGGAGGTTTGTTCAATAAAATTTAAATTGTACTCTTAATAGTTGATAACATGAGAATTATGCTGACTGTTATTTACATCAATTATTTAGGTAAATGAGAAAAATATCATTTGCATAATAATTTAGAACAGGGTGTAGTGCTGAGATGCAGGATTATATCCCTAGCCCCCCTCTGGTGATGTGCTGGTCTCGCCCGGACTGGCTCTGCCTCAGTGGATAAGATTATCCATCTTGGTGAAGGTCTGGGAGGGAGGGTCTGCTGCTGATTGGCTGGAATGTGTCTGCTGACTGTGAGGTACAGGGTCAAAGTTTACTCAATAATGACATAGGGGGCGGACCGAACAGCGCATATGTTCGCCGTCTGCGGGGAACCGTTCGGGACATCACTACTCATCAGTGAACAGGACTGTTTAAAAATTAGTCTTCATGTATTTTTCTGCCCAATGCAGCCATTTCTGCTTGTGAGCATTGGTTAGCGGTGGCCGAATAAAAGGTTTATGCACAGTTGCAAGACTCTCCACCTTTGTGTCCGTGGGACTACAGAGGCACCATCAGCTTCAAATATGTGTTTGCTGCTATGTAATGGTATTTTAGCAGCTGCTCTCTTGATGCAATGCATGGATCTGGCAGAAATCTTCCACAATGTGCCTTTATCTGCACGAACCCGTCTGTGCTCTGAAACAGCCACAAATCTCTTAATAGTGTGATGATCACGCTTACGTTTTCGTGAAATATCTAATGTTTTCATACCTCGTCCAAGGCATTTAACTATTTCACTCTTTTCAGCAGCAGAGAGATCCTTTTTCTTCCTCATATTGCATGAACATTGTGCTCTGTTTAATAATGTGGAACACCCTCCTTTAGTAGTTTTTCCTTAAATTGGGTTCACCTGGCAATCTAATTATCACAGGTGTCTGAGATTTTCAGTGATCAAAAGAGCCCTGAGACACAATGCCATCCATGAGTTAAACTGAAAAACAAAATATTTAATCTTTGTGACACTTAAATAGAATTTGCATAATAATTTGGAACAGGGTGTATAGTGTCGGGAATAAATGAGTATTCTTTACAATATAGTGTTCCTTTAACTACTTACTTTTGTTTGTAAAGCTTCAAGAACATTAATGTATATTAGGATATATATATAAAAATGTATGTAGATTATACACACATGTACATAGTGGCTAACCCACCACTCCAGGACCCTTGAGAGAAACAAAGAGTAGACACAGTAGTAGATGTAGAACCAATGCAATAACAGTCTGAAGTTTTTGAATAATCAGTGCAGCTGCTTAATTGGCACCACAGTAATCAGTGCAGCTGCTTAATTGGCACCACAGTTAATTCTGAGAATTATATTTTCATGTAATGGAGATCTTTATCAAGATGTGTACAAGCATAAACTCTAAGTTTATCTAAGGCATAAAATAAGGAAATCACTTACCCAGTGCGGGTGTGCCCGATTGATCCGTGATCAAGACGCTGTGTGAACAGGTGAGAGTGACCGCACATGCGTGAGAGGCGTGCGTGATGACGTGGTATGTGTAAGCTATAGTAACTATGATCGCGCCTGGTAACCATGGTGACGCGGGGGTAAAGGGTGGCTGTGTTCTACTGTGTGGATTCACAGGGTCCATAAAAACAAGTGGAGGATAGTGTATAAATAAAAAAGAAGGGTGAATCTGAAATAACGAGCTTAAGTAAATCTGTTGAATGTAGAAGACCGAAAGAGTCGAGTACCGATATGTAGATAAGAAGAGAAGAATGAAATATGTGTATAGTGGACTTGAAAAGTGATAGGAAGAGGCAGATGAAAAAGTGGGGGAAGAAAGTGAAGAAAGAAATATGGGAATAAGTTTAAGAATAGAAAACAGGAGAGAAGAGTGAGACTGTAGACATTATGAAGTGACGGTGGAGAGTGATGTGACAAGGTAAGGTAAAGGAGGATTGGAAATAGAAGAAAAGTGAAAAAGACCCAAACAAATGTGAACAAAACCAAATAAAGATAATAAACAAGTGATATAGTAAAAATACAAAGGTCATTATACATAAGAACAACATGTTACTGTATGCTGACAGGTATATCGTGAATCCAATGAAGCCGAGAAGAAACCTAGGCTTATATATATGAAAAAACTTGTTTGGAATTTAAACTAGAATAATATATGTAAAGGTTATACAATGTGTTTAACCATAATATTTTCTAAGATAAGACTATAATGAAATACATATATTGTCCACCTATGCCTAGAGGGAGAACATGAAAAATAAAATAAAAAATAAACAAAAAAATAATAAAAAAATAAATAAAAATACAAAGAAGAAAGTGAAATACACTTGAAAAAATAAAAATAGGGCTAAAAATAAAAGATACAGAATGAAAATAAATGCATGTGTAATTAAATTAGCGTGTACCTAAAGGATCACTATAGGGTCAGGAACACAAACATTTTTTCCTGACCCTATAGTGTTAAACCCACCATCTTAGCCCCCTTGGGCCCCTCATGGCTCCATAACTTTAGTAAAAATCTTACTGTATTCAAGCTTGAAGCTGTAACTCTGCATGCTGTTAGACTCACAAAAACAAGCAGTGTGTTGACATCATCAGAAGTGGTAGCCTGATCCAATCACAATGCTTCCCGATAGGATTGGCTGAGACTGACAAGGAGGCAGATCAGGGGCAGAGCCAGCATGATTCAAACACAGCCCTGGCCAATCAGCATCTCCTCATAGAGATGAATTGAATCAATGAATCTCTATAAGGAAAGTTGTGTCTGCATGCAGAGGGAGGAGACACTGAATGTTTGGATGCATTTTAGGCAGCCATGACCCAGGAAGGATCTCTAACAGCCATCTGAGGAGTGGCCAGTGAAGTTATCACTAGGCTGTAATGTAAACACTGCATGTTCTCTGAAAATACAGTGTTTACAGCAAAAAGCCTGAAGGTAATGATTCTACTCACCAGAACAAATTCAATAAGCTGCAGTTGTTCTGGTGACTATAGTGTCCCTTTAAGAAGGAGTTGAATGAGATATATATTCATTGAGTCCCTCTGGGTGCATAGTGTCCAATATTTTGATCCAGTATGTTTCACGTTGAAGTAGCAGTTTAGATCTGTCTCCTCCTCTAGACAGGGGGGAGGGACATGATCAATAGCCATGAATTTGAGTGTTGGAATAGGGTGTTGTGCCTTCAGGACATGTTTAGCTAACCAAATACCTTTTTTTTACATTTTGTATAGGATGCCTCTGGTTTATCTATTTATTTATTTATTTTAAATTACCTTTTCTTAGTTTTAATTTAATTTAATTGGTTTCAGTTTGTATATTTGATATTTGTTACTGAATGTTCTATACTGAGAAACAAATGTTTTTGAAGATATTCCATTTATCCTTCTTTTTTTACAAAAAGAGTATATGCCAGTCAAGGAGTTGTAAAGCTGCCCTTGTAATTTAAAAAAAGGCCAATTTCAATCAAATATGTTTTATCACTCCCAATGTGTAGACACTATTGTGATCACCATTTCCCAAGTGCTCCATTACATTAATATTTGACAAAAGATCAGCATGGTTATAACCAGATCCAGAGAAAGAATTCTAGTTGGTGCTCATACTAACTGTGACATACCGCTGTCACCTGACAGGTTCAAAAACCTGATCCCCCAAGCTTCTACTAGTGTCTCTTTCCCAATTTATGCATAGGTAATTAAAATGATTACTCAGATGTGCAGTTTTCCCAGTTTGCTTTAACAACGGTTCTTCCTCATCAATATTAATATTCTGTGATTTATAGCATATTCTAACTAATAATACATTTTTCCTCTTTTGTCCCGAGCAGATATCTACCCATAAGGCTTCCACATTTTCTCAATTTTCTTTGTCACATGCCAATTTTATAATATATGGCATTAATACATGGTTAACATAAAAACATAACCTTCCACCTTTCATATCTTTTTCTATCCTTCCTAAACAACGTGTAATCATTTAAGTTGACTGCCCATTCATGTGTTTTATCCCACCATGTTTCCTTTATGCCTATTATGCCATATTGTTTAGTATATTCTATTGCATGCAGTTCCCCTATTTTGTTATTTAGGCTCCTTGCATTGGCAAACATACTTGTAATATTGTTATGTGCCACTTGGACCTTATGTATTTTTTATTTTTTTTAATTCTCTTCTGTTCTGATCTTATCCCTCCCCCCATCCCCACCCCTTGTCATTTTGGAGACCAAGTACAGCATTTTATTTTTATTCTTTGCTAGAGACATTGTGGGTTTTATTGGGAAAGTGAAAAAAATATATAAATGCTCAATGATATAGTTCTATATTTGTGATTGAAGAAATGTTTGGTTTCTGTTTAGGGACTCTTACTTGCTGGAACTGAAGAACAAAAAGCCAAATACCTCCCCAAACTGGCATCTGGTGAGCACATTGCAGCATTCTGCCTCACTGAGCCTGGAAGGTAATGATACATTAACTCATTTGTTTTGTTTATTTTATGTTGTTGTTTAGTTTGAAAACTATTTGTACTACAATTTCAATTATATTCTTGCTTTAAGTCAAGGCTGTCCAAAACATGGCCTGCTGTAAGATTTTATGCAGCCCGCTTGAAGCAGAACAACCTCCTGCAAGCTCAAGGGGTTATCTTTGTGTGTATATGTGTGTGTATGAGTCAGTGTGTATCTGTGTGATAAAGTTAAAGAAAACACCCTTAACATAGCATCATGAAAGGAAATAAGTAAATATATACAAAGAATAAAACCAAATTAAAATAATTAAATACTGTAGTCAGTCCAGATATAAAGTCCCAAATAAAAGTGTCCACAAGTAACCATAGGCATTAAGCCACAATAAAGTGTGTTGTAAAATATCAATCTTGCCTCGGCCACTATATGGGAACCCCTGTCACAGAATGGACTGGAGTCACTCCTAACAGGGTTGTAGTATTATCTAGTACTTCCCATAGGAAATCACATATACACAATATAGTACATATCCACATGTGATTATACAAAAATACAGAAAAAATAAAATCAAGTAAAAAAGCACTGTGAATTTTTTTTTTTTTTTTGTGAATAGAAACTTTAAAATATTCAAAAGGTGATCTGAATTTTATACAAGTGAGAATAGCTCAAAAACACCTAGTATAAAAATGTATAGGGGGAAAAAAAGTGCGCTATGCCTTTTGAATACTTTGAGCACCCGGCAAGTATAGGACATTATAGCCTGAGTGCAAGGATTTTTTTCTATTCATTATTGTGCGTGTGTATGTATGTATATGTGTATATATATGTGTGTGTGTGTGTGCAATCTCAAGTGCACTATAAAGTTTTAAACGTAGTGCCCAATATACAGTTTTATCACAAATATATTGTGTATATTGTGCACTTTGTGATGAGAAAAAATAGCACTTACTCTATTATAGCTTGAGGAAAGGGACTGAACAATATACATTTCCAGGTATAAATAGTGCAGTTCAAAACATAAAATTAGAAATAAAAAAACAGATCTAGTGTAGATCTTGGGTGTCACACCTGCACTGGGTAAGTGATTACTCTGTAATAATTTATGCCTTATATAAACAATTCACTCACTTGTATGCACATCTTGACAAAGACCTCTTGGGTCGAAACGTTGATAAAATTCGTTGAAAAAATCCTCTGGAGTACTCTCTTCATCTACTTGCATATCTATTTACGCTGTGCAGCACCAGGGTCAATTCACCGATACATTTAAAGGTAGAGTGCTGTGTTTTCTTGTTCCAATCTGTGCCATTCATTTTTTATTCTTGACTATGATACTATGGCTGGCTTAGGCCTCTATGCTTCATGGTAGTATTGCCGCCCCCTGGCCTCAGAGCTTTGTGGCAGTCCCAGTGCGTTGGGCGTTGCATGTACAATTTTCTATTATCGCATGTTGGGAACAGAATAAGCCATAGAAATTTAGACTTTGTATTTGAAGTAGAATGGTTGTGTAGTATCTACATCACACAAAGTATATTAATATAGAACTCTATAATTTCTTCACAGTGGAAGTGATGCAGCTTCAATCCAGACCAGAGCAACTCTGAGTGCTGACGGCAAACATTATTTTCTCAATGGCTCAAAGGTATATTTACATATGCTGTGGATTTCTGTGTTAAATTTAAGGTAAACAAATGTGGGACATCTTGAGGCTGAGGATGATATTTATTGTGAATGTTCACATTTTCTGAGTTTCTGGGGTGCATGGGTACATCACCCAAATATGTGGGCATATCACCCTTTCCCCAGCTGTTAAGTTTTTTTTTTGACAAATTCACAGGGTCTCTGCTTAAATGGGCTCATTTCTACAGTCTCTAAATGAATGGGGTTCTCCATAACATCATACAGGAAAATAGATAGATCCTCAAAGTAAGTGCAGTATCTCAGGGATTTGGTAAGCAGAATGCCTGTGTTTCAAGTTAAAATGGTAGATTTAAAGGAAGAATCCATTGAAAAACATGTGCTATATTTTAAACAATTTAGCAGATATTCCTCCAATGAAAATGTGCTTGCATTTTTTCTGCAGGTTTTCTTTGTGGGTAAAAAAAACCTGCAAAATCGGTAGATCTGGTGTTTTCAGTCTTTTGAAACACTCCCCTCTTTCGCGAATGCAGACTTTCAGTATGAGCTCAATTGTCATTATAATACAGTTCAATGAGAAAGGGGAAAGTGTAATAAAAATACCTGTACCCGGCACCCGTGCCTCTCCTCTCGAATGCTCCATGTGGCTGCACGGCCTGAATAGATAGATATTGCTCACCTTTGATCCCGCGAACATCTCCCTCTGCTGGTTCGCGGGGTGAACTGCAGCCCATGTAAATAAAATGTTATGCCATGACGTCATAACCACGTCACCTAGGCCACCCATTGTTTGGGGTCGCAGAGATGACGTTGATCAATGGGAACTCTTTTGAGCCTATTTAAGGCTTGTTTTAGCCTTCATTCAAGGCCCTATTGTGGTTTCTGTATATATCCTCGCTTTGTGCTCCTAGTGATTGCCTAGTGATTTTCTGTTTTTGATCTCGGCTTCATATTAACCTTGTGATTTCTGGTATCCTGACCCGACTTTTTCTTCACTTTGTGTATTTCTATATCCTTGACCTTGATTCTCTCTATATTATTTTGTGGGTTTCCTCTTTCCTGCGTGTTGAGGTACAACACCGTGACAGAAAAGCACATGGGCTCTAGCCTGCCACTTCTGTCAGCTCTAACAGGAGGAGAAGAAAACCTTGCTTGCTATTTGCTTTTAACCACCAAATATAAAATTGCAGAGATATTTTGAAATCAACACTTTAATAAACTCTCACAAATATGACACACAGAAAAATTAAGCACTTGAGAATGCAAGATTATGAGGTCCATAGAACAGAAACTTGGTCAGTCTGTTTCTTGGTCACACAAGGAGACTTGGCAGATATTCTATAAATGGAGGGGCTGCCGGAGGACGGAGGGAATGAGACACATGTAGGGGCTGGGGGCTATTAGACACTTGGAGGGGGCGGAGGAATGAGGCACGTGGGGGAAGGTCCAGGGCAATATTTGCACCGGGGCCCAGTAATTTCTAGTTAGGCCTCTTGGCACTTCCTTATGTAGACCTTCATAAACCAAAGGTATTCACGTTTGGAATCATCATCCCTACATGAAGCATCCAATTGGTGGGGAGCACAGCAATTGCTGTGCTCATAGTCGTTTTGATAGTCAGTGCTTCTGTATGAGAGAAGACTGGATTGGACTGGAGATAATTTAGCCTTAATGAAGAGGGGCTGCCACAGTGATGGAAATATAGGCATGTTTTTGAAGTCTTATTATTTCTTTGTATTTATTTTTATAACAAAGAGAGGCACTGAATTTAGAAGCAGAAAGCAACACGCCAACATTAAATCTAAACATTTATTTGTATGATGATATTCCTTTACTTAAGTCTTTGAATGATATAATACTAAATTAACTCTTCACAATGTATTTTATTGCATCTTTTCAGGTCTGGATATCAAATGGAGGCTTAGCAGACATATTTACGGTGTTTGCAAGAACAGAATTGGTTGATAAAGATGGTGTCACTCGAGATAAAATAACAGCATTTTTAGTTGAAAGAGCCTTTGGTGGTGTCACACATGGGAAACCAGAAGATAAATTAGGAATTCGTGGATCAAATAGTAAGAAATATAAATTTATATACACTTCCATGTAAATGTATTGCAAAATAGTTGTAATCGGTCTATAGTCAGCAGAGATTTTGTGTTATTGCCCCACTATCAAATGTATAATGAGATCATGAAGCACAGCTTGTTTTATGTTCTGTAATGCATTTTCTTTCAGCAGGACTCCCTGGATACATATGTTATGTGAAATATTTGAAAAGTATTGCTTAGAATGCCCCTTTGAGTTTTTATACTTTCTCTTAAATACATTCTCCCAATAGGACATATTGTCTTTCTTCTCAAATGTTTTTTATTGAATAGTTTTGCAATTTTAACAAAGGAAACCACAATAATAATAATAATTCACATTTATCAAAATAACATAAATTAATACTTACTCATTAACAAAAAAATCTAAAGAAAAAAAAATCAATAAAATTATAATAGGAACAGGGTGAATACATTATTTATGATCAAGAATTGGGGCTTCAAAAATCTCTCTAAGTTTGTTAACAATAAATTCGTATATGGGGGCACCCAAATCATCTAGATTATATTTAAGTTGAATTTTGTTGAATGATAACAATGACTTGTTTGAAAATAAATTGTCTAAAGAGAGATTTTCAGAAGTCAACATCAGGGGCTTAATATTTCAGAATTGATGTTGGCATGGCCCGAGACCACCATACATTTCCCTTAACCTTCTTATACATCTCTTCCCTGACTTTTAATGTTGTTTGGTGGCGGGGTGCATTTCTCTGACACAGGGTAAAACTTATGCTGCAGCCAAAATATTTATTTGACCGAGTACAGAAGCAACTTATCCCTTTCAATAAAATGCCAGAAGGATGAGTTATTATCCATATTAAATTTTAGTGCTTGTGCAGCATTTGTTGTGTAATAATAATTTCTGAAATCAGGCACACCTAATCCACCATTGATTTTTAAATTCTGTAACACAGATAACCGTATCCTGCCAGGTTTGCCTGACCTGATAAATGCTTTGAAGTTATCATTGAAGCAATATAGAACAGGGCATGGAAAAAAGCGCAAAGGTTGGGTTTTTGTGATTGTTAAAGGACCACTATAGTGCCAGGTAAACATACTCGTTTTCCTGGCACTATAGTGCCCTGAGGGTGCTCCCACAGGGCCCCCCTCCCGCCGGGCTCTAGGGGGTGGAAGGGGTTAAATTTACCTCTTTCTCCAGCGCCGGGCGGGGAACTCTCCTCCTCCATATCGCCGTTATCGGCGTCACAATGCTTTCTTATGGACGCTGGCGTCTTCTCACTGTGATTTTCACAGTGAGAAGCGCGGAAGCGCCTCTAGCGGCTGTCAATGAGACCGCCACTAGAGGCTGGATTAACCCTATTTTAAACATAGCAGTTTCTCTGAAACTGCTATGTTTATAGAAGAAAGGGTTAATCCTAGCTGGACCTGGCACCCAGACCACTTCATTAAGCTGAAGTGGTCTGGGTGCCTATAGTGGTCCTTTAAGTTTCTAACAAGAAATGTCACCAAATTATTTCAAGATGGACACCAGAGATTCAAGAGAGGTTGTTGAATTCGTCAGAGACAGTATTTAGTCTTCAAACAATCCTATTTTATGAGTAACATCATTCATTTTGATACCTTAAATTTTTGGATCGTTTCTAATCATATTGGCCTGAGGTTCCATCGCTAATCTAAATGACATAGGATGACCCTGTCTTGTATCATTTGAAAAACTATCTGACATGAAACCTGAGGCAGAAACCCTTGCTGTGGGGCAATGATACACCGTGAACACAAATTAACTATTGGGGCTGTGAAACCAAATTTAAACAGTACCAACCTCAAGTATCCCCAATGGATCCTACCAAATGCCTTCTCCACATCCATAGAGAAGGCGCTTTATCAACTTTGATATAGTGAACAATATTGATGAATCGTATCCTTCCATCCACAGCCTTACGACCCATCTAAAACCCTACTTGATCATTCTGGACTAAATTTAGTATAATTTTAGATAATATAGTGGCCAAAAATGTAGCATATAGTTTTGTGTAGTTATTTAACAACAAAATAGGCCTAACATTTTTACATTTATGTTGGCCATTACCTTGTTTAAGGGTGACAATGTAGGCACACTAACATCCTACCTTTATTCCAATATGTAATAAATAATTTATCTAGGTGTGGGGCTGGTTTTTTCAGAATAAGTCCTGTAATAATACACTGTAAAACCATCCGGATCCGGTGCTTAACCAGTAGGAGTGTGACTAATAGCTTTTTTTTATTTTTTTAATTCTTTATTTTTGTTGTGCAAAGAAGTTTGACAGAAATGTCTGCAGTGCCACAGTAGCAGTAGCAGGCAAGATTAGACATCCATTCATTGAGAAGTTGCACATTTTGCTAAAATAACATATTAATACAAATTGTGTTGTTAGGTGATTAAAATTCAGAAACAGAGTAAAGTCATAAACGGTTTTATAACCTAGCGTCTTCGTGGTGCATAACAATAGAGCTACCCGTGGAAATAATAAGTCAGAATACGGCAATATGATGGTAATAATCAGTCGAGGGTGTAGAGGTCAGTATAGTATGGGCTCGGACTGTGTCGCTTGTAGTTTAGTGTAGTTTTGTGGCCACTCTAGGGTGTAGGGGAGCAGGGACGCATTCTGGCTTTTCATGGTTAGCGTTTGTCGTCCTCTGGGTGTATGTTGGGTCAGTACGTCGTCGGGACTCCTCTCAGTGTAAACCGAGGCGGTTCCATGTCTCTGAGTGTAAATATGGGAAAGGCATGGAAGGGCTTTAGTGTTTATAAGGGGGCTGTGCGCCTGGTGTGTGGTCCTGTCTGTGTCTCAGCAACCGCTGAAATGTACCCTCTTGTCTGCCGGCTCGGATTACATGGTTGTCACTGGGGACCCCCTATGGGTGCGGCTGTTGCTCTGGGTGGTATCGTAACTGGGAATCCAGTGGGGTAAGGAGGACAGCTCCCGGGAGGTTGCCTGGCCCATGTAAGAATCTGGGTTTAGTGTCCCGTGTGTCCCCGTTTCCATGTCCCCCTATTCCCCGTGCCCCACTGTCATACGACCTTTGTGGTCAGTATCGTCCCTAGGGTTTCATGTGTCTATGTTCAGGGCTTCCAAAGCACACACTTAAATCCAATAATTAAACATAAAGTGGCATAAAATGTGTAAACTCAAACATTTTAACTCAGACGGAGGTCAAAAATTTTTTTTTTTAAGTTGAAACTCTTGGTAGGTATGGACAGTCATTATGGGAGCAGCTTCATGGCCGTCAGGCCTCCGGTATGGGTAGTCTCATGGAGGGTTTAGCAGCTTGGGGGTATCCCTTTTCCCCCTCTCTCCAAGTGTGTGTGTCTTCGCCTTCACGGCTGCTGGGCGACCGGTCCCTTGTAGTGTCTGGGGAATTGCAGGTAGGGGGGCAGCTGGAGTTTCTGCAAGAAGTCTGTCGGGTCCTCTGTGGCAGACAGGACATGGATTTCCTCCCCCCTGGATACCACTAGTGTTCCCAAGACCCCCCATCGGTACCTGATGTCGTTTGCTCTCAGCAACTTGGTGATGGGCAGGAGTCTGCGCCTGGCCAGCAGAACTGAAAATGGTAAGTCCGCATACACTGATATGGAGCAGGCATCTACCTGCACGCTGGGGCTTTTCCTGGAACAGGCCATTATGGCAGACTTCACTGCTGTGTCCCTTGTCACCGCAATTATGTCCCTGGGTGAGTCAGCTGGAGCCGTCGGTGCCTTCCTTATTCGAAAGGCTGCCACCAAAAGCGGTGAGTCACCATTCTCTCTGACCCCCATCGCCTTTAGTACTTTGTGTGCAAAGTCCAGGAGGGCCTCCGGTTGTACGGTTTCTGGAGCTCCGCGGATCCGAATATTCCTCCTGCGGTGTCTGGCTTCTAGTGATGCCACTGTGCGGGTAAGGCTGTGAACTTGTTGTGTGAGGGTTTCCACCTGGGAGTGGGTGTCTGTCAGGCGCTGCTCACGGGCTTCCTCTCTGGATTCCGCCGCTGCGAGTCGTTGTTGCAGTCCGCCGACTTCCACCTGCACCCCCGCCAGGTCCGCCTTCCATACCGCCCTCAGATCTTGAAGGAGTTTTTTGATGTCCCCCTTCGTGGAGGGAGAGGCATCGGAGTCAGAGTCCGCTCTCAGGTACACTCTGTTGGTGGTCTGCCGTGGACCCTCTTCGTCTATAGAGTCGCTGGAGTCACTAGAGCCATGCGGTCTGTCCGGCGCCATCTTGTTGCGGGCCTGCGGCTGTTCAAAAGAAAGTCTGATGTCTGAGTGGGTTACACTCTCCGGACGGGCATTTTTTTTGTTTTTGCGTCCCATAGTATTCTGTGGGGCTGTAGGATCTCCAAGGTCGTTTTTTTGGGGTTAAAATTCTGGTGCAAACGGCTTTTTCTCAATGTTTAGAGCTGGAGCAGCACCCATGCACGTCTGTTCAGTATCTTGGTTGGCCACGCCCCCCGTGACTAATAGCTTTTAACACCACCTGTTGAGATATGGTCAAATTTAAAGTATCCAATTTATCAGTAGAAATTTGTGGTTGATTAACTTCGTCTAAAAAGGATTTATTATTTTTTCGAATTGGGTTGGGTCCAAATTGATGTTGTACAAGAATTTGTAATACTTGGCAAATAAGCTACTAATGTTATTTGGGTGTGTTACTCTTTCAGCATTATCATTAACTATGTGTTCAACCCTAGATTGAAAGGTCTTTCCCTTGGAATAAAATGTTTACTTTAAACGTATCGTCATCAAGCTTGTATGTTCAAATTGTATAGTGTCAATTTTGTGATCATAACCGGTAATGAAGGGGATGGGGCAAACTTATTTGCTTGGTTCATATTATACAAATCCTTTTTTTCAACATTTTTAGCTCTTTAGATCCAGTTTATTTTTATTTATTTTTAAATGGCAGTTGAGATGGCTACTTTGTAGGAGACTGAGCAAAAAAAAGACCATTGCCTGCAACAAAATGTGAAATTTATGTCTGCATACACTACTTCCTAACATCTTACTGCATCATGATGAAACAAACACACAAAAAAATGGTAAAACTGTCATGTTAGAAAAGGCTGTCGAAAAATCTGCATCTCTGTCTGCCTTGACTATGGAAGGCCGGGATTCCACTCAGCATTACGGTACAATCAACCACTACCATCCCTGACGCCCGTACTGTTATGGAGGGCTTTTGGTGACTTTACTGATGGGGCTTATGTCTCTCCACAATTAAAACTGCACTATTTCGGGTGCCCAGTCGATCGAATTGCGAAAAGACGTGACTGAGATTGGCATTCGGACAGACAAAATCGATGAATGAATTGTGTTCAAGAGACGCACTTTAAAAAGGGAAGGGTATGATCCCATGCTTGATGGTGAGCCATTTTCCTGTACAGTTTTACTCTACTCTTAAGTCTAAATCATGGTGTGTCTATCCTGTTCAGTAGAAATATGGCATGCCATACTTTTAAAGTTGTTGATGATGCAGAGGGTAGGTTTTTAATTTGGATTTGAAAAATAAACAGTGTACAATATAGAGTAGCCAATGTTTATTTTCCAAATACAGGCCAACTTTCTGAGAAATATTATAAAAAGAGTTTGGAGTAAATGCAAAAGGTGACTGATTGTATATGGAGATACTAATTTTGTTTTGGATCCTGAATTAAATATAGTAATAGAGAATGACCCGGTCAGGAATAGCTGATGCCCAACACGCAGAACTTAAGTAAATATAAAGGAAAATCCCAAGACGTATTACCAGGCCTCAGAATGGCTGGATTTAACGTATAAAGGAAAAAACCACAAGACGGGATAATGACAAGAATGCAGAAAATGCGGAAACAATGAACAAGCCAAGAGTCAATGAATAGAGAATACAGAATCATCAGGAGCCAAGTCAAAGGTCAAGGAATACTGAGATCAGATAGTCAGAAGGAAAGCCAAGGTCAAGTACACTAGAATCAATACCAGAAACGCATTCTCGGATAACCACAATGGAAACCACGACAGGGCACATAGAAATGGACAAACACGGTTTAAATAGCCTAAAATGCTCCCTGATTGGCTGCAGGGAAGCATGTGATTGTGAACGTGTGTGTGATATCACAGACACATTCAAAATGGCATGGCACTGTAAGGGTTAATAACAAACCCTTAAAATGAACAAAGCTGCAGCGGACGGCGTCTCTAATGGTTACAAACCCGGCCGCTGTGTGAGGGAGAGGAGCCACCACCGGGAGTGAGTGATGGGCGGCATTCCCATTACCACCACCATTCCCATTACGCCACGGGGGCGTGACAGACCCTTTGTCTGAACATTGTGAGGATGCGTCTAGATGTTCTCAATATCTTTTTATTCATTAGGCTTATATGACGTGTAGAGAGTAAGTCATGAGAATGAGAAAGATTACACGTATCATTCAGTGCATTATATTTTTGGTGGATGAGGCGACTGTCATCTGTTTTGCCCTCTGACTTTTCAGATCATGCTACATGTATCTGAGTCCCTTTCACTGATTACGGTAGGTCATGGAAATTAAGTGACAATCTAATAGTTTTAAATAAAAAAATTATTAGCAGAAACTATCCTCGTCAATTACTTTAAAAGAAAATTTGGATCTGAATCTGGCTGGAATGCTCATAAAGCAGTGATGAGGGGTCACTTTTTATTCAACAGGCATCCTACTGCTTGGGGCACAAGAAGAGAAATCTGTTATTGGTTGGTTGGGATATGTTATAAACCACCTAATGTTAATATTGATGAGGAACAACAGCTGTTTGAGCAAATTGAGAAAACTGCAAATCTAGGTAACACATTAATTATTGGAGGTTTTAATTACCCGGTTTCAAGTATTTGAAAGTTTATTAAGGGATAATAGTCAAGAATTCCTTGAGAAGAACATGGTTATCAGCAAGAATCAGCATGGTTTTATGAAGCACATGACATGTCAAACTAACTTGATTGCATTCTACGAAGAAGTAAGTAGAAGTCAACATGCAGTGGATGTGATCTATTTGGATTTTGCCAAGGCATTTGATACAGTTTCACACAATAGATTAGTGTTCAAACTCAAGGAAATCGGTCCAGATGAAAATACTTGTTCTTGGGTAGAACATTGGCTTAAAAATACAGAGAGTTGTCATTAATAGTACATTTTCAAGCTGGACAGAGGTGGCAAGTGATGTCCCTCAGGATTCCGTTCTGGGACCCCTTCTATTTAACATGTTTATAAATCATCTTGAAAAAAGTTTTGAGAGTAATGTTTCAGTGTTTGCAGATTACTCAAAACTCTGTAAAGTACGTTAGTAATATATTATACTTTACTGCAGAGGGATTTAGATAGACTGGGGGTCTGGGCACTCAAATGGCAGATGAAATTTGATGTAGAAAAATGCACAGTTATGCACTTTGGGGTCAAGAATGCACAAGCAACTTATACCCTTTAATGGAAGAAAATTAGAGATAACCACACACAAGAAGGACTTGGGAATTGTTATAGACAACAAACTATGCAACAAAGAGCAATGTCAATCAGCAGTGGCCAAGGCCAGTAAGGTATTGTCATGCATGAAAAATTGCATTCATTCAATTTTGGGCACCTGCTCTAAAGGAGGATATTAAGGTACTGGAAAGAATGCAGAGGAGGGCTACAAAATTGATAAAAGGAATGGAACATTTTAGCTATGAAGAAAGGTTAACCAATGTAAACCTTTTTAGTTTAGATAAATGTCGCCTCAGAGGGTAAATGCCAACATTATACAAATATATTTGTGGCCAATACAAAACCATTGTCTGTAAATCTATTCACAAACAGGACTTTACATAGGACACGAGGTCATGCGTTTAGACTGGAAGAAAGAAGATTTAGTCTAAGGCAAAGGAAATTTTTTTTGTTTTGTTTTTTATCGTAAGAACAATAAGGAAATGGAATTCTCTGCCTGAAGAAGTGGTTTTATCAAATTTGGAAGTGCTTCAAACTGTTTTGTTTTGGTTTTTTTGCCTTCTTTTGGATCAGCCACAAAAACAAATATAAGGAAGGCTGAACTTGATGGACACATGCCTCTTTTCAGTCTATGTAACTATGTAACTACCTGAAAATACCATACTGTATTTCTTCTTCTTTAAAGTAAATACATTTTGTTATCTATTTACATAACTAAAAAAACTCACATCTTCTGCACTCCAGCAAAGTACCACTTATTATTATTAGTATTATTATTATTATTATGATATTTATAGAGCGCCGTCAAATTCCGCAGCGCTTTACAATGGGTGGACGAACAGACATGTAGTTGTAACCAGACAAGTTGGACACACAGGAACAGAGGGGTTGAGGGCCCTGCTTAATGAGCTTACATGCTAGAGGGAGTGGGGTAAAATGACACAAAAAGGTAAGGATAGTATTAGACTAGTGACAGTTGCAGAAGAGGAATCAGTCAGGAGCTATTAACAATTTAATTGATACGCTTTTATGAAGAAGTGGGTTTTTAACGCTTTTTTGAAGGAGTGGAGACTGGGTGAGCATCTAACGGAGGAGGGATGCAGCCCTCGAGAAATCTTGAAGGCGAGCATCAGCACTTGATAACTGTGACCTTTTAACTCCTTCTGAATGCCTGCTCCATTCATTTTTCCACTCCATCTTACATAGTTAAATAGTTACATAGCTGAAAAGAGACTTGCGTCCATCAAGTTCAGCCTTCCTCACATTTGTTTTTTGCTGTTGATCCAAAAGAAGGCAAAAAACCCAGTTTGAAGCACTTCCAATTTTGCAACAAGCTAGGGAAAAAAATCCTTCTTGACTCCAGAATGGCAGTCAGATTTATCCTTGGATCAAGCAGTTATTACCCTTCATTGAAAGATTATATGCTTGAATATTCTGTTTTTGCAAGTATGCATCTAGTAGCTGTTTGAACATCTGTATGGACTCTGATAAAACCACTTCTTGAGTCTTGAGGCAGAGAATTCCACATCCTTATTGTTCTTACAGTAAAAAAACCTTTCCAGTCTAAACGCATGACCTCGGGTCCTATGTAAAGTCTGGTTTGTGACTAGATTTCCACACAATGGTTTGTATTGGCTCCGGATATATTTGTATAATGTTATCATATCCCCTCTCAGGCAACGTTTAAATTTGTTAACCTTTCTTCATAGCTGATATGTTCCATTCCTTTTATTAATTTTGTAGCCTCTGCACTTTTTCTAGTTTTCTAATATCCTTCTTTAGAACAGGTGCCAAAAATTGCACAGCATATTCTAATTGTGGTTTTACCAGTGATTTATAAAGAGGCAAAATTATATTCTTGTCCCGAGAATGAATGCAATTTTTCATGCATGACAATACCTTACTGGCCTTGGCCACTGCTGATTGACATTGCACATTGTTTCATAGTTTGTTGTCTATAACAATTCCCAAGTCCTTTTCGTGTGTTGTTATCCCTAATTCGCTTCCATTAAGGGTATATGTTGCTTGTGTATTTGTTACGCCAAAGTGCATAACTTTGCATTTTTCAACATTAAATTTAATCTGCCATTTGAGTGCCCAGTCCCCCAGTCTATCTAAATCCCTCTGCAGCAAAGTAATATCTTGCTCACATTGTATTATTTTACAGAGCTTTGTGTCATCTGCAAACACTGAAATATGACTTTCAATGCGGTCTTCAAGATCATTTATAAACATGTTAAATAGAAGGGGTCCCACAACAGACCCCTGAGGGACACCACTTGCCACCTCTGTCCAGCTTGAAAATTTACCATTAATGACAACTCTTTGTACTCTGTTTTTAAGCCAGTGTTCTACCCAAGAACAAGCATTTTCATCTAGACCAATTTCCTTGAGTTTGAACACTGCAACACCCTGATCTATAGTTCTACTTACTTCTTCGTAGAAGGCAATCAAGTTAGTTTGACATGACCTGTGCTTCATAAAACCATGCTGATTTTTGCTGATAACCATGTTCTTCTCAAGGAATTCTGGAATATTATCCCTTAAAGGAACATTATAGTCACCTAAACAACTTTTAGCTTAATGAAGCAGTTTTGGTGTATAGAACATGCCCCTGCAGCCTCACTGCTCAATCCTCTGCCATTTAGGAGTTAAATCCCTTTGTTTATGAACCCTAGTCACACCTCCTTGCATGTGACTTGCACAGCCTTCCATAAACACTTCCTGTAAAGAGAGCCCTATTTAGGCTTTCTTTATTGCAAGTTCTGTTTAATTAAGATTTTCTTATCCCCTGCTATGTTAATAGCTTGCTAGACCCTGCAAGAGCCTCCTGTATGCAATTAAAGTTAAATTTTGAGATTGAGATACAATTATTTAAGGTAAATTACATCTGTTTGAAAGTGAAACCAGTTTTTTTTTCATGCAGGCTCTGTCAATCATAGCCAGGGGAGGTGTGGCTAGGGCTGCATAAACAGAAACAAAGTGATTTAACTCCTAAATTACCAGTGAATTGAGCAGTGAAATTGCAGGGTAATGATCTATACACTAAAACTGCTTTATTTAGCTAAAGTAATTTAGGTAACTATAGTGTTCCTTTAATAACCTTTCAAATAATTTTCCAGCCACAGAAGTTAAGCTCACAGGTCTATAATTTCCAGGCAAGGATTTTGAACCCTTTTTGAATATAGGAACCACATCTGCCTTCCTCCAATCCTCCGGAACACTTCCTGAAAGAAAAGAATCTTGAAAGATTAAAAACAGAGTTTCACTTATTTCTACACTTAGTTCCTTAAGTAGTCCGTGGATGGATACCGTCAGGCCCTGGAGCTTTGTTTATATTAACTTTCTTTAGTTGCTGCAGCACCTTGTCTTGAGTTAACCAATTACAATTATTCTGCACGTTTTTAGTAGCAATCATTTGCACATCTATTGGCATGGGTTCTTCCTTAATATACGGAGGAGAAATAGTTATTTAAAATTCCTGCCTTTTCCTGGTCTTCATTAACTAACACCCCCGTTTCAGTTTTTAGTGTACTTACACTTTAATTTTGGGGTTTTTTAGAATTTATGTACTTAAAAAATGCTTTGGGGTTGGCTTTGCTCTCTTCAGCTATCATTTTTTCATTCTGAAGTTTAGCAAGTCTAATTGCCTTTTTGCACGCATTATTTGCATCCTTGTATCTTTTATAAGATGCATCTGATTTGTCCGATTTAAATGCTTTAAATGCCCTTTTCTTATTTTTAATCTGTTGTTTTACTTCTCTACTAAGCCACATACTGAGAAATGTATATTTGTTGGAAGATGATCCATTTATCCTCAGTGTTCTTTTCACTAAAGAGTTTATGCCAGTCAATATATTGTAAAGCTGCCCTTAACTTATTGAAATTGGCCTTTTTAAAATTACATGTTTTAGAATACCCCATGTGCTTTTGGTTTTTTTTGAGTTTATTTCAAAGGACACTATATTGTGATCACTATTTCCCAAGTGCTCCCCTACTTGAATGTTGGTCAAAAGATCAACGTTGTTTGTTAAAACCAGGTCCAGACAAGCGTCCATTCTGGTTGGTGCTTGTACAAGTTGTGACATGAAGGTGTCATTTAACAAGTTTAAAAACCTAATTCCCTTTGCTGAGCTATTATTCCCTCTGTCCCAATTTTTGTCCGGGTAATTAAAATCTCCAATAATTAAAGTGTTACCCAGATTTGCAGCTTTCCCAATTTGCTCAAACAGCTGTTGTTCCATGTCAATATTAACCTTAGGTGGTTTATAACATATCCCAACCAATAGTTGGTTTCCCTTCTTTTCCCCCAAGCAGATATTTACCCTTAAAGCTTCCACATGTTCCTTAATCACATTCCACTTGCATAAGATTTGGCTTTAAATCATGGTTGACATACAAACATACCCACCACCCTTCTTATTTTTCCTATCGTTTCTAAATAACATGTACCAATTTAAGTTAACTGCCCAGTCATGTGTCTCATCCCACCATGTTTCAGTTACGCCTATTATATCATATTGTTTAGTGTATGCTACTGCCTCTAGTTCCCCCATTTTATTATTTAGGCTCCTTGCATTAGTAAACATACATTTAGTAATAGTTAATTCTTAGTAATTGCTAGATGGAAATTAATTAATAACAATATTTCACAATGACTTTATACTTTCCTCTTCCCTGCCATCACACTGTGCCCTCAATGTGGCCTTAATTTAATATTGCTGGATAAGCATTCCAAATAAATTTACATTTATGGATAACTTTTCAAAATTATTTTTTCAACATGTTCAAATATGAAAAATATTAGATGTATGTCTTAAATAATTGATTGGACCTATGAAAAATATATAGTATAACAATTTTACAATATGTCCACATATTACAAATTAAAATATTTTAAAGAGAAAAGGCAGTGTTTACATTACTGCCTAGTACTACTGCCACTAGAGGTGCTTCATGGGTCAGTGCTGCACATTGTGCAGCACTGACATTGAGCGTCAACACACTCTGCATCGAGATACTAAACGCTTCCTATAGAGATGCATAAATTTAATGAGGAGATACAGATTGGCGCAACGCTACGTATTGCTGCTCATGCGCAATATCTTCCCAATGTTTTCCTGAAGCCAAAGAGGCAGAGTGGGGTAGTTCCAGCCGTGGTGAGACTGGCGCTGCAAATAAGGTGAGTAAACTACCTTTTTAAGGACAGGCAAAGGGGGCCGCACTTCTAAACAGCGCTTTTTCAAATATAGTGTCAGGAATACCTGTTTGTATTCCCGATTCTAGAGTTTTCTTTTAAATAATTTGGAAACCTTATCCAACAATATTAAATTGAGAACATATGTTAGAATATGGGGAGTTTTGTGCACATTGGGCCCTAAGTTGTAGGACATAATTTTCTTCAGTGTCTTGTGTGAGTTCACTTATCTCTGCAAACTACTGCAATTATATTATCATTTTCACACAGCACTTAACTACTTAAATTAACATTTACCAAAAATGTTATATGGATGTTTCATGCAAGAATACTCTTGGAAAGTAGCCAGAATCTGCACGTTTTATTTATTAATTAATTTATTTATTTTATAGCTTGCGAGCTTCATTTTGAAAATACAAAGGTTCCTGTGGAGAATATAATTGGAGAAATTGGAGGTGGATTCAAGGTATAGTAAAAATTGTGCAGTTTGTAATTTGTGAAAAAAGGCTTACTACAACCACTACTATTACCACTTCAGGGATTTTGAAGGATAGGAGTATTGATGTGCAGTGTTTCTGCTTGAAACACAGCACATACTGAGTTATTGTTAATTGTGTGCTGGGGGCTCGTTGCATTCCAGAACTCTATTCCGTTCTAATGTCAATTCTGTGCATTAAAAACATAGTGAGCAATTCCCAGGTCTTTGCATCCATGGTGGCCAGCTCTTCTCTTGCCAGGTTATTATTCCATCTGGGTACCTCATGACTGGTAGGGCAAATGTGTTGATGGCTTAGATATTGTTCTTGCCATTGCGTTGGGACTTCATGACATTTCTGACTCTCTGGAGTTATTTGGATGTATTATCCTTTTTGCCTCTTCTTCATGGTTGCCATGTGTTTGTGGTACGCCCTGGCACTGGTAGCTGTTCTCTGCATCTCCTGTTTAACTTTTGACTCCTTTTGTCCTGATCATCTTCCCTCTTTTTGCTATCGTTCACCCTCACTTACCTAAAGTGGTCAAGGATTGCTCGCTTTTTCTATGATCATCTTTCTTATATCTGCTGTTATGCCTTCCTGGTGGCAGAGATTCAAGTCGGCAACTCTGTAAGTATAAGTGTGGGTATGGGAATTTATTCTTTCACATGGCTCATGTATGATGTTTTGTGTAGTCCATCTAATTCCCTTTCACAATGTTCAAACGTTGTGTAACTAGCTGTTTTGATGTTGACATACGTGAAAGTCTCTTATTCATCTATAGTTCCCACATACAGTTCATGTAGCACCTCACAGCTTGCTATGCTTATACTAGCAGGCAAGTATGTCTAGGTTTTCACTTCGTGTACAGTAGTGGTTTGTTCCAGTAGCCCATTTGCTATCAGATTGCCATGGTTGCTTAGCACCTGACATGGATCTCATTTAAGGCCCTCACTAGACAAAGAGCATAGCCAATTGCTATAGATTCACGATTCCCATATAGTTGAGCAAACAGTGCAACTGTAAGTGTTGAAAAATGTGTCAATAGTGATACATTATACCTCCATCCACAAATAAATTATATGGTCAACTGAACATCCAACCCAAAGGACTAAGTGTTTTTGGGATAACCATTGACACTAGAATATAAATAACATGCCATATATCCACACTTGGCAAACAAGGTTATTATTTATAGGGTCACATTTAAGCTGGCCATATAAACAGAGCCTCAAAGGGCAACATGACAGGCTAAGTACCCAAACCCAATTTGTATGTCCCAGTGATATGAATCAGCCCAAAGTTACAAAGTTTTTCATATAAATTATAAACTAAGCTGTTGAGTTTCTCTAAAGTTGGATCAATATCCCTTTTATAAAATGAGAAACATAGACAAAGGCTATACATTATTGTCAAACTTCACATATATATAGAAAGGCTGAGCCTGTGGGAGAAGCCTGGAATTGTGGGAGGGGTTAGTTGGCCTATAAATATACAGGCCACTCCTTCCTCTGTGCTGTTGCTACCTGGTTCATATCTACTTCCAGATCAAAGGTCATCAACACAAACTGCCTAAACTCTAAACAAGCTGGACTTGGCCTCATGAGGCCTACGCAAGTATTAATTTTAAATTGCTAACTACTAATGCAAATTCAGCCAATTTCAATCATAAATAGCATCACAGAGCTGTCTAAATTCATCTCATGCATTCTGCTAACTGTATTTGGCCCTCACTAAGGCATTATACAAATATATCCGGGGCCAATACAAACCATTGTGTGGAAATCTATTCACAAACCAGACTTTACATAGGACACGAGGTCATGCCTTTAGACTGGAAGAAAGATTTTGTCTAAGGCAAATAGTTTGTTTTTGGGTTTTTTTTACTGTAAGAACAATAAGGATGTGGAATTATCTGCCTGAAGAAGTGGTTTTATACAGATGTTCAAACAGCAACTAGCATACTTGCAAAAGCAGAATATTCAAGGATATAATTTTTCAATGAAGGGTAATAGCTGCTTGATCCAATGATTAATCTGACTGCCATTCTGGGGTCAAGAAGGAATTTTTGTGCTTCAAACTGGGTGGTTTTTTTTGCCTTCTTTTGGATCAACAGCAAAATACAAATGTGAGGAAGGCTACACTTGATGGACGCAAGTCTCTTTTCAGCTATGTAACTATGTAACTTTATCGACTTTTATCATATGCATTTCAGCAAATGGCCTGGAACTATTTTCTGCATGAAAACCTTGTGGTTCCCGGTCGGTTCTCCAGCAGCACTTAGCCATGATTCTATGGAACTATTTTGGGCATGGGACCATGCCTGCGCCTGTGCAAAAAGGAGGGTTTGTGTGCTGTGTCTGGGAGTGTTGTACATTTAATTACTGTAAGCTTTGTGTCCCTGACGCCCACAAGGTCCATGTGGGCGTATACCTTGCTTGGTGACTTGAATAAAAGGACAGCTGTGGCTTCCATTAAACAGACTTACTTCACCCTCAATCTAGATATTGGGGGAAACTGCTATATCACTACAAGGGATTGCAATAATCATTATATTCCCTTGGATTCTCTGAGCTCATGTAAGAGCTTTTCCCGCGTGACTGTCAGGATTACAGAATGATCTAGCACGTAGAATTGTGTAACACAGAGGACTGATAGGTAACGATGCCTTTGCAACTTATTGTTCGCAGTGCTGTTCCCCACCAGAAGGTATTGATAGAGTATGGAGACTGCCTTCTCCAGTACCGCACCCCGCATGCAAAGCTCCTCAAACCATGTGAGGCTCCTGTGTAGCTACCTATGGTAGCGTACGAACATAGTTCTGCAACTGGATATGTGACAAACTACCCTTCGCCACTGGCTTTTGGAGGGGCCTGATTGCCAGCCTCCTGCCCTGTGATTATGGCCCTTATAATGTATTGGGTCTCAAGGCACTTGGGACTGAAACCTCTGTCCCTGGATTACTCTTTTGCCTGCATTTCTTGGCTTTTATATTCCCCCTGGTGTATTTGTGGTTTGGTTCGTGAATTAAACGTCTATTATAGCCAGGATAATGTTGTTCAAACAGACTAACAAACTGCAGAATGGCCGACCACAATGCATGTGGAGTGGTTAACCGCAGCTTAATTGGCGAACAGCTGGGTGGTCGTCATTTGTTTAACTGCCGACCACCCAGCGGTGTTTGACGTCGACCGCGTGGAACTGTTTTCGGCTACTATTTCCCACGAACACATGAACACCTGGGAAGGTGGAGTCCATCATATATATTCATTCCCCGGGCGCCGTTGGGGCAGAGGGCACCATTGGGGCAGAGGGCCCGGAGGAGACCCACCACCTCTGTGGCCGAGGCCTCTGCTCCAAGGGGCCCAGCACCCAGTCAGCGACACTGATGGGGGGTAGTCCCAGCTCCTCTAAGAATTGAGGGACCTCCTCCGGTCATCTTACGGAGGCCCAACCATGCTGATATCTCGCCAGTAGTGCGAACGGATAGCCCCACTTGTAGGGCTGAGGTCACGGGCCTTAGGGCACGCCGTGCTTCAAGTGTGAGAGGGGAGAGATCGTTATATAAGGACACCTGTGCTCGGCGGTACTCCCAAGTAGGCCTATCATGGGCTCTCCTCATTATGGCATCCTTGATCGGAAAGGAGTGCATACAGCATGTGTATATTCTGGGTATATTCACTTCTAGGTTTGATCTCGCGACCCTGTGGGCCCTTTCAAACTTAAACTGTGCTGGCGCTGTTGTCGGTATGAGAACCCTAAAGAGACCAGTCAGCGTCTCACCCACATTTTCTTCCCCGTCTGCTTCAGGTACCCACCGTACCCAGATGTTACATTTCCAGCCTCTGTTATCCACATCCTCTAATTGACGTCTCATGGCCAGCAGCAGGCCCCACTGACGGGCTACTGCCAAATCAGAGGCCGTAATTCGAGCTGTCTGGGCATCAGCCGCGCGCTCCAGTGTGGATGCGGCCCTTCTGTGCGATCACTTCATTTCGCAGTCCTGCCACCTCCGCCCGCACCACCTTCTGGATCATGGAGGTAAGTAGCTGTAAATCATTCTTGGTGGCCATAGCTGCAGCCATATTCCTCAGCTCCTCAGCGATCGTGTCAAGTGCCATGGTTTCGAAGCCCGCCTGGGAGGCAGGTGAGGTCCGCGCCATCTTGGGACTCTTTCTTTTGGTAATTTTTTTTTCACACACACAGCAATTTAAGAATACATGTACTGAGAACTTTAAGGGTTACTCCCAAAGAACACCCCGATATGTGTTCAGCAACATCTCCTGAGTACAGTGATACCACCCATGTGTGGGGTTCTCTGGTGGCTAACATACCTTATTTGGAAGGTGGTCATTCCAGTTTTCCAACTTGAAATTTTCATAGCTGGTTATAATGCACCCATATCGAATTTGGGACATTTTTTAAGCCGGCCAATGTAGTTTACCCATGTATTTCAAATGGTGGTATTTTAACTCTTCCATGCACTAATTCTACCACCAGTCTTTGTCAAACTTCTGGGTAGTCATTTTTTTTGTATTATTTTTCTCTCACATTGTACTTTAGGCATGGATTCTCAGTTCCTGTCATATGTTACTGACAAAGAACATCCCAATATGTGTTCAGCAACATCTCCTGAGTAAAGTGATACCACGTATGCATAGATTTGTTGGGTTGTTTGGGGGGTGCAATGCCAAACTTCTGACATGTGTTTTTTCAAATTTGAAATATCTTCTTTACCCATCTTCTTTTTGGGGGCCTTTTTACATATCCATGAACGTGCATATATTTGAAAAGTTGACACCCCAAGGTATTGTATATGGAGTGTTTTAATACCTTTGATGCACCACATGCGTTCCACAGAATCTTTGTACTTACATGGTGGTTCTTGCGTTCCACCATGCGTTTCAACATAACGAAACAGTTCCGGTTTATATCAATACATGATGAGGATGCAGAGGGAAATGGAAGAGAATCTTGTAAACATTCTTTTTAATGTAAATGCATATTTATGTAATTTCCCATTTTACAATAACACAATACAAAAGATAAAAAATGAAAAATAATAATAAGAGTCTCTGTGTGCAATCATGTGTACATTCTCCACTTCTTCATTTAAAGGGATACAATCCATAGTTATCCTAATAAGAAAAAGTGAATGCTTTATAATACTATTATGATGAATGCCTTTTAAAGTTATAAAAATATTTCTTCATCCCATTTTACCTCTTCTCATATGGTGGATTTCTTATCTCTTAATAAGAGATATAATTGTACCCAGAAATTGGTAATTTGAGTGATATTAATATTTACAAACTATACACAAATCCCAATTTTTCCTTTTATAGGAGGTTGACCCCCTATGTTGCACATGGTTGCAAAAAGAGACCCTTTACAATGTTATCCATATACATTAGTTCTAAAAAAACATATTAAAAAATAAACTCAAAGAGTTCCAATCCCCATGAGACAAAAAACAGAGTGAAAAGTATGGAGAATACAGAACCTCAATGCAAACCTCCGAAGAAGCTGTAACTATTCAGTCTAAAAAGCACCATAAATCTATATCTAGGTTTAGCCCCCTTGGCTGTAGGTTTTTCCAATAAGTTTTGCGCTGACCTAACTTTTTATTAGGTTTCCACCTCTCCATGGGTCACCTCTCTCTAAACCTAAATAATAGAAATATTTCCAATTGAATTTATTACATGTATTGCAATGAATTGGAACTATATGTTTATATGATTTTTGAAGTGCTGTTCGAATTGTCGATCAGCGTTATACTCCAGTCGAAGACTCAAAGTCCAGGGAAGGTAAAGTTTCAGCGGTGTTGTGCCGTTGCGTGTCCGATTTGAGTTCCATGAACTCAACGACAAAACACCGCTAACCTCGTTCCACTGAATAAAATGGCTGCCGCCACCATGTGTTCGAATGTCGGCCACTTCGACTACTTCGACACTTCGGCTGTATCCGAAGTGCCACTTTGAAAGTGTAGATCTGTTCCAACAGTATTTAAACAGTGCCTTAGAGCCAAACAAGTCACAGGGGACATAGTCACAAGGCAAGAGACTGGCAAACAGGCCCCTCCAAAAACCAGTGGTGAGGTCACTTTCGCCAAAGTATTTTTTTCTTAGTTTGTTGCAAAATTGGAAGCGCTTCAAACTTTGATTTATTTTTTTTTCCATCTTTTGGATCAACTGTAAAAACAGATGTGAGAGAGGCTGAACTTGATAAAAACATGTGAAGTATTAGTACTCTGTGGATTTTATTTTAAATATATGAAAAAAATTGTATTGACATTTTTCTATACAATTTAATATTTGGCCGATTAATTGATTTATGAAAATAGGTGGTTGCAACTATACTTCCTTCCCCCAAGGAATGCAGCCCCGTTAACAACTGGCACATAGCACATTTCACAGTGCCTGTCGTGATACATTTTGGGCTTACACATACTTTTAGTTAAGGTAAGAAATACTGAATATGTACAAGTAGAGTGCTGTATATGAAGTATTTTAACGTCTACTGAAAAATAGGTTTAATGTGTGATCTTTGAATTGTATTGTTTTCAAGTATTCTGGATACATGTTGTCATTTTTGCAGATATGCTTTAATGATATTGTTGTTTCTTTTCAGGTAGCGATGAATATTCTTAACAGCGGGAGGTTCAGTATGGGCAGTGCATCTGCTGGCTTAGTAAAGAAACTGATTGGTAAAGAATATCTGTTTTAATTATGTTAACATGAAATGTCACTGATTTATGATCATGGATTGTCAGTGATTTATTATACTAACTTGTTCAAGAGCTACAGTGAGACGAACTGTTAAATAAGGATTGATAATTTAAATGTGGTGGCATTTTCTAGAAATAGGACATGGGGACATTTATTGTGGTATAGTTTGGTGTATGTATTGTGGTACGCAGATCTGTTTGCTTTCTCCTTGTGTTACATCTAAAATTAAATAAGTTTAATACAGATGAAGAAATTTGAAATGATAGCAGCTTCCCTTGATCCAATGACCTTGTAGGATGAATAATAATGTGAGATGGAATAAGTGTACAATTATTTATTGAAACAATAAAATAAACAGAAAAATATATATTTTTCAGGTTATGGTTGCAGCTTAAAGGGATCCTATAGTGCAAGGAAAACAAAGCCGTTTTTCTAGCACTTTAGGGTTAACTCAAATTAATGTCCCTGCAGGGCTGAAGGGGTTCAATGCTTTCCTATGGGGAAAATCTGACGCTGGAGGTCCGTGAGGACGTTCGGCATCAGATAACGGACTAAAAGTCAGTTTGGATTCCGGAAGCCCCCCAGTTCTCTGGAACTGCAATGTTTTACATTGCAGCACTAAGTGCAAAAGGGTCACAGCACCCAGACTACTTCAGTTAGCTTAAGTGGTCTGGGTGCCTACAGGGTCCCTTTAACGGCACTGAGAACAGAGGATTAATACCGTATTTACTCAAATATAATGCACACCTTTATTGGCAATAAAGTCTTAAAAATTTGAATATGCATTAGAATTGATAGTGCATTAGATTCGAGTATGAACAATTTAGAGTACGATTTCAGTACTAACAAAAAAGAAAGCATAGTGCATTCAAGGCAAACCGCACATGCGTACTACTCTCTCTTGCTTACCTAGTTGCTGCTCATTTTACAACCTACCTGGACAAGACTGCGTTGGGGTGAAAGTTGTCAGGCAAAATTTGCATTTGCAGTAACACTGAGCCCCCCTCACCCCAGCATATTTTGGGTGTGAACCTCAGACAGCCATCCAGCAGCACCAGACAAATGGTCAGGCAATCACTTTTTATTCGGCTAAAATGGTTTAAAAAAAAAAAAAAAAGCCTTACTGCCACTTAACTCCTAAAGTAGAATCTGAAATTGCTCAGAACTGAAGCAGCTTTTGGGCGTGAGCTCAAGGACAGAAATGGCCAATTGGTTGGGATTTAACCAGTGTTAATTTTGTCGACTAACAATTTTAGTCAGATTGTAGTCAACTAAAATTAGACTAAAACAATTCAGATGACTAAAATACGATTAAAACTAAAATGGCCATTTAGTCAAAAGACTATGACTAAAACTAAATGTGCCGCCAAAATTAACACTGGTGGCTAAAACACATGGGGGAGGGAGGAGAAGAAATGAGACTCATGGGGGGGGCTGAGGGAATGAGACACATGTGGGTTGGAGGGAACACAAAGAGACACAGGGGGGCTGGGGTAGTGGCAAAATAGACAGCGGCTTTAATTAAGCCCATTATATTTTAGTAGTGTTGACTAAAATCTATTTAGTCAACCAAAATCTTCTGCAGATTTAGTTGACTTAAACAAACAATTCAGATGATGAAAATATGACTAAAACTAAGATTTTTTTTTTTTAACTTAAGTCTATGACTAAATTGAAATTTACCGCCAACATTAACACTGGATTTAACTCTGCGTACACTGCATTTCTGTCTATGGGGATTTCAATCCCCATAGAACCCGCCTGATGCCAATCTATGTGCTTGTGTGAGCAAGAAGTTGTGTTATATACACAACTCTCTTGAGGATCTTGTAGGCAAATTGTATTTCATTTTAGATTGTATTATTTGGATTGGGAGTTTGGGTCAAGATTTGACAATTTTAGGTTTGTAGTTATGGTTGCATTCTTGAAGGGAGCAGGAAATACACAAGAAAATAGTTATGTTTGGGAAGTGGCAGTGCAAGAGAAGAAATTTGAGTACAAATAAGATGTGAGGGGATAGAATAGAACAAGCAGGTGGTCGGGTTGAATGACAGAAACAGGGCAGAAAGAGAGTGGGTAAAGGAGTGAGTGGTGACCTCTCTTGGTTGATTGTAACAATAGTCTTGTGAAATGACCTACATAGTCTGGAACAGTCAAGTTAGTAGGAGACAAAATGGAGATGGGGTAAAATAGTGTGTTTATAGTGTGAATTAGCCCTTTGGCTTCTCAGGAGAATGTAGTTAGAATGTGGTTAGGAGGAGAGTGAAGTTTTGAGAAATAGTCTGTCGTTCGTAAAAGTACACTGTAGGCAACAAAACCACTTCACAATTTAGTAGAGATGCTTGCTCCCCAGCAGCCTGAAGCCTGGCATCCAATGGTAAGGTAGAGGTGGAGATATGCTTTCACCTAGTTCCCTACAAGTTCATACCAGAGTTTGGTGCAGTGATTGGTTAAGAGCTCCAAGTTATCTCTGCTAATCACTGACTGTTACCCCTAGTAAAGTGGGAAGTGGAGCAGAGCTCAGCCTCTTCCATATCATCATTGGAGGCCGTGTTTTAAACTGCCGGGGACTGAGAATCTCTATTTAGCAGTGAGTGTTTGACCTGGCACCCATGTACTCAAGGGCACCTTGATCACTTTAATTGGATGAAGTGGTTATGGATCATACAATGTTTCCAGCTTGTTCACATGGATGACATCTGCTGATCTGCTAAACTAGATTACCTGAAGTCACAGTGGGTATTTTAACCCTCTTTCCTAATTATTTTCTCTTTTTAAAAGAAATGACAGCAGAGTATGCTTGTACAAGGAAGCAATTCAATAAGAAACTGGGGGATTTTGAATTAATTCAGGTACGTTAAAGTATTTACTTTTTGTTCAAATTAACATTTCTTGTTTAGAATAATGTTTATTTAGGTTGTGAAGCGTATGTCAGTAATGAAAAAATATATATATAAATTTCATAAAGAAGAAATATTAGTAATGTCCACAAGGTAAAACTAGTAGCATACAATGGCATATTATAGGCAAAGATTGGTAGGAGAATTCAATTACTTCAATTACTTTATTAGGACGTATGTGGGAATAATGAGATCAGATTGGCTGGGTCAAGAAGGATTGGTAAAGATTCCTGATTCCTCTCCTGCAACTGTCAAAAAACAAAACACAAACAAACCACTAGGCCCTCAGTGACTACTTTTCTAGCAACCTACTTTTCTACCCTTAACCTCTGTGTCACTATGCCCCACTACTCTAGCATCTAAGCTCACTGAGCAGGGCCTTATCCCCTCTGTGCATCCAGCTTATCTGGTTACAATTACATGTCTGTTAGTCCACCTATTGTTCAGCACTACGGAATTTGTTGGCGCTTTATAAATTGTGACGGTTGTCACCATCACCTAGAGTTTCATATGTAAACTTTATGTAGGACCCTGGACTACTCTAATGTCTAAGTCATCCTGTGTCCATTATAGGTGCAGTGTGTGTGTATTGTTTTATTGTTAGATGATTTGTGTGCTCTCCTGTCCTGCTGGTACTTGCTATTAACTCCCATGCCTCACCCTTCTGTCAGTCCTTACATTGGCTTCCTATAAAATATAGAGTTCAATTTAAAATTCTGGTTCTTGCTTTCAAATCTCTACATAATGCTGCTCCCACCTATCTATTCTCCCTTATACACAAGTATGTCCCGTCTAGGCCCTTACAATCTGCTGAAGACTTACGTCTATTATCTGTCCGTACTCCCACCTCTGATGCTCGCCTTCAAGATTTTTTGAGGGCTGCACCGTTCCTGTGGAAATCGCTTCCATCCTCCGTTAGATGCTCACCCAGTCTCCACTCCTTCAAAAAATCGTTAAAAACCCACTTCTTCATAAAAGCGTATCAATTAAACTGTTAATAGTTCCTGACTGATTCCTCTTCTGCAACTGTCACTAGTCTAAAACTATCCTTACCTTTTTGTGTCATTTTACCACACTCCCTCTAGCATGTAAGCTCATTGAGCAGAGCCCTCAACCCCTCTGTTCCTGTGTGTCCAACTTGTCTGGTTACAACTACATGTCTGTTCGTCCACCCATTGTAAAGCACTGCGGAATTTGACGGCACTCTATAAATATCATAATAATAATTATAATAAATTTGGTTGTGGAGTGCGGCCTGTACAGTGCCACATGTTGGTAGCAACAGCAATATGTACTATCTGAATAGCAAGGCTTGTTAAAGGGAAACTATAGTGCCAGAAAAAAAAAACTTGTTTTCCTGATACTGTAGCTTCCCCTTCTGTCAAGGCCCCCTCCCACGGCGCTGAAGCTGATAATAACCCTTTCAGTCACTTACCTGGGTCCAGCTCCGATGCTGCTGATGCCGCACGGCTGCCGGCTGGGGAGACCTAATGCGCATGCCATGCTCGCGTTAGGATCTCCCCGTAGGAAAGCATTATTCTTTCCTATGGGGATTCTGGTAACGCTTGAAGTCCTCACACATAATGTGAGGACGTCCAGCGTCGTTTAGACAACCTAAAGTTGTCTAAGAACCCAGAAGTCCCTCTAGTGGCTGTCTGGTAGACATATAAAAACTGCAATGATTACATGCTCAGGGTTAAGGGTGATGGGAGTTGGCACCCAAACCACTTCAACAGACTGAAGTGGTCTGGGTGTCTAGAGTGTCCCTTTAATTGGCATGTTCAGGTAGATTTCCATATTACAGTTTATGCAGGCAGGAGAGATATTTCATGGTTGTTTTTGTCTTCACCGCCCCTCTATTTATATGTTTGTTTTATTATGCGTGCCTGTAGGTTTCTTTGTATTATTTGGTTTAATGCATTTAATTAAGTGTGTCACCATAAGCTTTATGTAATGATCATATGGGCTAGTCCCAAGTTAAAAAAAAAAAAAAGAAGCTTTGTCTGTTTGTTCTATTTGGAACTGTGTGTCCTGTATGGATTTTTAGGGACTCCAGACACAGAGTTGTCATACCTGTTGGCTGGCTCCTCAATCCCTCTAACCCTGGACAAATCAAAGAGCCGCAAGTGTCTTTATAAAGACAAGATTGCAGGCAGAGGTGCATACCAGCCTGGAAGAAGGGCTGCAGAGGAACAGGCAGAGGTGACGATCTCGTCTGGAAGGAGGGCTGCAGCCTGGTCAAGTGGAAAAGCTCCAGAGAGACCCCAGTCAAGCCCCGGCGACTGGAATTAAAGTGCTCCAGGCTCCTTCCCCAAAGGCTAGGAAGTGGATTGGGTGGAGGTACTCTGTCAGGGTATAGGAGCTCAGTTACATAAATGATAATATTAACACCAAAAAAGTAGTTCTCCCAGTAATGGGACCTGCAGGTAGTCTGGCCTAAGATTTGTGCCTTGTTCCAGCTTGGAGTCTTTCCATGTCCATTTGACAACTGGTGGTAGTTGGTATTAAAATTCAGCTGATCCTTCTGACACACACTAAACGCGTTTTGCCTGTCTGGCTTTAACAATAGTAGCAAGCGTGGTCCGCTTTCATAATCCTATTTAAACCACCTGCCTTAGCCTATTTGTGGGCAAGGTTTTGCCTACTTAGTTTAGTGGGTGGAGAGGGAAGGGTTTCTCCGATCGGTTTTGGCCGTTTCCACCGATTTCCCCATGTGTTAGAGCAGCACAGGCATGCATGCTGCCGTGTCCTAAGTAGGCCAGCAGGGGGAATACCTTCATCTCTATTTCCTTTATTTAACCGAACATGCTTTCGTGTAGTCATGCTCAGAGTACTGACTTCAGTGGAAAATTATTATTCAGGCACCAAACTGTTGTCACTTTCTGATACCACAAGGGAACATAAAGAATATTATAATCTGAGGGAGCACATAATAAAGGGGAAAAGAGTAATCATTGCACAGAGATGCTCTTGGGACTTTGCTTAAGAATAAACATAAGGAAGTATAAGCATACAAAATAATAATAATGAATCAAAATAAGGAAAGGTAAGTAAACATAAAAAAATTAAATGAATAGAGAATATAAAATAAGAAACAAAAATAAGATTAAAAATAAATATAAGGGGGACGGAGCTTGACCGCCAAGCACAGTAGTCTCAATCACGCGGAGGTCCGAGCAAGCGACTGGATATAAGCCTTTAATTTGGTCATATTGCTGATTTGACCATACTTACCCACACCACAGTGCTCTTGGTGGGAGCGGAGCTGGGGTATGGAGACTTTACAGACGACATGGTTGATGCGTGGTCCGGTTTCCCAGTTTCAAAGTCCACGCAGTTCCTCACTTTCCCCCTCCCTCCCGGTCCACCACAGCACTATCCAGGCCTGGCACCACACAAACAGCCTCCAGTGAATGGGCCCAGACACGTAAGTCTAACGCAGCCTAAGATGGCGGCTCTGTGCACAAAGGTGGCCCCCGTCCACCACGCTGAACCCACAAACCACTGTAGCACAAACCACTTGGATTGCCAACACACTTTTTAAACAGCATTGTGCAGAAACTGGCAGAAGGCAGTGGAAGGGAAGCAGCGCCATAGCGGTCTAATCCTCAGACTCACCCTGAAAGACTGTACCTGACTGGATCCCATCAGACCCGGATCTGACTGGGTCCCATCAGAAACAAGGCAAGCGGGGGAGATGACCTCCTGACTCGAGGTGGAAAAGAGGCGGGTGTCAAACAACCGGCGGTGACAGCAAGACAGGGCTGCGGCAGTGAGCGGCTCCTCTTAGAAGGCGCCTAAAAGTCCACATACTCAATCAAGTTAAGAGAGCAGGCTGACGGGAATCGATGGCAGTCTTGCGGCCTGGCGACACCCTATATGGGCTCCCTCTTAGCCCACACCTCGGACTCACTCATCCTGCCCATAACACTGGCATGGGGTGAGGAGCCCACACTGCTCTTGGGTCACTTTGTACCCTAAAGTAACTTGCATTTATATGTGTTGCACTGCGTGAGGCAAATGGTGGTCACACTAGATACTGACTGGTTTCCGCCCCCTCCCCCCCCCCCGAGCCCACCAATACAGTAAAACTGCACATTTTAGAGTGGCCTTTTATTATGGCCAGCCTAAGGCACACCTTTGCAACAATCATGTTGTCTAATCAGCATCTTGATATGCCACACCTGTGAGGTGGATGGATTATCTTGGCAAAGGAAATTGCTCACTAACACAGATTTAGACAAAATTGTGAACTGTTTACCTCTTGATAATCTGATATCTTATGAAACACTCTGCAGATGCACAGCCAGATCCTCTGGATTCATACCTCCTTGTCTTAGATTTGTCCTTACCATCCTTCTTATGTCCTTAACTTGGAGACCGAGTTGGTAGAGTACAGGTGACATTAAAGGACCACTATAGTGCCCTGAGGGTGCCCCCACCCTCAGGGACCCCCTCCCGCCCGGCTCTGGAAGGGGGAAAGGGGGAAAAACTTACCTTTTTCCAGCGCTGGGCGGGGAGCTCTCCTCCTCCGATCCTCCTCCTCTCCGCCCATTCGGCTGAATGCACACACGTGGCAAGCGCTGCGCGCGCATTCAGCTGGTCGCATAGGAAAGCATTTACAATGCTTTCCTATGGACGCTGGCGTCCTCTCACTGTGAAAATCACAGTGAGACAGCCGCTTGAGGCTTTGGGGGAAGGCTTAACCCATTTATAAACATAGCAGTTTCTCTGAAACTGCTATGTTTATAAAATAATGGGTTAACCCTAGCTGGACCAGGCACCCAGACCACTTCATTAAGCTGAAGTGGTCTGGGTGCCTAGAGTGGTCCTTTAAGCACTCTACTGAAAGAAAACTTTTAAAAACATTTGTCCAGATTGTATTTGTACCCTGCTAGGTTACACCACATACATTCATCTCAATTGCCCATGTAGTGGACCTGTCCACTGGTAAAGCAACTTTATGCATGAATATTTCAGAAAGTTGGTGTGACTTTTGAAGTTTACCACCTGGACAGCTTTGTGCCTTCGCCTATAATCATGGGTATCACCAAAAACTGGAAATCCTCCCTCCAGACTTTTTCACAAGTGACGCACAAAGTAATCTATGTTCTTAATATGGACAAAATGACTGTGTCCTTGTGGGCATGTCAGTCCACCTGTACAAAATTTGGACTCCTTTGAGACCCAGAACCACTTCTCTTGTTTTAGCCAGTCCTCTACTGCTCCCCTTTTCTCTCTCTCTCTCTCTTTTTCCCCATCCATATTTTGCATCTCTTATATCCTTCTTCCTCCTTTTTATTCCATCCCCCTTCTTTCTTTTCTCTTTAGAATTGAATGGTTATTTAACCTTATAATTAAAAGCATTCTCTGTTGTGCTTGGATTGTTCTGATGTAGTATGTTGGTTCCCCTCTTGATTTGTTTTATGTCTCAGAGTGTAATGTTCACTCTTATTGCTTTTGATCTCCTCCTTTTATGGAACAAAATGCATAACTGGGTTACTTTACTACTATTAATTTCCATATACATCATCAATGAATAATTTAGTATAATAATAATTTAGTATTTTAGTGTAATTTACTCAAAGGGTCTAAGCACCATAACCACTACAGCTATGGTGCCAGGAACATCCTGGCACTGTTCCATGGTAAGCAGTCACATAAGTTTAAAACATTTGTTACTTAGCTGCATGCCTTGGGTGCCTTAACTCAGATTATTCTTCAGATGTATGTAAAGATATATTTAGGCCCTGTTTAGAGAGACCTTAGATAATCATCTGACACAATCAATCTATGAATATAGTCAAAACATCATTAATTTAAATATGTGTAATTTTGTGTATCAGTGTGCATTATTTAGATCTTGGGAAGCATTTGCTTTGGGCAAAGTAATAATAAGAAATAATTTTTATTCAATTATCCTAGAGTTCCCAAATGCAAAGCAAATGGTGTGCTTCAGGCCCAGTATATTTTTCCTGTCTGATATTTAAATACAAGTTGATTGTTTTAGCCAATGTGAATCCTTTTCTTTAACAGGAGAAGTTTGCTCTGATGGCACAGAAAGTTTTTGTAATGGAAAGTATGGCATATCTGACAGCCGGGATGATGGATAGACCTGGGCTGCCAGATTGTTCTGTAGAAGCAGCCATGGTTAAGGTAAGAAACCAATAAAATATCTGCATTTTTTATAAATATATTACAGTATACAACTTAGCTATTGCTTATTGTACACAGCTAATTGTATTGGGATCATATTTGACCAGTTTACGGAGTCCACCTTATAGTTTTAATATTCTAATATATAATTTATTTATTTTTTGCTACCTATACATTTTCTCTGGTCTTGCTTTTTGTGACAGGTGTGCATTGTTTATTAAATTAACCAAGCCTGCTTTAGTATATTGTGCTGATGTGTCCATGGTGATATATACTGGTGTGATGCACCTTTGGTTTGAGTTGGGTCAGTGGCGGATCTAGAGCCTGATCTTGGGAGGGGCTCTCGTAGATTATTTAAAGAAATAATCTAAATACAAAAAAGAGCAACAAAAGGTTAGGTCATGGATACACAAGTATAAAGTATTCCAAATCTAACCTTTAGTTAAGGCAACCCTAGTTAACTAATCTTAGTAAAACATAACTTTTAATAAATTACTCAGTAAAGGGGAGAGGCGATCAGGACCATATGATACTTGCTGAAGTAGTTGTAGTACCTACGGTATGGGGATAGTCATAAGAAAATAATCTAAAGTCGAATTTTACCAAATAGTAAATAAATATGTCCCCAACTCCCATCACCCAGTGCCAAACAAGCGTTGATCCCCCTTTCCCCTAATACTAGAAATATAGCCGAAGTAAAATCACTGTTGGCTAAGTATCCATATTGGAAACGAAAAAATAAAATAAAATCAGTAACTAGGTGGCTAATCTGAGAGAGTCAAGCTGCAGCATCGTCCCTATTGATCTCCGCTACCCACTGCTCTAAATTCCCAACGCGCGTTTTGCCGACTACCGGCTCTTCCAAGGAAACCGGGTGAGAGTCAATTGATAGTTTAAATATCCCGCCCTCCGCTCTGGTTGGATAGTAGTTCCACCAATAAGATTAGAGGGCTGACAAAAAAAGTTTCAGTTCACATATTAACCCTGAAATAATCTAAAACCTGTATCAATTAAGTGGTAGATAACTTTGTATACTAATTGGGATTTAAGTAAGTATTGTACCAAGATGTGGATTAGACATAAAGTTCCTACAGTATTGAAAAAAGTCCAGAGGTGCTGAAAGGGATTAATCTTCCCAAGTTCATAAATGCACCCCTAATTTTGTACCGTCTCTAGTGGCCATATGTGCTACAGTACATTTTTATTCAACATGTTACCGAACTACAGTCACTATAATTTTATTAATCCAGTGGTTACTGAGGTTCTCATACTGGGGTTTTACCCAGCCGAGGAATAATATGAAAATCATGAAAAAATGATCGTAGTTGGTATCAAATTGTATCTATTCCTAAGTTTCAAATTCTCCAACCTAAAGGTAATAGCTACAAAAAAGATTCACTTTCATGATAAGTTAATATGGATAGAAGTCTTGCTTAAATGAAGCCAAAAGGTAAAATAAACAAGTAAATAAATAGAAAAATAATAATAAATTAACAAAAAAAAAACAATAAATGAAAAATTAACTAAATAAAGTTAAATTAGATTACAATTAAAATCAAAAGTACCCCATGATGTATTAGTAGAGGGGTGCTTTTGGTTCAATTGATGTCATGTTACTAATTTTGTTTTAAACCGTATTTACAGATGAAATAAATGTTGAAACATAAATAAAATAATATGATAATTAATGGTAGAGTTAATGAGCCTCATTTTGGATCAAAAGTATGAAGTGGTGTTATGAACCATAACCACTGTATATAAAGATGAATTATTCATTAAAGGACCACTCTAGGCACCCAGACCACTTCAGCTTAATGAAGTGGTCTGGGTGCCAGGTCAAGCTAGGATTGACCCATTTTTTTTATAAACATAGCAGCTTCAGAGAAACTGCTATGTTTATGTTAGGGTTAATCCATCCTCCAATTCCTCTAGTGGCTGTCTCATTGACAGCCGCTAGAGGCGCTTGTGTGATTCTCACTGTGAAAATCACAGTGAGAACACGCAAGCGTCCTCAGGAAAGCATTATGAATGCTTTCCTTTGAGACCAGCTGAATGCGCGCGCAGCTCTTGGGAGGAGAGGAGGCGGAAAGGAGGAGGAGAGCTAAAATGGGTCGCAAGAGTATTCTGAGAACGGACAGCAGCTAAAATAGCCTGCCCTTCGGTGGGTCCCCGCTCAGAACTCAAGCTGCTTTTAGCTCATCTTGTGCCATTACAGAGAGAAAATATCTGAAGCATATGAGACTGGTCCCACCCATACGGGCAGTCCAGATCCGAAATGCCAGCAAGTTCTCTCTGCACGAGAGATACAGCAACCCCAGACGATCGTTTCAGCCTTGTTAGGCATCATCAGTGAGGCATAGCTGATATCTCTCTACGCACCGTGAGCAAGGGGTCCACGTCTGGATTACCCTTTAAACTAATGAAGAGCAAAAGTGGGTTGTAAGAGTATTCTGAGAACAGACAGCAGCTAAAATAGCCTGCCCTTCGGTGGGTCCCCGCTCAGAACTCAAGCTGGTTTTAGCTCATCTTGTGCCATTACAGAGAGAACATATCTGAAGCATATCAGACTGGTCCCACCCATACGGGCAGTCCAGATCCGAAATGCCAGCAAGTTCTCTCTGCACGAGAGATACAGCAACCCCAGACGATCGTTTCAGCCTTGTTAGGCATCATCAGTGAGGCATAGCTGATATCTCTCTAGGCACCGTGAGCAAGAGAGCTCCCCGCCCGGCGCTGGAAAAAAGGTAAGTTTAATCCCTTCCTCTCCCCAGAGCCTGGCGGGAGGGGGTCCCTGAGGGTGGGGGCACCTTCAGGGCACTATAGTGCCAGGAAAACGAGTATGTTTTCCTGGCACTATAGTGGTCCTTTAAATCAAATTTAATTATTGATGTTTGTTTTTATATTTATTTCCACACCTCCCCCTCCCCCCCCGGACCTTTTTCCCCCCACCCCCATGTAGAAGAGATGGCATTCAGAGATCTTGTCCAAATAATTAAATAAAATTTGGGCCATAGTAGTCAGGATATTGCATCCAAAGTGGAATAAAAAGAAGCTAATGTTTATAGTGTATTGTTAAATGGAATGCCAGTTCTATCTCCTCATACAATAATATTTTAATAAGTTCCTACATTTTGTGGTGCTGGGGTAGCTGCAGGTTGGGTAGTTGCTGGAGCCTTTTTTGGGCTGTTTTGAACAGAATTCAAGCATTAAGGGTTATCTGCCTTTTGTTTTTTGTGCCTCATACTTTGCTACTAACTATCAAAACTACTTGGAGGAAAACAAAGTAAGGGGAATAGAGATGGTTGTGTCACATGCTTCCTGTCGTGCCTCCCATAGTACGGAGTAATGATTCGCAGAAAAATCATTGCTTCGCTCTGATTGGTTGTTTGCTGATTTCATGGCAGATTATGGGGTTAACGGCAGAAGATCTGTTAGGCCAAAGAAAATAAAAAGCTATTTACTTTAAAAGAAGAAAAAATATTTAATAGAAGCAAAAATTCAAGGAACAATCTAAATACCAAAACAACTTTAGCTCGATTCTCTGCCATTCACTTTGCCTTGGATGAGACGAACACAGCCTCTCTACACACTTCCTAAAAAAAGAAGTGTAATTATTCAAGACATTCTGCTTTTCTTATTGACAGTATGTTTATAATGTATATCCTGACAGTATGTTTATAATGTATGTCCTGCCCTGTTAATTGCTTGTTGGAGCCTGTAGGGGGCTCCTATGTGTGATTAAAGTTATATTAACAGAGCAGCAGTAAACACTCTGTGCTAAAAAATTTAACCATTTTCTTCTTCTTCTAAACAAATAAAAGTAGTTTAACTTCTAAATGACAGAGGGATTGAGCATTGAGACTGTATTGGCAGTAGTAGAAGGGCTACTAAACTGGTTCATGGATTGCGGGATAAAACTTACCAGGAAAGGGGGGGGCGTGGCTAACCGCCGAGAGAAATGGACGTGTGATCCTTTCGCTCCGGCATCACGGGTCGCAATCTGATCCCATCCAGCGCAACACGGCGGTAAAACTGCACGAAAACGAGAGATGGCACAGCAGAGGGGCAAGAAGAATGCACTAAAAGCGGACAAAATCAACTTCTTTGGAGGCAAACAGCACCAGGAGCCGGAGGAGGCTCTGGCCTGGTCGCAAGATGGCGGCCCCACTAATGACAGCCCGGAGCACACAGCGACAATGCAGGAGGGGGAGTCTGATAAGCTCACCAAGAGCTACTTGCAACAAGCTCTGGACACCCTGTCAAACAAGTTGATTGCATCATGGCAACACACGGCGGACTCGCTGAGGAAGGACATGCAAGAATTGGGCAAGGGCACCTCCCACAAGGAGAACAAGATGGCAGAATTTGCCACAGCCCACAATGACATCGCCTCTCATGTGGAACAACTAGAACAAAAATTACTGGCAACAGAAAATAAAATAACCGACCTGGAGGATCGCGCACGCAGGAATAACCTGCGCATCAGAGGAATCCCGGAAGATGTTGTGCCGGAGAACCTGCAGGCATATGTCAGAGGTGTGTTTAACGCATATGCTCCAGACATACCTACCGACATGTTACTCGTGGACCGAGTACACCGTCTGCCTAGACCAAGGTTCCTACCAGAAACTGCACCGCGGGATGTGCTGCTGCGCATGCATTATTACCATGTTAAAGAAATTATACTAAAGTCAAGCAGGAATAAAGCGACACCACTGGAAGGTTATCCAAACCTGCTGATCTTTGCTGATCTCTCGGCGTCCACTCTCCGCAGAAGGAAAGAGTTTGCTCCAGTCGCCAACTCCGTACGAGCTCACGGCCTTAGATTTAGATGGGGCTTTCCCACCAAAATGTTGGTGACGAAAGACAACACCACCCAAGTCATCACATCACCTGAAGATGGACTTCGCAAGCTACAGGCCTGGGGATTTATGGACCAAAGACCGGAGCATCACACTCCACCTACCAGGCGCATCCCACTGGACTGGCACAAAATATGAACTGCTGAACATCCGCAAGTATAAATCTGTTTAGAAATGTGTGCTTGCAATAAGGACAAGGACTGAGGAAAAGTTAGAAAAATGTTTTATAAAAAAAGAGGAAAAAGAGAGAAAAAGGAAAAAGAGAAAAGAAAAAAAAGGTTTTTTTCAGGTTCATATAGGATTGGTTATACCATATTAGGCCACATGGTTCTCTAAAGCTACTCAAACCGGAGGGCAATAACTCTCCAAACACTTAATGGAGGTCTGGAGATGAACAAATCTCCCCTAGCAGCCGGTGGCTTACGGGAAAGGCAAAGTTCTGCAGAGAGCATGCCTATAGTTTTATTTAAAAAAAAAAAAAAAAAAAAAGGTTTTTGTCAGGTTCATATAGGATTGGTTATACCATATTAAGCCACATGGTTCCCTAAGGCTACTTAAACCGGAGGGCAATAACTTCCCAAACACTTAATGGAGGTCTGGAGATGAACAAATCTCCCCTAGCAGCCGGTAGCTTATGGGAAAGGCAATGTTCTGCAGAGAGCTTGCCTATAGTTTTGATTTATTTATTCATTTATTTATTTTTTGAAAGAGAAGGAAAAAAAAAAAAAAAAAATGAATGATATAACACAAGTTCAGAATGTAATTACTAGATACCTGTTACCTTCCGGCTACTGGGAGCAAGACGCTGCCTTACTGGACGCGCTCACCAGCTGTAGATTAAGGTGAATTTATGTTGTGTATCTATATAAGTATGTGAACCTACGAATGGTCATAACAAAATTTTTTTTTTTTTTTTTCCTCTTAGTCCTACTACCATTTACCCTCTTTCTTTGTACAGCAGTACACATACCCAAAGAACCTATAAGACTCTTATTACTCAGTACTTAGTACTTGATACATGGGTGACCTAATACGACCGACCGTCCCCAAAGACTAGGAGACAGCGGAAGACCCATAGCCACGACACGGAGTTTCCACCCCCATGGTACTCATCACCAGTACCGAGACTCATACATGTAAATACTTTGTTTTTGTTATTACCCGGTTAACATCTCCCCTCTTCCTTGACCCTAGTCCCGCATGGGTGAGAAAGCCCAAGCTATTGCCCACACCAGCTATGATCGAGATCGCCCCCACAGGGGCATCCTTGCCCGATATAAGCACAATCGACATACCCATACGAAGGGAAGATAGAATAAGAAGTAAACTGCAAATTCAGCAACGAATCCACATAACATCATATTATGAAAATACACTCACATAATGTACGAGGGCTGAACACCCCTCATAAACGTAGAGTTTTATTAGAGGAAGCAAAGAAAGCTAAGATAGACATTATGTGCCTTCAGGAAACGCACTTTGTGCGTGGGAGGATACCAGAATTTGGGAAACAGGACTATCCGACGCAGTATCACACGACTTACTCTTCCAAAACTAGAGGAGTGTCCTTCCTGTTTCACAAATCGCTCACTTTTGAACTGCTAAACGTCAAAACAGACGCACAAGGCCGATACTTAATAATCCACTGTCAAATTAACAGAGCCATATATACCTTGGTAGGCATATACAGCCCAAACTCCAACCAACGCAATTTTTTGCATAGAGTACTGAGCAAACTACCCCAAGGGCACAAAGCTGGCATCATAATATGTGGTGACATGAACCACATTCTCCAGCCGACTATGGACACGACAGTGTCTCCCTCTACTCCTAGACATAGATCCTTAATACCACAATGCAAAGCCATCACTAAGCTATTACTTGACCATAACTTATATGACATATGGCGAACGAAACACCCGAATGATAAAAATTACACTTTCCATTCCAAAGTGCATGGAACCCACTCCAGAATAGACTTCATACTGGTGTCAAGAGATTTGGTACCCTCCGCAGTACAGAGTAGCATAGGGGACATAGTGTGGTCAGACCACGCTCCAGTGACCCTCATAACCCAGGACACTTACAAACATAGAGGGAAAGCCCCGTGGCGACTGAACGACACCCTCCTATATAACGATACTTTTAAAAAGGAATTGGAAACTGAAATAGATAAATATTTCCAACTTAACAATCAACCTGACATATTACCTACCACCTCTTGGCAGGCTCATAAAGCAGTCATTAGAGGTCAGCTCATCAGCAGAGCGTCCTTTCTAAATAGGACTTCTCAACAAGCGCGTCTTACCCTACTGACCAAACTGCGTGACTTAAACGCAGCCCAATTCCTACACCCCACTCTTGGCCTTCACATTGAAATAGAACAAATCACTAAACAACTAAATGATCTCTTACTTCAAAAAACAGCACACACCCTACAAACACTTAAATTGAAACATTATACCCATGGGAACAGAGCGGGGAAAAAATTAGCATCTTTGCTGAGACATCACCAAGCCCACTCCAAAATCCCATATTTACTCACCAGCAAAGGAGGGAAAATATATAACCCCCTAGACATCAATGAAGAAACAGCAGCCTATTACCAAAACCTGTACAACTTAGCAAAGGACCCCCAAATGCATCAGCCAACACAAGTTGAAATTAATAACTTTCTCTCGCAGATGAAATTGACAAAATTAACACAACAACAGCAAGAATCCCTGATAGAACCGATTACACTGAAAGAACTACAGCAAACTATCCGTACACTCCCTTCAGGGAAATCACCTGGCCCAGACGGCTTCACGAACACTTACTACAAAGTCTTTTCGAGCATCCTGAGCCCCCATCTAGTACATACACTGAACCATATTGTACACACAGGGAAGATGCCCTCAGAAATGCTATTAGCGCACATAGCCACGCTACCAAAGCCAGGGAAACCACCTACGCAACCAAAAAACTTAAGGCCTATCTCACTGTTAAACACAGATACAAAACTCTTAGCTAAAATATACGCCAATCGTGTAGCGGCCCTTGTCCCTTTTATTACGCACCCGGATCAAGTGGGATTTGTGAAGGGGCGTCAGGGAACTGACGGCACTAGGAAACTCCACAGCCTTCTATACAGTGGGACGGCTCCCGGAGAGTCCAGGGTCTTTATGTCCCTGGATGCCGAGAAGGCGTTCGACAGACTACACTGGAACTTCCTGAGAACTGTACTACAAAAATTTGCATTCCCACAACAATTCCTATCCCTACTCTCAGCACTGTACTCCACACCATCGGCACAAGTAGCTAATGGCGGGTTTGTATCCAAGCCGTTCCTTATCACAAATGGAACGAGACAAGGATGCCCGCTCTCCCCAGCCCTATACATCCTTGCGCTAGAGCCATTGGCCCAGGCGATACGGGATAACAGCCAAATCCGAGGTGTGGAAATTAAACGTAAAACATACAAATTAACGATGTTTGCGGATGACGTTATGCTCTCCTTGTCTGACCCACTCACCTCTATCTCAGAACTCCAGACTCTGTTACAGCAGTATAGCAACTGCTCGTATTACAAATTGAATAGTTCTAAAACACAGGCAATGAGTCTACATACGCCCGCGGCGCTATATAAAGTCTTGCAACAGAAATACCATTATGAATGGAGACAAGACCACTTAACTTTCTTAGGCATAAAATTTACGAAACTAGAGAGGAACTTACATCGGGAGAATTATGGCAAACTCCTTACATCAATAAAACAGCAGCTAACAGATTGGAAAGGGAAATACATATCATGGATGGGTAGGATAGCTGCAGTCAAAATGAAAATCCTCCCGAGACTGCAATACCTGTTCCGTACATTACAAATTAGGCTCTCAAAAAAATTTCTTCATGACGCACAACAATTGATTAACACCTTTGTCTGGTCCCACAAGAAACCCAGAATAGCGGCAAACATCATGTATCGCACATATAAGGGAGGGGGCATGGGATTACCACATTTAGCCACGTACTACAGATCAGCTATACTTGCACCGCTGGTCAACGAATTACACCAACATGACAAACCATCCCCTTGGGTAATCGTAGAAGCAGAGCTCACTGGGGGACAACACATAACGCACATGGCCTGGACTCCACCACAGCTCAGGAAAAAATATAACAATATGTCACCACTCACGGCCACAACATTACGAGAATGGGACAGATTTCATAAAGAACAGGGACTCGATAGGGAGCTCTCCCCAGTCTTACTCCTGGATTCCTTTTATGGACTAATACCCTCATTAAACATGGCGTCCTGGAGCAGTAGGGGTCTGATATACTTACATCAGCTGTTTGATCAGGGAGAGGTCATCCCCTTCAGACAACTGCAAAATACATACCACTTACCCAACGCAGCAGCATTTGCGCACAGACAGATACACTCATGGTTGCAGAAAAATAAAAAGGTACTTCCTGCAGGAGACAGATGGGGCACTTTCACTGAATTAGAAAGCCTTTGCACACAAACAAAAAGACCACTTAAGCTAATCTCCACACTGTACAATCACCATCATCGAGCACTAGACCCACATGCATTACAGTTTGTAAAAGCATGGGAAGCGGAACTAGGAAGACAGTTAACAAAAGAGCAGTGGTCATATATACTTTATGAGAATAAGAAACTCACACTCAGCACAGCCCATCTAGAACTAGCCAGGAAAGTATTATACCGCTGGTATTTAGTACCAACCCGTCTAAAACATATGATACCTAAGAGCACAGGACTGTGCTGGAGATGCAACAAAGCCCAGGGCACCATGCTACACATATGGTGGGACTGCCTGGTCCTGACACCACTGTGGACGGACACACAGGCTCTAATTAAAAATACTACAGGTGTAGCTCTCGCACATACTCCTGAGCATTTTCTTCTACAGTATATGCCTCCACACCACACAAAAACATCTCGATATTTAATGTACCACATTATCTTGGCAGTTCTGCTGCAGATCAGCAAACACTGGCAAAAGCAGACGACCCCCAGCATACAGAGTTGCATAACACACATTGAAACCATAAAGGGGTACGAGATAATGGCCAGATCCAATACTCCACCACAAAAATTCTGGAAGGAGGCGTGGGAAAAATGGGACACATATCAACAAAAAACGGTGAAACCTTAAACACTCTACACACCTTTTACGCTGTAATCCATAGAACGACGCTTTAGAGAAAGGAAAAGCGTACTCCTTCTCAGCACTGCATCTTTGAATACAAGGAAGCCCACACACCACCTCTTCCTACTTAAAGCTGGGTGAATACTCTGACACAATTCTTAGGGCCGAAGAACCGGCCTATATACTGGGCTAGACTGAGGGACCAACACCGCCCCCCCCCCCTCCTCTACCTCCCCCTCTTTCCCTGCATTATACCCAGGTTCTGCCCCCAAGTTCGTAAATCTTTTCTCTTTCATCGGAAAAGTAGTTGAGCACCAGGGAGATGAGGGTTGCTTCACAGCTAAGTACTTACCAAGACTGGCGGAGTGGAAAGACAACTCTCACTATCACGCCCATTGGACAAGAAAGAAAGCAACACAAACATGGGTACAATAGCAATGTCAGAATGAGTTGTCTATTTGTCTATTTGTTTTAAAGGCGTAACTCTAATGTCACTACTACATGAATGTTCAACACAAGTATCATTACTGTATAGTTAAGTTGTTACTTTGACAAAGCAGGCTGCGCACTATATTGTACTCCCTCTATGTTGTACTGTGACTGTAACCTGCATACCCTGTATACCTGTAATAAGACTGTAAATTCTATAAAATGCAAATAAAAAAAAAAAAAAAAAAAAAAAAAAAAAAAAAAAAAAAAAAAAAAAACTTACCAGGAAAGGTTAAAGGATCTTAACATGTATAGCCTGGAGGAAAGATGAGACAGGGGGGATATGATAGAAACATTTAAATACATAAAGGAAATCAACACAGTAAAGGAGGAGACCATATTTAAAAGAAGAAAAACTACCACTACAAGAAGACATAGTCTTAAATTAGAGGGGCAAAGGTTTAAAAATAATATCAGGAAGTATTACTTTACTGAGAGGGTAATGGATGCATGGAATAGCCTTCCAGATGAAGTGGTAGAGGTTAACACAGTGACGACGTTTAAACATGCGTGGGATAGGCATAAGGCTATCCTAACTATAAGATAAGGCCAGGGACTAATGAAAGTATTTAGAAAATTGGGCAGACTAGATGGGTCGAATGGTTCTTATCTGCCGTCACATTCTATGTTTCTATCATAAAAACTGCTTTATTAAGCTGACGTTGTTTTGTTACTTGGACTGTAATGTCCATTTAATAGTAGCAAAACAAATTTTACAAAGACAAATCATGAATACATTTAATAAGATCATTATTGGATATTGGCATATTATGTGCATATTTTGTTTTGAAGCTTACTAATTTTAATAGGTCTACAAATATAAACCTGCTTTGTAGCTGTTCTAACAAGAGCTTTTCTTGTAGGTTTTCAGTTCAGAAAGCGCATGGCTCTGTGTGAGCGAAGCTTTGCAGGTCCTGGGAGGTTTGGGCTACATGAAAGATTATCCATATGAACGTTACCTCAGAGACAGCCGTATTCTGCTTATCTTTGAGGTAAGCACATTTTTTTTCTGTGTTCGAAATGCATGTGGCCAAGGGAAGTGCCTCTTCATCTAGATCAAGTGATGAGCTTTTAATTTTCATGAAAGTTTCCTTTTTTCCCTCTGAATATTTGTGACAGGCTCTTGCAATCACATCCTAAGACATTGTGCTTTTAAAAATCTTTAACAATGTTTATTCGCCCTTCCTTGCCTTTTACCTGTTGTCACGAAGGGAGCATACTGGATTCCCTGGTGGTCCATGTGGTGCCATGGCAATGCTCCGGAATGCATGTGCATATTATAATGCAGATTATACACTCAGGAACTGTGTGTGTGTGATATATATATATCTATATATCACTACTCGCTATATCCATTGTGCAAATAGACAGCCCCGCACTCCAGATTTGTGAAATGTACAAGATTATAAAGTTATTACACTGATTTCTCATGCAATGGATTCAGATTAAATCAACTGTAATAAAACATGTCCCAGGCTTGAGTAGAACCCTCCTTTTATTCGTTTTCAACATAATTTTATTTCAATGGGTGTGCTGTATACATAAAATATGGGATATGTAGTAAATCTTTTGGCTTTACAATTCTTTGCAACCCTCATTCATTTGTGAGACAGCTAAAACACAGAAACTTTGTAATGCATCAGTCTACCCTTTTGTTATGCATTAAAACCTATCTCTTTTTTTCCAACTGAAGTGCTGTAGTTTACAATAATAATATCCCGGGAAGTACTCAGCATGGTTAGTAAGCCTCTGGCAAACTCTCCCATAGAAACTATATAGACAAACAGAATAATCTAGCCTGTTGCATTTTTTTAACATCCAAACACTATTTGCTCTAAGAGATGCTGGACAACAAGCACCACGTTAAGCCATCAAGGGCTCTAAGCTTTAAGTCACCCTCCTGTTTCCTACCTTTTAAGGTGCAGGAGGGTGACTTTCCCTGGGGTCTAGTGGCTCAGGCTGATGGGAGTCAGAGTTCCAACTCTGACTCCCTCCTCTCCTTCCTCTCGCGTGGCTCCCCGTGGATGTTGGGAGGAGTGACCAGGGCAGTCACTTCCTCGCAGCTCAGTCTGACATCATCACAGGGGTCATGCTGTTGAAGCGCCGCAGGGCTGACCGGGCCTCCTGGATATTCATTGCCATCGGGTGGCCCTAGCAGCATGGGCCACCCGATGGGCCCCTTGAAGTGTGGGCACCCGGTGGCCGGGCCCTCTTGAGCGACAGGCCCGATCGCACCTGCAACCTCTGCGTTGTTTTATCTGAAGCTTAATCATGTGTCTAACTTCTCCAGGTGCTTTGTGTGTTTCTTGAAAACTATGTTTTATGTTTCAGGGAACAAATGAAATTCTTCGTATGTACATTGCTCTGACAGGAATGCAACATGCAGGGAAAATATTGACTGGTAAAATAAAGTAAGGAGTTTTTTGTGTTTTTTTTTGTTCTGTTTTTTTATGTACGGAGAAAAGCCAATTGCAATTAGCTTCTGATGTACATTTCTAAACAAGTCACTCAATTTGAAAAATAAAACTAGAAGAGCAGATACCAAACATTAAATAAAATGTGTATATATTTTCCTATTGTGATGCATATGACAGTATTCATATCAATGTGTAATTCAGCGTGATGACTGCACTACGCACCTTTTTGATAGGGAAAACCATAGATAATGCAATATTTGAGGATTTCTGTGGTCTGATTCATGTTAAAACAATAATGTAATTTATAGTAAAATCTTATGATCGCTATTCAAGAAGTTCAGTAGTTACAGCAGAATCATTGGAAACAGAATTATTGATGCACACTCAATATGTTACTGAGGTAGAGAGGATTAACTACATGTAGTAGTTATAATATGGAAATAAATTGTTACCCTTGAGTACATACACTGATCAGCCACAACATTAAAAACCACCCGCCTAATATCACCTTCCACAGCAGCCCTGATGCGTCGATGCATGAACTCCATATGATCCCTGAACTTATCCTGTGGTATCTGGCATCAAGACATTAACAACAGGTCCTTTTAAGTCCTGCAAGTTGCAAAGTGGGTCCTTCATGTTCATGTTAAAACAATAATGTAATTTATAGTAAAATCTTATGATCGCTAAGTCTTTTAGGTCCTGCAAGTTGCAAAGTGGGTCCTTCATGGGTCAGATTTGTTGTTCCAGCACATCTAACAGATGCTCAATCGGATTGAAATCTGGGGAATTTAGCGGCAAAGGCAACACCTTGAACTCTGTCATGTTCCTCAAACCATTCCTGAACAAGTTTTACAGTGTGGCAGAGTACATTGTCCTGCTGAAATAGTCCACTGCCATCAAAGAACACCATTACCATTAAGGGCTCTAGGTAGGTGGCACGTGTCAAAGTACCATCCACATGAATGCCAGGACTAAAGGTTTTCCAGCAGAACATTGCCTACAACACAACACTGCCTCTGCAGGCCTGCGGTTCATCCTGTTGCCAATTCTTCTCTAGGTAAATTACGCACACGCAACCGCCATCCACCTTATCTAAAAGAAAACATTATTCATCAAACCTGGCAACCTTCTTCCATTGCTCCATGGTACAGTTCTGGGCTGGGTCTTCGTGGGCACTCTGAGCGGTCTGCAGCTATGCAGCTCCATACACAGCAAACTGCACTGTATGTTCTGATACATTTCTATCACGGCGAGCATTACGTTTTTCAGCAATATGAGCTACAGTAGCTCTTCTGTGTGTTTGGATCAGATGGGCTGGCATTCGCTCCTCACATGCATCAATGAGCCTTGGCCACCCATGACCCTGATACTGGTTCACCGGTTGTCCTTCCTTGCACCACTTTTGGTAGGTTCTAGCCACTGCATACCAGGAACACCCCACAAGACTTGTAATTTTAGAGTTTTTACCCAATCGTCTAGCCATCAATATTTGAGCCTTGTCAAAGTCGCTGAGATCTTTCTGTTTGCCCATTTTTCCTGCTTCCACCACATGAAATTAAAGAACTGGCTGTTCACTTGCTGCCTAATATATTACACCACTTGACAGGCGCCATTTTAACAATATAATCCGTTTTATTCACTTAACCTTTTTTAACCTGTTTTAACATTGGCTGATTAGTGTATGTTAGGGGGTAGAGTAACTTGTCCAGTACATCATTTAACAGTCTTGAGTATTTCCAGGGAAATGAAGAAGGGAAACGTTGGGATAGTTTTGGAAATGCTTTCTAAAAAGCTTCGAGACAGCTTTGGAAGAAGTGTGAATTTGGGATTAACAGGAAAAGATGGAGTTGTTCATCCAAGTTTAGAGGTAAGGAGATGTTTCTATATTAAAAGTGAACATAAAAAAAAAAAATCAAAAATATTTATTACAGGAACAATCTCATCTTAAAAACAAATATAATCATTCTTAACATTAGGGTATTCACGTGTTTAACGAGAAAAAAGGAGGGAAGATAAGGCGCTAATTCCAAATGCGGCAAAATATGATCTGTTACTTGGATACCTTAAAAATCCAAGAGGAGCTAGGAAAAAATGCAAAGAAAATAGTCTCTGCCAAATATGAAATACTAGATATTCCAATATAGATATATAGATGTACAATATTATCAAAAAATATAACAATATTAGAGAGTCACCGCAAAAAAAAAAATTGGGGGGAAATAGTGCTTTTTTTGGAGGTCAGTCTGTTATCCTCCTTAATGTTCAATTAGATGAAACTTTAGTAAAACAAAAACACAAAAGAAGCCACCAATATTGTAATCTGGTATATACAATGTCTTGAATAAAATTAAGCTAAAATAGACTTACAAGGACAGAGCTTCCAATCAGCTCTTAGAGGGCTCTGAGTGGAACAATCCCCGCTCAAGGATAAAGCTGGAGCTGTCCCCTTTAGATGTTCACAGTGTAAACGGCATGTGAAAGGAAATAAATGAGGTATAGTGCTCACCGTTTTAAGCAATATTTATTTGTCAAAAAATATAAAATCTACTCACAATTTCAAGAGCACCTTTTGCTCAATGATATCAGCTTGGGTGGTATGATCCCCACAAAGGATATATGTAGGTAGATGTAGATAGAATGGCAGTACCCGATGAGCTTTCTTTAGATGAATAAAATAAAATGCAGGATAAAAAAACATAAGTCAAAATTTGAGGGTAAAAACAATATTTATTGTAATATACAAAACAAAATCCAAACCGATAAAAAGATATTTCTATACAATCACAACACGTTAGGCTTTCTCAAGTGATATAGTAAAAACAAATAGTGTGTAGGCGCGTCACAGTATTAATATAAACCTTAGCTAAAATACCTGGCAGGCAGTGTGACTGATATAATGGTGCTTCCCATATACACCAAACACAGAAAACAAATGATAAATACAATATATCAGTGTATACACCCTATCCAGTGCAAATATATAAAAATCAGATATTATCACCATATGATGAACTGTAATGGAATGGTACCTAAAATATAAAAATAAAACACAACATAGTGTGAACTGTATAATAATATTAAGAAGCGGTGAACAGGTGTAGGACTACCACTCACATTCTCCAGAGCCGTAGCAGGCTCTGTGTGACAAATTCAAAGGTGCCAATACAGGCTAGCGATCCCACTGACGGTAGTAGAAGATGGTGATGAGACTCCAGATGGATTTTAAAGAAAATTTATTGTAAGTATTAAAAAACAAACACCTCAAGGTACTATGGGAGTGGAACACAGCATATAAAAACAATATAATAAGGAAAAACTGGAGTTCCACTTACCCCTATAGTTAGTAACCAAGAGTGAGTATAAAAACAAATTGATAAAACCAAATGCATCAAACATGTTTCGGCAATAAAGCCTTCTTCCAGTGCTGGTTTCGGAGTCCCTGATGTCTTCTGATATACATTTCATCTTTGCCGGTCATCTGTGTGTGATTTTTCATTAGCGGAGCGTCATTTCCGGTTTTGCATCTGACTTCACTTACGCATTCGGCCAGGTGGAACGCACGCTGGAACACGGCGTTCTTGATGTAGAACAGACGGTCATGATGGATATAAGTCCCCACAGTGGCAAATCTCTCAAAAATCAGAGAAAGCCACAATATAGTCCATACAATATGTAAGAGACAAGAGGTGAATACCAAGATTAGTCTATCTTAATGCAGAAGTACATTGTAAGTACAAAATATTCATCTGTGTGCCAAAACCAGTGTCGCTTTAAAGCGCCAAATCTGTTCTAGATTGTACGGTTCTTGTTACTTGCTGGTATTAGCGCTCCTTTTGGCGACATGTTGACCTGTGACATCCCATACTGACATTGAATCACCTTCGTCATGTAATCTTCAACAGATTATAGAATGATAGAGTAGATAACATGGAAATTCTCAATGATTAATTTTCTTTCTCAGGAAAGTGCAAAGAAACTGGAGGAGAACACATATTATTTTGGAAATACTGTAGAAAGCTTGTTGTACAGGTTTGGCAAGGTGAGCACAGCCTTTTAAACATTTAATCTTGAACATTTCTAAGTCATTTATTGTTATTCTTTTTGCTTACTTCACCTCTGTGTCATGTGATTAAATATCCCATATAATCTATTGTACAGCACTGCAGAATCTGTTGGTGCTTTATAAATAATAATAATCTTATTTAGTAATTTTATTTTTTGTATTGTTGTATTATTTATTTATTTATTACTGGTAATTATAAAGCACCAAACATATTCCGCAGCGCTATAAAAAGGGAAAAAGACAATACAATAAGAACAGAACGATACAACAGGTTTAGGGCCCTGACTATGAGCTTACAATCTAAAGGTTAAACTGTGGAGATGAGACAAAAGGTAGCAGAGGAATTTGCATGAGATGGCATAGAGAGTTAATGGTATAACTGCAGCAGCTGATAGCATGTGAAGGTAATAAGGAGGTGATTGGCTGTGGTTCCAAACAGCTGGAGGAGCATGCTATATAGGTGCAAAGAACCAGGGTGGGAGGGTTGAGCCAAAAAAAATGGGCTTCTTGCAGGGGTGGATGTAAAACTGGCCTTAAAGAGTAGAGAAACACTGTTATTTAAACAAATGTATGGCTAGGACAGGATGGAGTGGGGGTGGGGAGGTGGAAGTGGGGAATGGTTGAGCAGACCTGCCATTTGTCTAAAACAATTACAATATTTGCCAACCAGAATACTATCAGACAGGTTATTAATAATTACTTGTAACTGCAAGTACAAAATTATACAGTAGTAAACTACAGGTACAAATAGTAACATTGATGTAGTAACTAAGATGAAGGAAATCCGGTAGCATTTGTATTTGTACGCTCCATATCAAGTGGTTGCAATATATTTATATGCAATATTTTCCTTAAAACCATGTAGTCATTTAAAACTGTGGAAATCAGGGGTAGTCAACCTTTTAATACCTACCGCCCACTTTTGTTGATGGTAAGATTTCCTTACCACCCACTAGTGCCACAGTAACTAATTTTATAGTGTAAGTGCGATTATTATTATTATTATTTTTTTTTTTAAATATATATAAACTTGCTAACTTGCATTAATAGATGCACATTAACAGAAATATGATCACACCCGCAGGATGCTGCACAATTATAAAAAATACATAATATTCTCAAACAACTTACTGTGTACAACAAATTTTAATGTTTTTTGTTTGAATCATGGCGTTATATTTGCTTTATTTTGTCTTGCAGACTATAGTGGATGAGCAGTTGGCTTTAAAGAGAGTAGCAGATGTTCTTATTAATCTGTACGCAATGACAGCTGTTATTTCCAGAGCCAGTCGATCCATCAGCATTGGACTTCGCAACCATGACCATGAAGTAAGCATTAAATAAGGTTTAAAGTTATTCCTATTTATTTTATTTTATGATGCAAATAAAAAAACAAAAAACTAATTTGGTAGTTACACAAACTAATTCGATGATATTTCCTGAATAACAATATGATTTCTGAGGAGAACTCAAAAAATAGCTACTGACATTTTTGTTTCACTGAAGACCCCTTAAGTCCTAAAATGTCTTTACCACTGGTCAACAGTAGAGGATTTCATAACAAAATAATTGCATTTGCTGGTCTGAGTCTAGTGACTGGTTCCCATATATAACACCAAATGTTTATTTATATAAACCTTGTTCATCTGTTCATATATATAAACATGCCCCAATGTTAATTTATTTGCTTATTACAGGACATAATTCTTACATATTTTTTTTATTTCAATTAGGTTCTTTTGGCAAATATGTTTTGTTCAGAGGCTTACTTCACGAATAATTACCTCATGGCTCAGCTATCAAAACGTAAGTTTTATGATGATTAGGCTTTTTGTCATTACTCACTGCAGATTTTAAACTTAATTGGTGCTTAAGCAGTATAAGTAAAGTGATCATATCTTTTACTTCAGATTCTGCTGAAAACCAGGATGACAGTATTCGAAAAATAGCTAAATTTGTTCTGGAAAACCGTGCTTACACCTGTGCACATCCTCTGGACAGGACATTCTGAAAATTGACAGATCTTTGAAATGAATTGCAACATAAGATTGTATATCGTCACAATGTAGCTTATTGAATGTCTGGATATTTTGTAATAAATACATAAATTGTGATAAATCAAAACTCAAAATTACATTAAAGACTAACACCAAGTTTGCCTTACTTCCTTAAATGAACACTCAAAGAACCTAAACTATAGTACATTATTTATGGAGTACACAGAACGGGTGGGAACGGTCTTTCCCACCAACCTCCACCTCCACTACTGACGATGGAGAGTCGGAAGCTTTGCTCACACAGAAAGATTCAATCTCTGTCAGATGTAATGCATGCAAGGGCTAGCGCCTGACTGACCCCAGGTAAGAAGTCAAACCATTGTAAAATATGTTTACATTTAATATCTAGGTCATACCTGGCATCATAACCACTACAGTGCACTGTAATAGTTATGGTGCTGAAGTGTTCATCTGATATAAATATATTATAAATATATTTATATTAAATATTATATAATAGTTTTTGACAGCTTTAAATGCAAATGTAATATTAATTCACACTTGAGTGGTCATTATTATATCCTTTTTCTGAAGCAGAACAGTAACAAAGCTCATGTAATAGATCAGCTTTGTTATTGTATGTGAACGAGAAATCCAGCATAATTTTCTGTTGATTAGTGTTTGTGAATCTCTAATATTTTTTTATCTTCCTGTAAAATTGATTGTGTCTCTCTTGACAACTTATTTCTTTACTTCTCCTCTAATGAATTAAGGAATGGTGGAAAAAAGTGTACACTATGAGGGATGCAACATGAAAAAATAAAGTGTTTAACAATTTGTCAGCCTTTTACTCTCTTAATGACCTGTGGTATCATATAAGCTGATGTTTCATTAATAACATATATAAATTGTTACCAATTAATTTACATTCCTAATATTAGATTCTGATTCTTTACCAAGAGACATTCTTATTTGCTGCTCATCTTTCAAAACCAAAGAACAAGTCTTAAAATCGTTTAGATGTACGCCTCTTCAGGATCCCTACAACAAAATATTTTTTTCTGATTTGTCATATTTCAGAGGCCCCTGTGACTGTCAAAGTCCCAGAGTTATGCGGTATGATAAGGCGTCTCAGCATTCCCCACTTATAGGGCAGATTATGTTTGGCAAGTTCGGCAGTCATGGGTCGCAAGGATCTACACCAGTCTATAGTGGCTCTGGATATATCCGGAAAAGGCGATGAGGTAGCCTGTCATAATGGTAGCAGCTATCCAAAGTCATGGCCTTATCTTGTTTAGGGGAAAATGGGCAGGTAAGCAATCTCCTGATGAGGTGGGAGATTTCAGCTGCAGTGACAGCCTCCGCTAGGCCCTGGATCTTCACATTTTTCCACTGCCGGTTTCCACGGTTCTGGTTGTGGGACAGACTTTGCTCAAGGGCAGCCATCTCCCGCTCCAGGTCGGTAATACTTGGGCAGCGATGGTAATTTCTGTGTCATGGAGACGCACGGATACCCCTCTGATCTCTTCCTTGAACAGATATATGTCCGCCGCAGCAGAGGTCGTCCAGTCAGACTCTGTGACTGGACCACTGCCCACCTGTTTTGGGAACGGTCCCACTCTCTGCTTCTCTGCTGGTAGCTCCCGGTCCCTCGAGTCTGCCAGGGACTCCAAGCTTGCCGTTCGGGATGGCCCATTTGAGCTAATTTTTGTGGCCTCCAAAGCAGATCGCCTATATCAGCAGTATATAATATTTTTTAAAGGACAATATAAAAATATGCAAATAAACATTTTTTACGGTATTTTTTGGTTGTTTTTCCCCCACAGTTTTGTCAATAAGGGAAGTTTGGCAGCTTAAGAAAAGTTATTCAAAATAAATGAATTTAGTTGTTCTGATTTACAATATATAGGATTTGGTAGTTACTGGTCACAAAATACATGTAGTAAAGTAAAATTTTAATGTGGAGTGATTTTCGAATCAGCTGTCAGAGAAAACAAAATTTCCACACCAAGGTATATATTTATATAAAGCAGACATCACAGGTATTTTGGGTATTTTGACACTTTTTAAGTAGCCATTTCTGCTAACTAGTGTAGTAAAAATTGCATCTCTGCTAAGTAGATATTAAAAATTATCAAAGAGGGAAAGGCTTTAAAAATAGGATAATGCATTTCTCTGCATAACGTGCATTAGCATATATTTAGCTCATGTGCAATACACACACGAATCAACAGAGGCCATTTGTTGGCAGATAGGGACAATCTTCTTGAATTGAAATATATTGCAGATTGCAATACACAAATCAGACAAAAGAGGCCATGTACATTTTAGGTTAGAAGGAAGGTCTGCTTGGTTTGAGTGTTAATATATTGCTAGATAGATTAATAAGAGAGTCCTGAGGGTTTATTTGCAATGCATTCACATACAAAAATGCAAAACATGAAGATGGATTCAGAAAAGTCAACAGCAGCAACATGACAGGTGGTTGGAAGTACAGCTCTCAGAAGTAGCTAAGTTTTTAAAAGTTTTCTGTGCAAGCAATGAACTGTACTTTGTTGGAAAGCTATGCTTGTAACAATTTTTAATTGCATGCTAAATGGACGCTGCAAATTTCTTTTTTTTTTTTAAAAGCACTGTTATTAGGAATAGTTGAAAAACATTGTTACGTCCACTTTCTATATTTCATCTGGTAGATGAAAATGCTTACAGGTTTAATTATATGTTTAGTTGGGTGTTTGTGCATACGTTTACCCAGAATCCCTTGCAGTAGTGAGAACACTGCTAAAGTAAGATTTCTGTGGGAAAGCAAGTCTTATGACTTGACTGGTGTGTGTATTTGTGTTTAGCAATGTATTAACGCTCTCTCTCTCTCTCTCTCTCTCTAATCACATGTTGTCACCTACTACTGACCCAAAATTAAACAGTGTAACTGAGGAATATCAGACACAAACTTATCAGAAAGAGATATTTCCCAAGTAATTTATTCTACTTTTTAAATTGTATGGGGTTTCTACAAAAACCCATTGTAAGAGAGAGTTGAACCAGTTCAAATGCGTCAAAATATACTTTATAGCCTGAAAATGATACTGCATGTCTCACAAAATATTTTGAAGCTTGATTGATGGGTCATAAAGATAAGGCATTTTTGATGTCATATGCATCACAAAATTCAAATTTAAAGTGGTAGTTGGAATTCGCAATGAGAAATTATTGTGATGCTATAAAGCCACCTACTGATCAATGTGTATAAAACAATAAGTAGAAAAAGGTACACCCACCTAATCCCATTGGTCACTTAAAATTAGTGACGTAAATGAACTTAAGATAGGAAATTCTTCAAAAATTGGGGACAAAAGATCAAAGAGAGAACCAGGGTGAGATCCAGAGGGTTGGATTTAAGATCATCAGATGAGACCAGACAAAGAAACACACCCTAGCAACACTTAACACTGTCTTTCCAACTGAATACTGGGATTTTTTTGAATTTGACAATTTGTATTTGGTCATTAACCAACGTATTGGGGGGTACAGAATAAAAAAAGAGGAGGTGGGTAAGAATAGCTTTGTTCAATTCGATTGCTTGTTACACAGGGAGCGGGTAGAAAAACAGAGAAAATGAGGGGGAGGAGGCATCACAGTATTAAGCAGTCAAGAGGTATATCAACATTCAGACGACCGTGTATATACCAGCAGGTCCATGAGGGTTAGGTAGCCGCCCAGTATCACTACAGCATGAGGGCAGTCTGGTGCGGCTAATGAACCTCATGGTCTTTTCAGGGTTACAAGCATAGTTTATTACCAGATCTCCATGTTTGCCAAACCTCCCATGTTTTTCGGTAGAGTGTGGAGGGGGGGAAGAGGGACTTAGAGGAAGTCTTGTAAATCAAACTGTTTGTGCAGTTCCGCTATCCTTGGGAAGGATTGTGGACTTCCATCTCCTTGATATTAATTGCTGTGCCGTCAAGGCGATGTGCAGAGTCATTTTTCGAAAGTGGTGGGGCATCTCTCTAGGGAGATCTAGTAATAGGCATGACTTCAGGGTGAATGGGAGGGGGCTATGCGTGATGTCTTGAATTAGTGCGTAGACTTCAGTCCAGTATCGGAGTAGCCGTGGACAGCTCCCCCAGATATGATGCATTGAGCCCTCCGCTGCGTGACATCTCCAGCAGAGTGGGGAGGTAGAGGGGAAAATCTTATGTAATCTAGTTGGCACTAGATACCAGCGGTATAATATTTTACAGTGTTGTTCAATGTGGGAGGTCGATTTTAGTAATTTGAGTGGGTTGGATAGAATAGTGTCCACAGTTTTTGGTGGCACCGTACAGTACAGATCATCCTCCCATTGTTTTGCATATTTGGTAGTGGAGAAGTAGCTAAAGTTAGATAAGAAGCTATGACACATGGAAATCAGTTTACAGTGAGGTCATAATTTTGTAGTTATACACATTTCTTCCAATGCAGTAATCATATTTGTATTCCTAGAGGTGCCTAGATAGCGTTTCACTTCCATGGACAAATAGGAGTTTAGTTGTAGGTACGAGTACAGCGAGGACTGTGGGAGTGTATATTTCTCTGATAAGCTTGTGTAGTCTGAGTTTATCTGCAGTGAATAGGTGGTAGAGGTGTGTTGCACCTTTGCGGTGCCATGGCATAGCATTGAACGTGGAAATGATGTGGGAAGGTATGGCCCTGAGGGGAGTCGCCAACGAGATGCCGGGGGTGCTGCCGAGTCTGGGTCTATACTTGTCCCAAATCTGAAATAGCAACAGTACCTTCGGGGGACGTAAGGGTAGGTCAGGTCTGAGATGTGGTGGTGTCCAGAGCAAGTGTGAGATTTCATGGTTGCCTATTAGGTCCCGTTCTAGTGATACCCATTGTGGTCTGGTCTCTGAGGTTATATGTGGGACAGCCGTGGCTAGTACTGCTGCGTGATAATAGGTTTGGATATTAGGCATTGCCAGGCCTCCCAGTTTCCTGGGGGCTTGTAAGATGTTCATGGGTACCCAGGCTTTACCTCCCGCCCACACAAACCTTCCCATGTCTGTCTGAATTGTCTTAAAATAGGGGGGAGGGAGGCGGAGGGGAATGGTGCGTAAGAGGTACAGTAGCCTTGGTAAGATGGACATTTTCAGTGTCACTATGCGGTCTGTCCAGGACAGGTACATCGGTGACCACTGTTTCAGTAGCTGACTACCCTTGTTCCAAACCGAGACATAGTTTGCGGCCATGAGGTTTGCAGGGTTTTTGGTAATTGTTAGTCCTAAATATCGTATGGACTCCCAGTATTGGACACATTAACTGAGTAATATGAGACCTGTACATAGGTTTTAAGCATCTGCATTAGTGTAGGTAGGGATGCTTGGGGGTTCGCTACATACAGTAATACATCATCTGCAAATGTGCTAATTTTTATTTGCTTGTCTCCTTTTGTCTTATGAGGTGCAGGAGGGGTTCCAGTGCGAGGATGTGTAGGACCGGGGATAGGGGGCACCCTTGCCTCGTCCATATTGTTATTTTAAAGGTAGGGGATAGGAATCCAGCTTGGGTTACCTGTGCTGAGGGTGAGGAGTATAGTGCAAAGATTTGTTGGATTATTTGCGGGGGGAATCCAAATTTGTCTAATACTTGCTTCAGGAAGGCCCAGCCGAGGTGGTCGAAAGCCTTCTCCGCGTCCAGTGCCAAGAGGAGACCCCCTCGACCAGCCCTCCCGAGTTTGCGCTGTACGAGGGCTAATTTTCTGGTATTGTCTAGGCCTTGTCGGCCCATCACAAAGCCCGTCTGGTAGTCATGGATCAAATTTGGCAGGATTGTGCTCAATCTTTTCACCAGGATCTTAGCATAGATTTTCACGTCTGTGTTGAGTAAGGATATGGGTCTGTAGTTTTTTCATGTGTATGGGGGTTTGTAAGGTTTGGGGATCATCACTATTGTAGCCAATAGCACATAAGGGGGCAGGTGCCAGTAGATGCTGTCTTTTGGTACACCTTCAGAAACTGCGGCGCCAGTGTGGCAGCAAACTCCTTATAGTATGCATTAGAGAGTTCGTCTGCACCTGGGAATTTCCCTTTGTGGAAGCTGCTTAATAGTTTGCGTGATTTCTTGTATAGTGATAGGCTGCAGTAGGGCCTGGCAGTGACCATCCGACAATCTGGGCAGTGTGACGTCTGCTAGGTATTGGGCGACTTCTGAGGGTTGAGGGTGGGTCCTAGTGTCATCGAGTTGGAGGTTGTATAACTGGGAGTAAAACTTTGAGAACGTGTTACTAATTGCTTGTGGGTCTATGTGTTATTACCGTCTTTGTCTATTATGTGGGAGATTTTAGACTGGGTCAATCTAGCCCTAAGCCTTGTTGCTAAGTGTTTGGTGGCTTTACCCGAGGTGTGGTATGTGGTGGCCCTGAGTTTATAGAGGAGGCGGTTCGTTTTATCCGCCTGAAGTTTGGCAATGGTTGAATGTAGAGCATTTATTTAGTTAAATTTGCCTGCATAGGTTGGGCTTTGTTTTTTGTGGCGAGTTCAGCTAGTTCTTTGTAGGATTCCAGTAGTGTGAGTTGGTTTCGTCTTTTAAGATAGGAGAACCGTCTGATAAAAAGCCCCCGAACTACCGCCTTATGGGCACATCATACTGTTTGTCTGCTATTTCCCCTGTCTCATTTGTTTGGATCGAATCTCAAAAGGTATCATCTGTCAATAGAGATTCGCTGAGGCGCCATAGCCCCCATCCTCTAAATTGAAAGTCATCATGTAGGTGTAAATGGACCGGGCCGTAGTCAGTCCAGGTGATCTCCCCTATCCTGCATTCCTGCAGCTGTGCTAGCGTGGCATTGTCAAGGAAAAAGGTATCTATATGGGTATAGGTATTGTGTACTTTTGTGTGAAACGTGTAGTCAGCCTGTGTGGGGTGTAGAGTACGCCAGGCGTCATAGAGACCTTGTTGTGTGAGTAATTTAGTGATAGCTTTGCATGTGTGATTCATGTAAGTTTTTCTCTGGCCTGTGGGGCGGGCTGTAGTATCAAGTGTCGGCATTTGGATAAAATGAAAGTCCTCACATAGGATCAGGCCCCCTGGTTTAACCTTATCAATGGTCAGGAGGAGAGTTCGAAGATACTGCTTGGCTTCTGTGTTAAAAAGTATGTTGTTACCAAGTTATACAATGTATTGTTGAAGAGGCCCACAAGGATGATAAATCTGCCCTTGGTGTCTATGATTTTATTATGAAGTGTAAGAGTTATGTCCTTGTGAATGAAGATTGAGACTCCCTTGGTTTTGTTTTCAGAAAGGGTGTGGAACTAGGTCGGGTAGTGTTTATTATAGATAGCTGGCGTGTGGTCTCTTTTGAAGTGAGTCTCTTGAAAACATGCAATATCTATTCTCTCTTTCTTTAGATCTCGGAGCAGGAGGCTCAGTTTACCGGGGGTGTTGAGCCCCTTGCCATTTTCATAAAAGGCTGAGTTTAGGTTTGCCTTGATGGTGTAGTAGGGGCCCAGGGCAACTGTGAATGTTGTGGTAGATGACATTCCACTCCCGCAATAGGGGTCCATGACAGGTCTGCGACTTGGTGATATTGAAACTGGTGATGCAGGGTTGTACAGGAGCGGGTAACCATGGAGGGGGGGGGGGGAGTTCCCACAACTGCGGGAGAAATAAAGCTCAGCAGTTCTGAGCAATAGTGTGGTCTGGCTTATCCCGACCCACACAGAGTGGGGGGCGGCTTCCTAGAGCCACTCTCGTCTTAGGGCCCAGTCGGGGCTACAAGGAAGCCTGGGGGTAGTTGAGGTGGCACCTCTCGTGCGTTACTTAGCTATAACCGGTATACACTGGTATGCAGTGTAGTGTAGGACCATCTAGCATTTATTTGGGATACCTTTTTTTTTTTTTTCCTTAATATAGTAAATATAAATGTAAGTGCCTGTGGACCACTATATAATCAATTATAGGTCATTGCTAATCGGACAGTGTTGGCTTCTAACCATTAAGGCTTATTGCACAACATTTAAGTTTGAACTGGGTAGAAAACATGAATATAAACCTTGGGACCTGCCTTTGTCAAGTACATATAAATTATATACAATACCCTACAGATGAGAGCTCTCTGCCCTTAGGCTTGAGACAATTCTGGTGTTAGTCTGGGGACTTTGGCCATCGTGGATGCCAGGGGTCCTGGTAGTGGCATGCCCCAGTCCTGGAACTTTTGCTGGCCTCCATTTTCAGTCGCCATGGCATGGATGTCCCCATCTTTCTGTATCAGCAGATTCGCCGGATAACCCCATCTGTAGCTGATTCCGTTGGGTCTGAGTGTGGTTGTGATCAGGGACATCGATTTTCTGAACTGCAACGCGGAGGCCGATAAGTCCGCAAAGAATTTGATGTTGCAGTATAGATCAGGAAGGGTTGCGTTCCTACAGGCCTTCATGATGCGCTCTTTCATGTGGTAAAAATGGATGCGTCCTATAACATCTCTTGCGGTCGTGGTAGGTAAGTGGCTGGGTCTGTGTAGGCGGTGGGCTCTGTCGATCATTAGGAGCTCAAGGTGTGTAGCTGGCACTAACTCCTGAAACAGGTCAGTCAGGTACTGATTCAGCTCTGTGTTCTGACCTGATTCTGGTATTCCCCTGAAGTGGAGGTTGTTCCTCTTGGATCTGTCTTCTAGATCCGCTACCTTGCTTTTCTGGGTTTCTAGTGAGGTCTCCAGCTCCTGTAGCTTGTCCGCAAGGCCATTGTGAGCCACTGCGAAATCATCCAACGTTTTTTCCAAGTGGGCCGTCCTGCTCCCAATCACCAGGAGGTACGTGGTCAGCATGTGGATTTGCACCTTAATGACAGCCTGCAGTTTATCTGACATTTCTGCCATCAGAGTTCTCATCCCTGTAGTCGTGAGGGGTCCCTCGTCTGAGGCTGAGCTCAGTGAAGGCAGAGACCTCCCCTGAGCGGTGTTCGCCACCATCTTTGATCGGGCCTTCCCTGCTCTCCCCCGCCAGAGCTCATGCAAGGAAGAAAAGGAGGCTTTTTCTGTCTTTGAGAGCTTGCTTTTGCTTCTCTGTGACATGGTAGAGGTGAGTACCCGGTTTTCTGCTGAAGGTTTGCTCGTAATTCCGATTATTTTAGCCCCTTAAGACGCAGGCTGTGGGAGTTTCACATACGTGCGGCCAGTCCCTTTGAGCTCCAAGCTGAATTCTGGGAGTTAAACATCTTTGCTAGTCAGAACTATCTCTATATTTCTACACTTCTCTCTTTAAACATACTTGTATGTACTATCAGGATTATATCTCTAAGTCTAAAGAATTTCTACCAAGAAAGCTGGTAAATATGCTGGTTTAATTTGATTTAAATACATTTTTACTGAAAACAGAAATATACCTGGATAATGCTGATCAGATATCAAACATTTGAAATCATATTTAGCTAAGAAAAATATAGTTCCATATTTCATATCTGCAGATGGAATAAATGAATAATACATTTACTCGTAAATTGCCATGTTTAACATATCAAGATATTATTCAAGGATATTGGCCTTTCTGAATTTAGGGATAGTTCATCTTTAATCATGAAAAGTTAATTATCTGCAGTGTTATATCCTTTTAGTTACTGGATGGATGGAAAAGAAAATTGTTAAATTGACTATTGGTGTGAAAAACATTGTATCTTCTTGCAATATTGCAATATTCAAGTGTTTACCATGTGAGAATTGTAGCCAGTAGTGAGTAAGTTAATTCTCAGTGTGACCCTAGCAAACTGGAAGCAGCTAAGGTGTTTTTACGACTTGAAGCTGCAAGTTCTGTGTAAAGGAAATCTCAAGTATTCTGAAAGATTCCTATGGCATTGTTAAAAAAACCTGCATCTGTGGATATAACTTAATTAAATTATAGAGGAATTATTTGTAACCTTACATGTAACTCCTTTAGAAATTAATCTACTTGTGTTGCTGGATATGTTGCTTTTAAGCTATCTTTAATTGTAGTTATTGTGCCAAAACTGTTGCCATATCTTATACTTATGATTTACTAAATATTCACTGACATTGTCAAACATGTTACATATTATTATTATTATTATTATTATTATTAATAATAATTATTATTATTTGTCACAATAAATTATATTTTTATAATCAAGTAGCTATTACCATACAATTGAAAGATTATATCATTGAATATTCTGTTTTTGCAAGCATGCATCTAGTTGCTGTTTAAACATATGTACGCACTCTAATAAAACCACTTCTTAATGCAGAGAATTCCACATCCTTATTGTACTTATGGTAAAATATAACCTTACTCTTAACTCTTTCTCTTAGACTAAATCTTCTTTCTTCCAGTCTAAACGAATAACCTTGTGTACTATGTATAGTCCGGTTTGTGAATAAATTTACACACAATGGCTTGTATTGTCCCTGGATTTTATTGTATACGTTTATCTAAACTAAAGAGGTTTAAATCTCTCTTCATAGCTGAAGTGTTCCATTGTTTTTATTCATTTTGTAGCCCACCTCTGCACTTTTTCTAGTGCCATAATATCCTTCTTTAGAACAGGTGCCCAAAATTGAACAGCATATTTAATATGTGGTCTTACCAGCGAAATAGGCAAAATTATATTCTCATCCTGTGAGTGGAGAGGGCAGAAGTCAGATTGAAAAGGGTCAAGGAGAGAGTTGGAATTGAGAAAGTGAGACATACGGTAAAGACAAGTTTTTCCAGAAGCTTTGAGGAAAAAGGGAGCAGGGATATTGGACGATAGTTAGAGGGGGAGGACGGGTAAAGAGATGTTTTTTTTTCAGTAGAGGTACTACAGCGGCATGTTTAAGGCTAGCAGGGACACAGCCAGAAGAGAGAGAGCAGTTGAAGATGTATTTTAAGGAATGCACAAGACAAGGGGAGAAAGATCTGATGAGGTGAGATGGGAGAGGATCGAGCGGGCAAGTGGTGGGTCGAGAGGAAAGGAGAAGCACAGCCACCTGTTTTCCAGTAGCCGGGGAGAAAGTCTGAAGGGTAAGAAAGGCATGATCTACATGTGGTTGAGAAAGAGAACAGCAAGGTGGGGAAAATCCTTTCCTTAGCTGTTCAATCTTGTCGGTAAAGTAGCATGCAAAGCTATCAGCTGTAAGGTTAGTAATGGAAAGTCATCAAACAAATAATAGAAAGGTACATTTCTCAGTATGTACAATTGGGTAATAAATATAAAAGAAACAAATTAAAACCAATGTGGCATAGTGGAGAAGTAAAACAAGAGATTAAAAATAAGAAAAGGGCATTTAAATCAGACAAATCGCATCCTATATAAGATAAAAGGAAGCCTATAATGCTTGCAAAAGGGCAATTAAAGTGGCTAAACTAGAAAATGAGAAATTGATAGCCAAAGAATGCAAAACCAACCTCAACATTTTTTTCAAGTACATCAATTCTAAAAAAACAAAAAAGGAAAGTGTAGTTACACTGGAAACAGAGATGGGTCTGTTAGTTAATGAAGACCGAGAAAGGCAGGAATTTTATATAACAATTTTTCTTCCGTATATATTAATGAGGATCCTATGGCAAGAGATATGCAAATGATTGCTGCAAAAAAACTTGCGGATAAGTTGTGATGGGATGACTCGAGACAAGGTGCTACAGCAGATAAACAAAATAATGTAAATAAGGCTCCAGGGCCTGACGGTATTCACCCACGAGTACTTAAGGAACTAAGTGGAGAACCTTTTGGCTTCTCTGGGCCACATTGAGTGTTGAGAAATTTTCTCGGCCGCATATAAAATATATACTCTAGTTAAGGTATATAAATAATAAAAAGTAATTTTTTTTATATATTTTTCATTATAAAATGTAAAAAAAACAGGGCAACATAAAACTATTAGGATATTTTTATTTTTTATGTCAATCTCTTTATTGAGGCAAGTATATTGACATAAATACATGGATCAAAACCACAATGTACAGGTATGTTTCTACAATTGAAAGTTGATGGTAATACCTCCCTTTTTTTTTTTTTTTTTTTAAATAAATGAAAACAGGCTAGACTGGCATGTCTGGAACAGAGAACATACTATATTTGTAGATGAGAAAGGCTAGACAGTCATGGAAATTGTAGAGGACACGCTTACAATACAGGGTTATATTCTTGAAAAACAAGCTAGAAAACCATAGCTAGATGTAAGAGAGCATAGGGTCACCTTCACATAAAACTTTCCAGACACTATTTTTTTTGTACAACTTGGTGACTAGAACATCATAGTAATGCAGCACTCAAACGTAAACAAATCATAAACAACACTCAAGAGTGAAAATAATGTGTAAACAAGACAAAACATAGAAAATATAAAATGGTGGCTACAGAGGCCTGGTGGATTGTAAGCCTTCATAGATCAGGGCACCAACATTTAACCGACTCCCATTGCTGGTAAACTCAAAGGTTAACAGGAAAGTCCACTAAATAGTTCATTTGTACAGTGCTATGGAGTAGCATCCCTCCAGCCCAGGCTCGTTGAAAGGCCCACATCTCTGTACCACAGGCCAAGTCTTTCCAGAGTGGGAAATAACGAAGAATCGATATGATCTGACAACAATGCTGGCTAGCGGTTCTCCGTTGAGGTGGATGGTGTGGTGGCAAATCCTATCTGGCCTTCATCCCAGGTGGACAGGTAAGTAGAGTAAGGCTTGGATTGAGCCTGTAAGGGTAATTTGACTGTTGAAGACTCTCCTGACTTCTGTTCACACTGACTCTGTGGAGAGTATTGCTGCACACCCTTCCTTCAGCTGGGCCAAGAATCACTCAAATAGTTCTTCTAGCCTTGTTAAGGAGCTACTGGCGCAGTCTTGCTGTTCTGAGCCATGTTGCGTCAGGCTCTGTGGCCCAGTATTATTTGCTTATGCTATTTTATGTAGGGTTGTAACGTCTCCTCAGTAAGTAGAATAAGTGCGGAGTGGCAAAACGAATTGTGCCTGTTAGCCCAGTGGGCACCGGGATAACCCCTGACGGTCCAGAGTGGAGGGTGGGGGAGGGGGGTGTAGGAGTGAGTTGCATCCACAGGAAGAATTATAGAGTGGGACAAACTAGTGGGATAGTTGACTTTGTTTTTGATAAACTAATGCATCAATATCTGGTTAGATGAAAGTGGTTGCAATTCTTAGTGAGTTTTTAAGGTGCTCGTCAGAAATATAACTTCTAATTTTACTCTTTGTGTGCTTCATCTTTGAAAATAGTTGCTCACAGATGTACGTGCTGCCAAAAAGAGATGTCATGAATAAGGCGTGATTGTGAAGCGAGGGATACTTTTCTTTGGGAAGATAGTCCTTATAAAAGTCCAGCAGAGAGACATGATCACATTTTTCTTTGAGTTGAATGTCTGACTGCAACTCTATGCATTCCATTTGAAAATTGAGTCGAAAATATAGCAAAATATTGCTGATTTTTTCTGAAATCCTGAAACCTGTTCTCAAATTCCTGTATCAAATTGAAAAGCAAGGATGCATACTTCTCGCTGTTCATAGGACTGTGTTTAGCCAACGTATCAAAATGTATAAAATTATTTTCCAGAACTTGAGCTTTCATTTCAAACGTTGTTATGGTTTGAAATATTGCAGTAATAAGTTGGTTTTCACCTTGAAGACGCATGTTTAACTCATTTAAATGAGCAATCAAATCCACCAAAAATGCTAAATCTGTGAGCCAATATTCATCTTCAAGTTCTGGCACAATTTTCTTTTTTGAATCCATAAATGACTTGATTTCAGTCCGCAAATCATAAAAGGTTTTTAGCATTTTACCCCGACTTAGCCACCTTACTTCAGAAAAATAAATGATGTCCCCATAATCCGCATCCATACTTTTAAGGAGCTCCTGAAATTGGCGATGATTCAATCCCTAAGCTCTTATGAAATTCACTGTTTTGATGACAATTTGCATGACATTATCCATTTTTAATGCCTTTGCACATACATTTTCTTGATGGACAATGCAGTGATACTTCATCAAATGGGAGTTGCCCTCAGCAATTGCATCATATTCTATCAATTTTGTAAGTCCCTCACTTTTACCAACCATCGCCGGGGCGCCATCAGTAGATATACCGGATATGTTGACAAGGGTTACCGAAAACCGGTTTAATGTCATTTTTACCGCTTCGTACAAATCAAGAGATTTAGTTGTGTCTTTTAATTGCACCAAAGAAGCCATTTCTTCAGTAACATTATATTCGTTATCAATAACTCTAATAAAAATAGCAAGTTGAGCTGTATCTGTAGCATCAGTACTTTCATCTATCGCCAAAGCATAAAATTTAAAATCTGCAGCTTTAGTCTTCAAATCTCTTTCAATAGATTTTCCCATCCCTTCAATTCGCCTGGCTATAGTCTGGTGAGATAAACTGATTTTTGAAAAATCTTTTTTTTTTATCAGGGCAAATAATATCTGCCACGCTTTCCATACATTCCTTAACAAACTCACCATCGGTAAAAAGTTTTGATTTTTTGGCAATCAGATTTGCTACCACATAACTAGCTTTGATAATAGAGTCATTTTGAATTGTAACTTTAAAAAAAAACTTGTTGGGATGCCAGACTTTTTTTCAATTCCGCTAATTTGTCTTTACGACACATTCCTTGATAAGCTTCGAATTTTGCAGCATGTTTTTCTGTATAATGCCTCTTCAAATTGTATTCTTTGAAAACAGAAACATAGTGCCTTAGTATTTGTCTCGACAAAAAAGTATTCATCTGTCCATTTTTCGTTGAATACTCTTATTTCATCCGCAATTTTTCTCTTTTTGTTATATTTTTGGGCGGTTCTGTTTTTTGATGAAACGAGGTTGAAGCCATGCTGGAATCAATGTATTATGAAATAAAGATTTATTTTTAGAAAAGCCTTAAACAAGCCTGTCATAAATTGTTAGGTAGTCAAATAAACAAAGCAAAGTTTAATAACCCCAAAAAAAAAATTTGTTTCTACCTGTCCTATGCAGTCTGCGCTCGAGCACCGCGCAATTGAGTCACAAACGCAAAATAATAATTATTCATGGGATCCAGTAGCAGAACTATTGAAGAGAGGGCCTTAGTTCAAGAATTTTCTTTGGGTCCCCTTAGAACAAGCATGGCCAAAAGGCAGATAGTTCCCCATTTCTTATACAAATCCCACAATTCTTTTCCTGGTGGGGATCTACCATTTAGCCATCCTTCCAGAACTGCATTTGTGAGCAGAGTTTGTGTTTGCGTGTAAACATGTTTTGTGTGTTTTAATGTATGTATGAATTTGTGTGAAGTGTTGGCATTTGAATGCAGTTGTATGTTTAAATGTACTGTTGCTATTTAAAAGTAGTGGTGTACTTGTATATAGTGTTTGTGTTGTAGATATGATTAGTGTTAGTGTTACTGTTTGTGTTTT